CATTCATGGAAGAAAATAGAGGGGAAATGAAGCATATATGCTAAACCTGTGATGGCGAACATATGGCACACATGCCCGAAGTGGCACGCAGAGTCATGTCATGTGGCACGTGCTGCATCGCCCATTTCTCTTCTGGGTTTCTGGCGCACATGTGCGCACAATGATAAGCTAGCCTTCACACGTGTGGCAGTGCTGAAAACTTTACTTTACTTTACTTTATTCAAATTTCTATACCGCCCTTCTCCTTTCGGACTCAGGGCGGTGAACAGCCAAGATAAAAACATCTATACAAAACATCACAGTTAAAAAATAAAGTTAAAATAATTTATAAATTTGGGCCATAATTTAAAACTTGTCAATTAAAATCAATATTAAAATTTTAAAACTAACCCTAAAATCAAGACAGAGCTGGTCTTCCAGTTTGCAGCATGCGCGCTGACCAGCTGATCGTTGCGTGCACATGTGCGCCACAAACCAGAAGACCAACTGGCCGGTGTACATGTGCGTGCTGGAAACTGGAAGTTCATTTCCCAGCATGCGCATGCCCCCGGGGCAGCTCCTCTTCTAGGTTGTGGCCCTGAGTAGCATGCGCAATGCGCATGTACACTCCCTCCCTTTTCAGCACTTGATGCAGAAAAGGTTTGCCGTCACTGTGCTAGGCAAACCCCTTAAATGAGTTTCAGATGCAGCCCCACCCTTCCTGGCTAGCCAATATTTCTAGAGATCTCGTTACACTTCTTTCAAATACAGGAAACAATTTCTCATCTACCTCGCCTAGGTGGCAGGAAACTTTACCTTGCATGTCTCACCCCAGCAGAGTTTAAAGTCCAAGGTTTCTGGCTTCCAGAAAGTTTCAAGATGCCATGATCAAAGGAGAAGCAAAGTTGCTTTCTTGGCTTCTAGCCTTGCAAAACAGAAAGAGGATCCTTTCCATACAAAGATTCTGGAGCCTGAGCACTTAGGCAGGCCCATTTAGCTGTAGTTGAATCTTAAAAAGCCATGTCCTCCTAGTTCATTATTTTATAATATGTATAAGTAAAAAAGAGATTGGATTCTTATACTAAAACAATTTTTAACATTCCTTTTTAATTGTCACAAATATTTCCTAATTACTTAAAAAAAAAGATTCCACCAAAAAAAAAAAAGAGAAATATTGAAACTCAAATGTTTGTGTTTGTGTGTGTTTGTGAATATCAAATAGTATAAAAATGTATACATTGAAATTTAGTCTTATTTCCAGTTACTTTTAATCTCTTTTGAAAGGGACTCTGTTATGGGCATGATACTACTGAAAAGTTGCTCTCCTTGTTTTGGTTTAATGCACCTCTGTAAAAATATAAAGACAAATTCATTTGGCTCTGAATACCTTGTACTTGGCAACAAATTGAATGCCAATTACATAATACTCTAAAAAATGATAATTAAATAAGCATTTATAGCAAGGAATTCTAATTAGTGGACTGCAGAAATTTAGATTGTACGTTCCAATTTTGATTCCTAATTTCCTAACTTTTTCCTATTGTTAGATAAATGCATGTTTCACATTACTCAATAAAACTGCTATACACATACATATTTTATGTACAACTGATTTATTTGAATATAAAATGGCTAAAACAGTGCAAAAGAGAGATACAAGATTTTTAGTGAAATGGTTTTTCCTTTTTTGGGGGGTAAACATAAAAAAAGAAAATGAAAAGTCAGCCCAGTCAATATAAAAATGATGCTTCCATTTTGGTAGAGGCAGAATAGAAAATCTAGTAATGTCTCGCAGTGTCAGCACAATCTGCTTTCTCTAAGAAAGAGAGACTCTGAAGACCAGCCAACGCTGAGCCATTTCTGACTACAGCAGCTGCTTAACAGCCAATTTCATTCAAGAGTCGTTCTAAGCTGTAAACCTAATTCTTGGGTGGGAGTGAAATCATATTCTCCCCCTTATAATGTGGTTAGAACTCTGGTTTTTTTTTTTTAGGTTATTTAATTGTACCATGATTATTTATTTGTGGAGTCATTTGGTTGCTGTACTTTAAATTGCCCAGAATCTTTTTGACTGCAGTGGTTATAATTCATTGTTTTTTTAAAAAAATCTGCACCTTTGTTGTCCTGCTAGCCCCTATGTTCTGCAAAAACATCTTACCTGAACTGTTTGACTCCACTGCTAGGTTTGTATGATGTAGAATCTGTAGTGGCTCAAGAATTCATGCTACAATGACAACAGTGGACCAAATCCAGGTTTCTTGAGACATACAGATGATCACACTTTAGATTTGTTTTTTTGTCTCATAGACATTGTACCATGATCTGAGGATGGAGACATTACCATCAGTCTTTTGTTACAATCAGATCACTCTCTGGTTGTTCTTCAGTCTGCTGGTACTTTTTCTCCCCCTGTTCCCCAGAAGGAGATTGCCTGACTTTAACTACTGGACTCTGATAGGTTTTAGAGGGTGCTCGGGTTTTTTCCTGAAGTGGGCACGTGATGAGCATCTTAGAAGGGTTTGCCTCTTAGAATCTTTCTTGTTCCCAGGCAACTCTCTAATTGAGAGAGAGGTGACTTTGATCCCAAGTGACTCTCTAATTTTCTGAGATGCTCTGGAAAATTAAATAACGAAAGCTTAGAGCACTGTTGGAGCAAGTAGTAAAATGAATTTGACTAATAATATGTAAAAAGCTATATTAGGGATTGCAATTGGCTCTTTTTAAAATATTCTGTTCTCTGCTCGGAGAGATTAGTACCAGGAATATCTACAGGGCCATTGTGAAGAATATTCAATCACTTGGATTCTTTTGGAGTTGTACTCTGACTGGGTTGGTGCAGTTGAGGCAACTTTGGCATAATCTTGCTTCTGTGGAAATGAATAGGATTCTTGGATCTGTTAACTTTCCACTGTTAGATTCATACCCTTCCTATTTGGTTAAGATCTCCAGAGAGATGATAAAAGTTGGAACCATGTGGCGGTGAACTCATCCTAGAGTAGTGGTTCCCCATGCCTTTACAAGAAACAATATCTTCTTAAGAAACTATCACTGGACCCAAGAGTTTGTGTCAACATATGCCCAGTTTTCAGCCTTTTATTTCTGAGAGAAATCGATGAAAAGGTTATCATGCTGCAGCTTCAGATGCCCAGGAGAAAATGGATTATTTGGATCCTTTCAGTCAAGTTACAGCCAAAGCATAGAGCTGGCATTGGTATGGCTGAGAATGGGAAACTTCACAGGTGGCTTTTCTTGATCTCTCACCTACCTTTAATACCATCATTCATGGTATCCTTCGTCATTGACAATAAGGATTGGGAATGAGAGGTATGGCATTGTAGTGATTTGATTTTCCCTGTGGCAGTTCTAAATAGTACTGATAGAGAGTTGAGATTGAGCCGAAAGTCCCAGATCTGTTGAGTGCCTCAGGACTTGTAAAGGAATGTGTGAATGAACTTGGAGGAATAAGAGAGGGAGAAGCCCACTATCACTTAGCTGTCAAAGAAAGAAATTTAGTGAAGATATACCCTAATTGATATAGTTAAAAGTGGGTGGGTTGAGAGGAGTTATCCTAGCCAGGCAGGGAAAGAATGTCAAGTGGGGAACAAGCCTTGCATCTTTGTGCAGCTGCAAGAGGCATAAGCCTGACACCCCCCCCCCCTAAATTCTTATCCCAAGAGAAGGCAAAGAGTTTGGGAACTTTATTGTATAAAGGTAGAACACAATAAAGTGGCTGACTTGGACCTTTCACGAGTGGATCTTGTTGCTTGCTTGTTGAAGCTCCTGTGTGTGGTTATTGTATGGGTCAGGTATAATTGGTATGCTGATTATATAACTCAGTATCATGTGCATCTTAAGTTTCGGACCACCAACATATATCATAAAAGACTTGAATCAATGTTTGGAGATTATAGGGCAATGGATAGGGGAAACAGATTGAAGCTCAATCCTAGGAAGACAAAGTAATATGGATATGGATATGGACTTCCAGTTCTGGGAACTTTGCATCTCTAATTCTAAATAAGGTTACATTTCCCCAGATGAAACTGATACACAATTTGAAGGTCTTCCTGGACTCCTGTTCAAAACTCACAGATTCATCTTGTACACCAATTGCCTCTGTTCCTGGATTGGGAAGCTCTTCTCATCGTCCCTTACGCTTTGATTAGCACAATTGCAAGCCTGCTGTCCTTTAAATATGGCTTAGCTCTTTCCCAAGGTTCGGGATTGGGCTATTTATGGTCTCTTAGATGTTCTTATGTCTGCTGCACGAACAACCATCTTCCCATTGCTCGATAATTGTTCTTTCTGTGGTTTTCAGTTTATACGCTGTCTATTTTTGAGAAATTGGGCAACTTTAGAATTATGAATGATAAACACGGACATTATAAGTACATTTTCAATAAGGATGCAAAATATAGGTGTATGTGAGGTTGTGTCTTTAAAGACTTTTATTCTCAAAGTAATATACAATGTAAGTATAGTTTATCAAATAAAAAAGGATTATTTTATGTTATCCTTATTTTAAAAAAGGAAAGAAAACATTTGTGATAATTGCAGGATGTTTGCAATTGCAGAGGAGAAGTTCTATAACTTCTCACTAATTGTGCTTACACTGCTCTGGGATCTTTTTGGATGAAGCTTGGGATACAATTGATTTAAATAATAAACTGAATACTTTCTTCTCTTCATAAAGCATAAACCAGTCTCATTTTGGGGATCACTGTAGCTCTGCCAAGGATATACTACAATATTTTGTAACAATTCCTAGATTTTTCTTAACCAGAAATCATGTATTTTGGGGGGGATTTTAAAGGGTGTTGTAAAAGATTATTTGGGTTTTCTAACTAGCCACTTAAATATTATGTTTTGTTTTCTGCTACAAGATAATAAGTTTTCTTCAAGAAAAAGCACTTTTCATTGTCCAATATAGAAAGAATAAACATCAATACCCACAAGCTTTATCAGAACAAATGCTTAAAAATGGACATCTAATGGTTCTTTTCTTGGGCTTTGTCTTTTAGTAACATACCAAAAATAAGAGATGGCAGTAATGGAAATAGCTTGCCAGGACAATACAGATCCAGCTATTGGATCTCCAAAGGATCTCCTAAAGGGCAAAGGGCCAGAAGAAGTAATGAGTGAAAAGAAAAGCAGTGTTTGCAAAGTAGAGGAGTCAGACAAAAAGATATTCCATGAATCATGGAAGATCCTGAATGATGTGATTGCTAAAGGAACTGCCAAGGAAGACAGCGGACAAGGGAGCTTAGCCTCAATATCCATCATTGCCCAGGCAGAATGTAAGTGGAAAACGATATATTAATGAAAGAAGGAGAAGCTAAAGTTGTGTGTGTGAGAGAGAGAGAGCGGGGGGAGGGGGGGACTTTGAAAATGTAAGTGACATAGAGTAAATACTTAGAATAAAATTACAATAAACCCTTGACTTAACAGACTGCTGGGGACAGAAGGATCTGCTATATCTGAATGTTCATGAAATGTTGAAAGAGAATGTATATATGTGTTATACCATTATATACAAACATAAATTGTTGTTATGTAACAACTAATGTCAAATGCATGCATAACATGGCATTACGTGTTAAAATGCTGAACAGATCTCACATCTGAAGTCCACTATACTAAGATCTGATAAACTGTCATTATATGTGATTTTGATATTTCTTGCTTCATTATGGCACATTTGAACTTCTTTTTCTTTTAACTTTCTTCAGGTGAGATAAGCCAGGAGTTCAGTCCCACTTATTCAGAGAGGCCTTTTATTGCTCACACAAAGCGATATAGGTAAGTTCTCCTTCCTAAAATGCAAAACCACAACACCCTCTTCTGCTCCTTATCCCTCTTGCATAAAAAGAGGAGGATCCTTTGAATCACCATGTTGGAAATAGTATTCCACATCCATATCAACATTGGGGGCCCGGAGGAGCATCCAAATAGTCAAGGGCAGTCAATCTTCAACCATATCTTGATGACTGCCATCTTGCCTGCTTTCATTCATGCACCCAATTCAGCAGAGGTCATTGTATTCCTCTTAATTTCACTTTTTATCATAGACTGGTATCCAAACCATTGTGCTAGAATTAGCAAGTTTCATACTTCAAAATTTTCTACATTACATGACAGAAATTTTTATTTAAAATGCTTATCTTTGAAATTGTTCTTTGGAGATTGTCAAGACTTGGCAAGTATATATTCTTGGTAAGACACATTGTATAGCATTGCAGATGTAGCATGATTTATGTAAGGTCTTAGTTGCTCTGGGATAATTACAGAGTGGTCTTGCAGATTTTCAGCAAGAGTGGAGTGCCAAGGCTAAATTTCATAAGCAACATTCAAGTAAATTATTCTGTGATTGTAAAAGTTTAGAATGAATGTTTTAAAAGAAGGAAAGATGAAGAAAGAATCAATATTATGTATGAAAGGGAGCCATTGCATGACTCTTTCTTAGGTTTTGTGCTTTGAAAAAATAATATATTTTGATTGTGACATGAAACAATAATGCCAGCAGAATAAAATGTTTCTAGGACAGCCCCCCCACCCAGTGGTGAAATGTAAAATTTGTTACTACCGGTTCTGTGGGCGTGGCTTGGTGGTGGTGGTAATGTGACTAGGTGGGTGTGGCCTTTTTTTTTTTTAAACTTTTAAAAGCATTTTTTCTCTTTGGTCCTCTTTGGTCGAAGAGGTTGTTTAAAAAATGCTTTTAAAAGGCTCTGACGATCCCAGATGAGTTGTCTGATCGTCAGAGGCTTTTGTTTTCTTTTAAAAGCAATTTTTTTTTTTTGCTTTTAAAAGAAAAAAAAGCCTCTGACGATCAGGTAACTCAGCTGGGATCGTCAGAGCCTTTTAAAAGCTTTTTTTTCTACAACCTCTCCACTGAAGAGGTTGTAAAAAAATGCTTTTAAAATGGCTCTGACGATCCCAGCTGAGCCACGTGATCATCAGAGGCTTTTTAAAAAAACTTTTAAAAGCATTTTTCGGCCGAAGAAAAAATGCTTTTAAAAGTTAAAAAAAAGCCTCTGATGATTGCGTGGCTCAGCTGGGCATGGGGGGTGGACAGGGATTTATTCTACCAGTTCTCCGAATCACCCACCATCATCGCTACCGGATCGGGCGATCCAGTCCGAACCAGGAGCATTTCACTCCTGCCCCCACCCCATGTATTCTGTTTCTTATTATTCACAGTCATTTTCTTTTCTGTTATGTCTAAGTTTGCCTCTTTGCTCTCATCACCCTAAAATATCAGGAAGTCTAACCAGTAAAGTTCATACAATGAATTTTTCAACATTGCTGTGAGCAAATAAATCCGGTGCATGGCATTGCTTTCATTCTCATAAAGCTAAATACTTTAGCTCACTTTTGACATTCATATTAAAATATTGTTGACAAGGAAACAACATCTGATTAAATATGTGTCTATAGTGCTTCAATGTATTATTTAAAAATTATATAATTTTATAGGTATATTTTATTGGAAATTGAAGATGAAGGATATTATAAGATTAAAAAGAGCATTTTCACAAATGTATTCATTCTTTAGTTTGAGAACTTACTTATTATGATTACTCCAAATGTTCTCAAGATCTTAGTGTGTAGCTTTCAGATCTGCTAAATGGCTGTGGTTTTTGTGGATTAAGCTAAAGTATAAAGTAAAGTATATATCAGTAATACTACTTTCTGTCAGCCGGTCTTGCAGCCTTGATCAAATCCCCAATAATGTGGCTCATGCAACTGAAGGAAAAATGGCTCCAGGTTCCTGGAAGGCCTTACATTGCGGCAAATCCCGGAAGAAACAGCGAAAGAGAAAGTCCACCCTTAAAACACCAAAAAGAGCATCCTCCCTAAGTCGAAAGCCAAGGACTCCGGAGCAGGAGAGCTGTGTACCCATACCTGTGCAGGTAGAGCATATTCTACACTGCCTCAAATCATGCTTGAATATCATATTAATGATGGGCATAATGGAACTTAACCTCAGCAGTGCCTGTTTTCTTTCTCAGAGGCACATATGTGTTTGTAGTTGAATTAACAATGTACAAATGAGCAACAGCTCAGATACTATTTTTCACCTTTATAAAAGTGTCCTGTTGCAAATTGTGTTATAAAACAAGATTCTGAACAATTTGGGAAAATTTTAAAATTACAGTCTACATTAGATGACATGTATGATGACAACAGAAAAGAGGACAGAGATCACTAATGATTACTTAGCAGTATGATCTTAGACCATTTTTTTGTAATTTACCATCTCTGAAATATTTAGGACTTTAACTTCCATTGATCTCAGACAATATTGAAATTGAGATCCAGCATACTAAAGTAGATAAATATGCAAATATTTTTATTTATGATACTTTTATTCCACTCTTCTATTTCAAAAGCACTTAAATCTTTTCCCTAATTCAATAAGTTGTTAAATATGGAGATTTGCTTATCATGAAGCATATTCTGTACCCCATTAGTACATCTGATAAGCAACCACCTTGCCTCTAAGTTCTGAAGATAATTCCTAAACTTGTCCAATAAGCAAATCTGTTTGGCTATCACATGATGACAATGCCCAGGAAGCCTTAGCAAATTAGGCCCAAACCAGCAATTTTCCACCTTCCTTCTTCAGATTTAGAAGAGTTTCAAAGATATTTCTTGGTTGCTTTTTGATAATGATAGAGCATTGCTTAAGCCCAATGCAGGAAGGGTGTCTTACAAAAAAAGTGTTCTAGTGTTGATCAAACAGAGCTTACAATTACAAAAGCCAACCAGAAATTGTGGAAATAATAATAATAATAATAATAATAATAATAATAATAATAATAATAAAAAATAGAGTGGATTACATATTCATAATTCTAGATACAAGTAGTCCTTGACTTACGGGACTGAAATTTCCATTGTAAATTGTTGCAGTTGTGACCCCGATGTGAGTTTATTATCATTTTTACAGTAGTCATTAAGTGAATCAGTAGTATTCAGTAGTAGTAGTAGTAGTACAGTAGTAGTAGTACAGTAGTCATCAAGTGTATGGTCATTAAGTTAATCTAGTTTCCCCAGTGGGCATTTTTGCTAGAAATCGATAAAAACAGTCACAATCATGTCACTGCAGAACACTGCAAATGGTGGTAAAGAACTAAGAGCCCAAACTGTGATCAATTGGTACAACAGTCATAAATGCAAATACAGGTTATAAGTTACTTTTTCCAAAGCCATTGTAATATTGAATAATAATTAACATTATTAAAGGAATGATGGTGAGTCCAGGGTTATCTGTAATATTGATTCAAATTTATTTATAGATAAATTCCATGTAAAATAATTCCTCTGAAATGTTAGAAATTCATGTCCCTGGTTCCCAGTTTTAGTTATTTTGCTTTTAACTAATTGGAAACTGACAATAGAGAAAATAGTTTTCCTAATTATTGGTGGGGTTTAGAGTGCAATCCTATTGGTTAGCTTTCCTGGGTAGCTAACTAGTTCATTTTTCTTCCAGGAAGATGACTCTCATTTGGGCACCCTCTTCAATATCACTTCATGGCATTCAGAACTATGTAAAGATATCGGTTCTGATTTCAGTTCCTTTGAGAAACCAAGCCAAGTTTTATCTACTAGCAAGTTACACATGATAAAGAACCAAGCAAAGCTAGAGTTACACAAGTTGATCAGCCCTGCTCAGTGCTTGAGTCATGTTTGGAAATCCTATACACAGGACAATTTGGGCTCTCAATTGGAGATTGTGCATCCCTCTCCTTCAAACAAATTTCCTCCTTATTTGTATGGCCATAGCTATTTGCTTCCTGCTTTGAAACCTGGCCCTCTGAAGACTTATATTTTTGATGATCTTTCAAATGTAGATGATGAATGTTACCTTTCAGACTTGGATCTGACGCCTAGCTTTTCCAAATGTCATCAGTCTGCAAAAAACACTTCGGATACTTTTTCTATGGATGAATTTCTAGTAGATGCATTGAAGGGAAATGTTATTCTTGGAGAACCAAGAAACCTAGCTTGTTTGGCCAAGACTTGGAAAGATGGATCAAGTTCAAAAGTGTGCCTGAAGGAAATCAATGAAAATGAAGGAGTGTTGCTTACAGAGGTGAGCTTTTGAAAACTGTTAACAGGGTACCAACTGCATACTTTTTGATAGATTATGCAAAGTAAAGATAGGGATAATCACCTGGAGCCATATTCCTATAAACAGTTTGGTTAAAGACAAAACATACAATTAAAAGTATTACATGACAGGATATTTGAATTAAAATATTTGAACCTGCATGGGGCCAGGGGCATGGGTCTTTATATTAAGTGGGAAAAGTACTAAAAATCTGGCATAGAAAGAAAATATGAGACTGCATTTTCCTCTCCAATGGGCTAGCTTTCTAAAGCAAATGAGCTTTTAACAAACAGATTCAATTGTCTATTTCTTATGTTTTGTGCTGGTATAACAAAGGAATGACTATTATGATCGTTGAGTGAAAGTTCATTTTAATGAACTTCATTTATTGAAAATAACTTGAAAGATCATTTTAATGAACTTTTAAGTTATTTTCAATAAATGAATTCATATGGGAGGTAGTAGGGTCCTCCTTTGAATATTTTATCCATCCCATCCTTAATAAAACTTCCAGTGTTGGAGCATTCACAACTTCTGAGACAAGTTGTTTCACTGATTAATTGTTTTATCTGTCAGGAAATTTTTCCTCAGTTCCAAGTTGCCTCTCTCCTTGATCAGCTTATACCCATTGCTTCTTGCCTTGCCCTCCAGTGCTTTGGAGAATAGCTTGACTCCCTCTTCTTTGTGGCAGCCCCTGAGATATTGGAACACTGCTATCTTGTTTCCCCTAGTCCTTCTTTTCATTAAACTAGACATACCCAGTTCCTGCAACCATTCTTCATATGTTTTAGCCTCCAGTCCCCTAATCATCTTTGTTGCTCTTCTCTGCACTCTATTCTAGAGTCTCAACATCTTTTTTACATCACAGCAACCAAAACTGGATGCAGTATTCCAAGTGTGGCCTTACCAAGGCATTATAAAGTGGTATTAACACTTCACGTGATATTGATTCTATCCCTCTGTCAATGCAGCCTAGAACTGTGTTGGCTTTTTTGGCAGCTGCTGCACATTGCTGGCTCATATTTAAATGATTGTCCACTAGGACTCCAAGATCCCTCTCACAGTTACTACTATTTTTTTTTTTTTTAATTTGATTTATATGCCGCCCTTCTCCGGAGACTCAGGGCGGCTTACAATGCGTTAAGCAATAGCCTTCATTCTTTTGTATGTTTTATACAAAGTCAGCTTATTGCCCCCACAAACTGGGTCCTCATTTCACCTACCTTAGAAAGGATGGAAGGCTGAGTCAACCTTGAGCCTTGGAGAGATTCGAACCAGCAGAAATTGCAGGCAGCTGTGTTAATTACAGGGTGCACTAAACCCCTGTACTATCAAGGCTCTATTGAGCAAAGTATTATATACTGTGCATTTTGTTTTTCTTGCCTAAATGTAGAACCTTAATTTTTTCACCATTGAATTTCATTTTGTTAGATAGTGCCCAAAGTTCAAGTCTGTCAAAATCCTTTTGTATCTTAAGCCTATCTTCTGGAATGTTGGCTATTCCTGCCAGCTTGGTGTCATCTGATGAGTTCTCCATCTATCCCCTCGTCCAAATCATTGATGAAGATGTTGAAAAGTATTGGGCTAAAACAGAGCCTTGCAGTACTCCATTGCATACTTCCCTCCATGTAGATGCAGTTCCATTGAGGACTACAGCTTGAGTGTGGTTGGTCAGCCAGTTATGAATTCATCTGGTGGTGATGCTGTCTAACCCACAATTTTCTACTTTATCTAGTAGTAGGTTATGGTCTACTTTATCAAATGCCTTACTGAAGTCCAAGTAAATAATATTGACAGCATTCCTCTGGTCCATTAATTTTGTCCCTTTGTCAAAGAATGCAATAATATTACTCTGGCATGATCTGTTTTTGACAAACCCATGTTGGCTTTTGGTTATTACTTTGTTTGCTTCTAGGTGTTTTCTGATTCGTTGCTTGATTATCTTTTCCAGAATCTTCCCTGGTATTGAGGTCAGGCTGATAGGTCTGTAGTTTCCTGGATCTATTTTTTTTCCTTTTTTGAAGATGGGAACTACATCAGCTCTTTTCCAGTCTTCTGGCAGTTCCCCGGTGCTCCAGGATCTTTGAAAGATATAGTTTGGTGGTTCTGAGATCTCGTCTGCTAGTTCCTTCAGAACCTTGGGGTGTAGTCCATCTGGCCCTGGTGATTTGAACCCGTCTAGGGTAGACAGGTGCTCACTTACCATTTTCTTTCCTATTTTAATTTGTGTTCCTAATCTGTTTTTTATGGTGCTATTTTTGATAGATTGGACTGGTTTTTACCTTTGTGTAAAGACAGATGCAAAAAAAGAGTTAAGTAGTTCTGCTTTCTCCCTGTTGCTTGTCACCTTCTTGCCATTTTCTCCCAGCAATGGACCAATTGTTTCCTTGACTTTTTTCTTGTTTTTAACATGTTGGAAGAAGCTATTTTTGTTATTTTTTTACTTTTGTTGCAAGCCTTTATTCATTGTGAGCCTTCGCTTTCCTCACTTAATCTTTACAGGCTCGGGCTATTTGCTGATATTCTGCCTTTGTTATGTGCTCCTCTTTCCACTTTTTATACTTGTCCTATTTGTCTTTGTAACCCTAACCCTAACCCCCCCCCTTTAATATTGACCCAAATGCATTCAAGATAATTTTCATCATTGTTGTGCTCTATTTCTGTAGAGATATAGTTATTTGCTATATTTAGTGCAGCTCCATCTCCTCTTTTATTTGGTCTATTTCTTTTAAATAATTTAAATCCCTCTAGCTGTATGTTCCATTTGTGGGTTTCATCCTACCAAGTTTCCATAATGGCAACAATATCATATCTGCCCTCATTTACTTGAATTTCTAATTCACCCTGTTTATTCCTCATACTCTGTGCATTGGTGTATAGACATTTGAGTCCCATTTTGATTGACCCTGTGTTTACATCCTACTTGTTCATGTTTGAATATTACCAGAAGAAATTGCTGAGTTGCTCAATTGCTCTTTTAAACCTTAATGTGTTTGCTTTTGATTTACTGTAGTATGATGTGTGAACAAAGTTGCAGTTCTTTATAAACTCATAGTTTATCATTTAGCATATATAAATCCATCCTATTGTGACTTACTCAACAATCCACAGTAGGCACCGTCATTGGTGACTCACACAACATGCCATAATGGCTTCATTTGGTTTTGGTATTGAAATGCAGATGTTGTTTTTAAGGTTTATGTGAGAACTAGAGCATTTTTATTCAACAAACAATGGTTTAATATTTGGCTCCCAATAATAAAGCTGGACATTTGGGTAGATAGACTGGTTCCAGATTCTAGACAGGCAGGAAGAAGTATATCATGACATAGCATTTGTGATTTTTTTTCTCCATGAAATTTATTGCCAATAGAAAAGGAGGTGATCACTAGTTTCAGTAATGTTGGAAAGCATTACATGAATTCATGACAATAACCCTATGAAGCTATAATGTGTGAGTAATATAGCAATAAGAATACCCTTGAGTCCCAGTCGCTATTGTGTATACAGTGAGGAAGACTCTTGTTCTGCTATGTTGTTAAACTTTGTGAACATGATGCGGTAACTTGGTATATTTTTTATGTCATGATGTTTAAAGAGCATTTCCTATGTGCATTTATTTTTTTAAAGTAAATTATTCATAGAAACAGTTAATCGGAAGAGTTTAAAATGTTTCCATATTGGACAAGCATTTATTATAAATTTTTATTGCATGAATCTGCTAATAGAAATCCTAGGTTTCTCACAGATTCAAAGATGGAAGGGATACAGAGAGGATTTCTTCCTGTGGAAGATCTGCTCCTTGTTGCCCTTTAAAATAACTGGGGTGTCTCCTGAATTTATATCACTTTGTCACTCCCTGTTTGCAGATCTCATTTTGTGATGCATCTTTGTTCTCTCTCCAAATTGTGCTGCTTCCTAGGATTATGTAAGCTTCATTTGAAGCAAAAGACAGCTATTGTTCTTTTGTAGGGGCAGGAGAAATAAGCAGGTAACCATCCAACTTTCTCACTGCAGATTCTGGGCATTAAAACTAGAATAGCTACAATTATGTGAGTTGCAGTTAGAGAAAGGGAACACATACTGGATTGGGGAGGGCTAGTCTTTCAAAAAAATTAAACAAAAGCAATTCTGTTCAAAGTAAATTTCTAAGGCTCAAGGATAGAGAAGAATCAATAAACATGTGAACTAATGGCAGGATAATTTGGCTTTAAAAGGCAAGTTCTGAAATGTTTTTTTCTCCTGTTCTTGACAATAATTTTGGCACAGTCAGTTAATTCATCCTCTTTTCAAGGCTCTTTTCCTTTTTTGTTTCCTGGTTGTTAATCTGCAGAAACTTAAAGCAGTCGATTATGAGTACCGAGAAGAGGTTCACTGGACTAAATCTCAAGGTTTGCTCGGCACAGGCTCTTTTGGAGAAGTGTACAAAATGGAGGACAAACAGACCGGCTTTCAGTGCGCAGCCAAAAAGGTACAGTGGTACATTATGCAAATCTGTTGCCTCCAAGGGAGGGAAAGCAGCATCAAAAAGAGGAAATGAAAGTTGCTTCCCTTTTCAGTGGAACTGCTGAAGGCTGGAGCAGTCGCAGCAGTGATGGTTTGCTGAAACTTGTTTGTCACATTCTCAAGGTTAAGCGAGAAGTCGTTGCCATGGTGACACCAAACAGTGGAATCTCCAGCTGGCTGTGGGTGTAACAGGCTGCCAGGGAAGGCTCACTCTTGTGTAGTGGCCAAAATATTGTCCTGTTGAGGCGATCTTAGCTGCTTTCTTGCATGGCAGAAATCATTTGTACAATTTGTAACAGGGTCAGATATTAATAATAATAGAAGTTTCTTTAATCTGATCATTGAATCCTGGCAATTTGTCTTGCTTACTTCTTTTAGAATATAGTTGTAGTCATGGTTTACTCCTCTTCCAATGAAATGGACTTCAGCCACAGCAGCTCTTGATGTAATTAAAGTATTAGTCTTAAAAATACCACCAATCTCTATATTTGAGTACAAAGTAAGGTGTGAGAGCATAAGTCACAACTTTTATGCAGTTTTATTAGACAAAGCTGTAGCTTTAAGCTACTAGCTGGAGCTGATTTGTAGGTGTGTAATCCTTTTTGTAACACATAGTGTGCTTTGGTGGCATCTTCAGCAGCTGTCTAGACTTCCTCCTTGCAATACATCATCCACTTTCTTATGTTTAATGCTGATATTATGTTTAAAACACAAGGGGGAGCTAAGTTAACAAGTTAGGAAGCTCAGATGCCTGAAATTTTCTCTGATTTATCTGTGTGCAGAAATCCTGAGGCTGTTATTTGTAATTCCTTTTTTTCCTCTGCTCTGAATTTCCATTCTTTGTTTCATTCTCTGATCCAACAATTACCAGCAACTAGCATGTTAATGACTAATATTTTCCTTCTCTTTAGCAGCTATTCTCCTTTACAGACTTTTTGTTTTACCAGACTATATATAATTAGCTCTCATTTTAGCTTTTTTCTTGTCTGTAACTAGAAGCAGACTGTATTTTAATGTCTGGGTTGAAAAAACAAGCTGGAAAACAATATTTAGCTTCATTCATACAAAAAACTACTAGGATATGTTTAATTTATTTTTGAATTGAAAGCACAATGTGACGTTAGCTTTCAGATCCCAGCTTGTTTCAATGAGAACATATCACTGTATCAGAATACAATATTGGTTTGTTCTTGCTTGTTTGTCTTATCTGTTCAACAGGCCACAGAGATGTGAGATGAAAGCCATGAGAAAGAAACACTTTTCAATTGAAACTGTTCTTGTTTGCTCTGCCCCCCACAATCCCTTGCTCCTTCTTACTCTTTTTTGGTGCTAGTGGGAGCACCAAATGTCAACTGTCAAACTAAAATGTCAATTGTGTGCCCAAAACAAATAAACTCTGTTGGGAGCTTTGAATTTTCAAAAGTAAAATTTTATTGGATACACCATTTTGGTACTGAAGAATCAAAACCAACTCTGGTTTTCCCAAGCAAATGTTTGCCTTGTTAAACAATAGCTTCCCTTTCTCCCCACTCCGGTTGATCATATTTTCCAATTATGAGATGTCCTTTTGTTATGGGAACAGTCCACCTTCTTTTCAAACACCTGCAGTTGTGACCTTGATGGTTTCCAGGCTCTCATAGTCCGTGTACAAATTTTCAGAACTCCATTCCACTCTTCTCTCCTCCCAGCTCATTGGCAAGTTGAATAGAGATAAGATTTGAAAGGAACAAAGTGGTTCAATCTTGAAACCAATTAAATATATCTTGCTGCCTAAGATGATGGGTAGGATTGCCCCCTTTCATAGGGATGTCGATCAGTTTAGTTTCAGTACTGATGATGGCACATCATTTTCTACTGCAAATTGGGACAGTAAACTATCTTGGAAGAAACATACTATATGGGACTGATAACTATTCTCAATCATTTTATTATTGTGGTTGATTTGCTATTTCTAATTGCTGCTTACTGTTTGTTTGATAAAATGCAATGAAATGGGGCATTATGTGTTTTATGAACTGAGCAATACACGTACTAAACTTGATAAAATACCTGGGCTGACTGTGTCTTTGTTTTTTCACTTGGATTGGTGCTTTTCTCACAAGTACTGTCAACCACTGGAAATAAGCAGGTGGGAAGAGCATTTAATCAATGCAGCTAGCCATATACAAGTACTGTTACTCCACTAGTTCAGGAGAATGGGAATACCCAGAGAGAAATGGTTCACATTGAAGCAGTCACTTCTAAGTACACTGCTTTTCTTTACAACTGAGAAGAAGGGGGGGAAATCAGCATAGGGTTAGTCTAGGAAGAGAAGTAAGCTTGTTTTAATTTGTGTTAACAGTTGTGGGAGATCACAGAGAAGCTTCATAATTCTTGTTTGTGCAAACAATTTGTGGAAAGTTATCTGATAACATGGAGAAGCAATGACAGCTCTTTTATTATTGCTAAAATTGAGATATTCAGATTCTGGAAGAAGAGATAGAGGGAAATTAAGTGAGACATTTGATAGACAAACCATGATTGCCACACTAAATGATAGCAAGAACAAATTTGCTTTAACAATGTGTATGAATCAAGCTCCCGTTTCAATAATTAACTTTTCCCACTGGGTTTTGTAGATACTTATGACTCAGGAATCTCCATGAATTTGTGAAATTCAAGTTCTTCTTCAACTTCCCATTTTCCAAAGTCTTTTTTCCCCCCTATCAATAGAGCACCAGTCCTTTTTCTCAATTATTTTGGATTTATTGTGAGCCTAAACGTTTTCTTGACTCATTGCTTACTTGTCTTGTTTTTTAATCCATTGTTAATTTGGTTTTGCTTCTTTTTCTGCCAGCTTCTATTTTAGCTTTATTTGTTGCCATAATTTTCTTTATAAAATTTTGTTACGATCTGTCTCTTCCATTTCATTTTTCTGCTTCTCATTTTCATCTCTTCTTCATTTAAGCAGCTGAGAATCATGATCCTTTGTAATTAAGGTCAAGTGTGTATAGGTACCAAGTGGTTTGTTTGCCTCTCAATTTCCTTACAGATAAGAAATGCAAATACCCTAACTTGCTTCATCTTCTGCTTTCTCAGATGTGCTCTGAACTTCCCCTTGTCCAAGTTTCTTTCTCCATTCAACTCATGCTTAATTCATTTGAAGAAACAAGATACTGAACTAGCTGGTCTTGGTTTATTTTAATTGTATGTGAAAGCCATTATTTTTCTATTTAAAGTCAGTATTGTTTGAACTTTGAATATTGAACTTTTTACCTCATTCTTCTCTTTCTAGGTACAAGTTGAACACTTTCGTGCAGAAGAGTTGTCAACATGTGCTGGAGTGACACATGCCAAAGTCCTCCCATTATATGGAGCAGTGAAAGAAGGCCAGTGGGTTACTATCTTCATGAAACTGATGGAAGGTAGGTGATCAAGAACAGTGAAAAGGTATTAGCAATATCATGAACAATAGGAATCGCAGACTATTGATTAGACTGGAAGCGTCCCGGCGAGACAGTTGGGGAATTACTGGGCTTGGATGAGCTCTGCGAAAACCCGGACTGACGAACTACTGCCGAGGAGTCTTCGGACCAAAACGGTTCTGTAGGGCCAGGGAAGAAGGAGAGGCACCTCAAAAGACCAAGAGGAACAGGCAAGTTCCTTGAAGGTGGAGGAATCTCTCTCTGATTCAGCAGTGGAGGTGGCAGCCATTGCGGCTGTCAAGAAGCTGGGGCAACCGGAATAAGTATTGCAGTGGAGTTTTTGAAGCCGGGTGAGTGACAGCCAACCCACAGGCGAAATAACAACAACAACAACAACAACAACAAAATTATTTTAAAACCTGAAACCCCCAGCATAAAACTAGTGGCTAACGGGAATGGGGGAAGAAAAGAGGATGTAAGCGGAATTTAAAGGGACAAAAACCCGAAAAGAAAATTGATTTTTGAATAAAATTAACTGGAAAATTTTAAGAATTAGAAGAAATAACCCCAAAATTGACTAAAGGATTGGAAAGAAAATAAATAGATCCTTTCTTGTTGAAGACTAAGAAAAATAAAAGACAATTGGATATTAAGCCCTGCAACACAGGTGCTCTATACCTAAAGATAAAATAAAGGAGAAAAAAAAATGGGGGGGAAAGTATTGTTTAATTTGGACTGGACTATAAAACTGATTTGGTATCCTTAAAGTTAAAAAGAAGAAAAAAGAAGTTAGATTGTTAACAAAGATTGATACAAAATGGACACTCTGTTAAACAATTAAAAGAATTGTAGATTGTAGAGAGACATCTTCAGGAGAAAAAAGAGCATTGCAATTTGGAATCTGTTTTGGAAAACTTTGAACTATATCAGTGATAATAGTCGTGACAACTTTCGGGGAGGATTGCTTTGTCTGCAAGCGGCTTGACTTTGGGGAAAAAAAGGAAAACAACGGAACTTTTAAATCTGGAATAATACTAATACAGAAAGAATAAAATGGCGCTGGAAATTAGAGAAATGATGGAAATGATGTACTCGTCGTGGAAAGCAGAAATAAGAGGAATAATTACGATGCTACATGGAGAATCGAAACTTGAGGATCCAAAAATTGAGAGAGAGCATGTTCAAGTTGACAAGGAAACAAAGATGGAGAAGCAAGACACAGATACTGAAAACAAAGAAGATAAAGACAATGAGATTAATTTTGGAAAATTAATTGAATATATGGATAGTAATAATAAAAAGGAGGTTTTTAGAGATTACATTGGGATTAACAATGGAAAAAACATAAAGGGCAGAAAGAGACAAAGAAAGAGAGAAGGGTGGAATAAAAAGAACACAAAAAACTTAAAGGATTACACTGGGATTAACAGTGAAAAGAAAAAAAAGAGAGGAAAAGGATGGGAAACAACAGGAAATGCAGAGCAAAATAGAAGAGTCTAGATTTGTGAAACACAATAACTACACTGGGATAAACTGGGATAAATAAGGGGACATAAGAAAAGGAGAAAAGAGATGGGAAACAATGGGAAACAATGGGCAAAAGAGGAGAGTTCAAGATTTCAAAGTACAAAAGAAAAAAGGGGAAAGAAAAAGGTAAAAATAAAAATGGGAAGGGAGAAAAAAAGAAATGAAAGACAAAGATGCTATAATTGAAATATGAATTGTAATAAAAAAATGGGAAACCATATGATTGTAAAAATGAAATGAATAATAATTGGAATATTTATATTGTATCTTTGAAATTTAGATAATGATAAGCTTTGGGGTTTTTTACTTTTTTTAAGAAATATGAATAAGTTTAAATTGTAACAATTGAAATACCTTTAATGGTATATAGTGGAAAGTAGAAAGGATTAAGTTGTGGCTTGGATAACAAATAGAATATTTTTAAAGTTAAGTAGGGAAACCGTAACGGTTGAAATATTTTTAATTCTTTAATTCTATAATGTGATGAAAGTAGAAATGATTAATTGAAATACTTCCAATTGTATATTATGTTGAAAGCAGAAATTGCTATAATTAATTGATTTGTAAGGAATTGGATTGCATGGAAATAACTGGAATATTCATGTTCATATTGATATATATATATATATATATGTATATGTATATATACACATACATACATACATACATACATACACACACACACACACACACACACACACACACACCGTATTTTCCGGCGTATAAGACGACTGGGTGTATAAGACCCCCGAATTTTCCTGTTAAAATATAGGGTTTGGGCTATACTCACCATATAAGACTACCCCTCTTCCAACGCACACCAAATAAAAATTAAAAAACATCAACTGGCTCACCCACAATGTAAAAGCAGCTGTGCTAGACCCAAAATGGCCCCTGAAACCAGCAGGAACCTCACACAGCCACAAAAAGCCCAAAAACCCAACTTTTACACTTTACACACACAAAATTCCACATACAGCTTTGTGAGATTTTGTGTGTTTGTGTAGTTAGAGTGAAACACTACAAAAACATATTAAATCTCAGAAAGCTGCACACATATTATTTTATTTTATTTTTATTTTTATATGAAAGCTAAATTTCTAAACTTTAAATGGCTAGGTCTAAAAAAGAACAACTAAAAAAACCCCAATTAACTATTTTTTTAAAGATCCCAAAGGGGAAAAAAACTTACCCAATAGAACAGGGGTCTCCAACCTTGGCAACTTTAAGAGTTGTAGACTTCAACTCCCAGAATTCCTCAACCAGCTTTGTTTTGCTGGCTGAGAAATTTTGGGAGTTGAAGTCCACAACTCCCTGCCTGCTTGATTGCAGGCAGGGAGTTGCTTGCTGATGGAATGGATTCAGGCAAGCGAAGCAAGGCAAGCAGCTAAGGTAAGCAAGCTGGAGGGGGAAAACTTTTTTCCTTCTCCATGGCTCTGGCGATCCCAGCTGAGTTGCCTGATTAGCAGATCGTCAGGGCTTCGATTGTCAGAGCCATGTGAAAGGAAAAAAGTTTTTCTCTTCTCCATGGCTCTGGCGATCCCAACTGAGCTGTGATTTAAAAAAAAGTAATCGCAGACTATTGGCAGAGGCAAAAATAAATTGGGTGACTAGATTTGAAGCAGGATTTTAATTTAGTCAATTTATGTTTGTAGGAGATTGCTTCTGCAACATTAAACAAACATTAGGTCAGGGGTGAAATGTGAACTGGTTTGCTACCGGTTCACTGGTCGCGCATGCACATCAAATGCACGCTGCACACACATGCACAGTGCATACCAAATACGCGTTTAAAAACTTACTGGTTTAGAAGAACTGGTAGTTAGCTACTGGTTTGCCTGAACCAGTAGTTTAAAAAGCTACGGGTTCAGTCGAAACGGTAGTTAAAAAAAACTACGATCCGACGATCACCTGTGCCACGTGGTTTAGCTTTGCTAGAAAGCAGGATTTCCTGCTTTCTACTGTTGCTAAACTGCGTGCCACAGTTGATCCCCCCCTCGCTGTTCTACTTATCTTCCAAGCCTCCTTTTGGCGCGTACTTGCAGTTCATGGGCCACTTGTGGCCCTGGACTTTCCAAATTGTAGGTACCATATCTTCTTTGTACATTGTTGTCCTTTATCTAAATGATCCATGATTGCAGATTTCTTGACTATGATGCCACAATATTTTTTCTATAGACTGAAGAAGCTAATGTACTTTTTCTCTGAGTGATGGGAATTTTTCCTTCTAGGTGGGTCATTAGGCCAGCTAGTTAAGCAGTGTGGATACCTACCTGAGGACAGAGCTCTTGATTATCTCAGCCAAACACTGGAGGCCTTGGAATACCTCCACACCCACAATATTCTCCATGGAGATGTAAAAGGTAAGATCATCATTAAACAGCCAACTCCAAGTAGCAGAGGATTTGCTCAAAATGGCATTAATTGCTGCAGTTTTGGAAAATATGAGGTGATGTGAATTAGTCAACTTGTCTTTGCCTTCAATAGAAGATTATTGAATGTTCTGGCAGCCTCCTTTCATATAGAAAACTAAGTATGAGGGAGAGGGACTCTCTTTAGGCTTCTGCCTGAGATGTTAATTTCTCTTAATTAGAATTTCTATGGAGGAACATTTAATCATGTAAATCCTCACTTCTGGTCCTCAGTAATAAAGTCAAAATGTCAGGTGAGCACCTAAGGAGAAGAATTAGGTGGTCTTACAATATTATATATAGATATTGATGGCCTGAAAACCTTGCAATTTTTCTTTTGGCAGCTGACAATGTCCTTTTATCTGGTGACAGAAGCCATGCTGTTCTCTGTGATTTTGGTCATGCAGCTCAACTTCATCCAGATGGCATAAGGAACTATTTAATGACAGGTAACCTATGGCAGGTTCTGAAGAGGCTGTTGATATATGAGCATTGGGCGGCTCTTTCCTTTATGTTCTAAATATGCAACTCAGTATAATTTTCTCAAGAGAAGTTTGTAACAGATTTTGAATATAAAACTGTTCAAGTTACAAATGCTCTATTTCAAGTTTGGAACAGGCTGTTCCAACTGTTCCAGAAGTGTTTTGAGAATGAAGTGGCTGATTGTTTGGCTTTAAAAGACCTCTTTCAGACTTGAAACTTTGTGAATTCAAAACATTTTGGGTGCCCCTATTTCCCAAGTGATACTTCTTTCCAGAGAGTTTCCAACAGCATGAATCTGAACTAGGGTTTTCTGAAGCCTTGCCTTGCTTCTCAATTGTAATACTCCAATATTAATTTTTTTGTGTGATGTCTGGTCTTCTACAGTGAAGGGCTCTTGGGCTAGCCTTTGTTAGTTTAAGAATGTCTCAGCATGGTTGCTTGTGTGCAACAGGGCCCAGCAGGACCCTAAAGAATCAGTTTCCTCTATTCCACTTTTAGGGGATTATGTCCCGGGCACTGAAACCCACTTGGCTCCTGAAATCATAATGGGAAAGCACTGTGATTTCAAGATAGACATCTGGAGTAGCTGTTGCATGATGCTGCACCTACTGAACGGGTACCATCCTTGGATTAAGTACTATAATCATCCTCTGTGCCTCAAAGTAAGTCACCCATTAGTAAATAGATAAATTGTTCATTTATCTGAAAGATAAAACAGATAATTGTGGCAAGAAATGCTTAGTGTTCTCAACCAATCTAAGAAATGTATCTTTTGTTGTACATATTTTTGTTGGGTACAAACATTCAACACAATGCACTTATTTTAGATTAACTATTGGTCTCAAGAAGTTACAGGTCCCACCTCAGGATTACTTCAGTTTTTCTGATCTCTAGAATTTGCAGTTTATATCAAAATATATAATCTATGTCTAGTTGTTCTGTCTAATTTGATGACAAAAGCCATTTGCTCACACCTTTTAGCAAAAAATCAGCAATGTTTGTTAAATGGTAAGATTCTTATCATAATGATAAATTCAAAATGAACAGCAGTCTATAAAAAGGGGTTTCTGATTCATTCTGAAACCATTTTTGTCTATAATTCTGGAGGATTGATATTCCAGAAGGATTTGCTGATAGAAAGCAATTAAGAAATATAGAATTGTAATGATGTTGTGATTGTGGCTACAGCTTATCCAGTCCAAACAAATATCTTCAATAATTTATAAATATTTCAAAATTGTTCCACCTGTGAGTATATTATGTTTGAAAATAGGTGGATGTGGCATTGCAGATTGTTCATGGATTGTACCAGGCCTGGCGAGTGACACACTGTCATGCTATGTTAGTAACTTAGTTTTGTAGCATGATAGTTTAATTGCTAACTGTTTTACTGATGTATTGGTTGTTCTCATTTGTTTCATGACCCATTTTTACTCTCAATTACATGTGAGTAGAAACAACTATTGGAATGAAAGGAATTAAAATGAATGAAAATGCTGCAGATAACAATGCTCATGAATCAAATGTATGTTGGATATTTTTGAATATTACTCTGTGGAGAAATTGTTTGGAGCAAATTTTAATGCTTCTTGTGATTTTTTAAATAGGACTTTTTTCTTTTCCTTCTATTTCTGTCTAATTACTTCTTCCCTTCCCTCATCTCCATCTGCTTCTGTTGTTTTCTATTTTTCCTTTCATTCTTATGTTTAATTTTACATTTTTTATATTTAGTTCTTTGTGAGGAGCTTATGAGAGAAAATGGTATATGGGGTGCCTAATTCTGAAGGAAACATTTTAAGTTCACGGTCATTTTTCTCTTAAGTAAATAAGGTATTTGTTAGAAAATGAGTATGTGCCAACTTAGGTCTACACAGAACCTGTGAGAAGGGATGGCTGATGATGGCATTTAGACTGCAGTTCTGGTCTAATTTACCTGAAGTTGAATTTTAATTAGAACAATGAGATCTTTTGTAAATTAGTTTGCATATATAATGGAAGGTAAAGCACAAACATGAAGTAAGCTTATTAAGTTCTGGAACATAACACAGTATTCAATGCATATAGAAATGATAATTCAGAAGTTGAATGGCTCTTATGAGAAAAATGCAAAGCGAGACAATTTTCTTTGAATCTTTAGTATAGAGTAGCTTCAGGAATTAGCTCCTACACAAAGACCTCCATTTGAAGCTTAGTGTGGATGCTAGATGCAAGTTGTACCTACTGTTTATATAAATTTTGCTGTATAACATATTATTTAGGTTACAGTTGGCTATTCTAAATGCAAAAGAATGTTATTTTAAACAATTGAAAATGTAGTGTAAACTTTTCAGTTTCTCAAAGAATATAATTATTCCGCCTTTTCTTTGGGGCCTAAGAGGATTCTAATTTTTGTCTCCTTAGTTCAGTCTGATCCAATATAGTAGGCTTGGAGTTAAGAGCTGGGAAAATGTTGTCCAGTGAGGAAACAAAATTTCTGTCTATCTCAGACATCAAATTATCTTTGGATAGCACTGGCCCTATTTGCAAACGTCTCAATATTTTGAGTATTGCTTTTAAGGCAACCTGTCAGTCTACAGTGTGTGTCTGATAGAATTTCTATGCACATTGATATTTTTTGTACCAGAATATTGAGGGGTTTTGCCTGTATTGCAGTTGTCTGTCAAATATAGTAGTATTATATATGCCTCATTTTCAAAAAAGTGAGAAATTGATTTCTATTTCATATGTATACAGTAGTAGTTGTCATTGTCTGTTAAATAGTTGCTATTTGTAGGCCTGTAGCTTTTTGATTGCTTTTTATCAGTATCCATTTTCCTGTGTCTCTGCATTGCAGATAGCCAAAGAGCTACCCCCTCTGAGAGAAATTCCCCCCTCCTGTCACCCATCCACTGTTCGAGTCATTACCTCTGGCCTTGAGAAAGACCCTACAAAACGAGCTTCTGCAGCAGAGCTAAGGAAGAAAACCTGCATAGCACTTAAGCAAGGTGAGATTGCTTTGCCTTTCTGAACATGCACCTGGCTGGCAATTTCTTCCTTTCTTGCATCTATCCCCACAGTCCCCTGACAAAACCTTGCTCTTTTATTTTGTTCCTGACATTTCTCTTTATGTTGCTTCCATGAATCATTTTCACACTTGGTTGTGTAAGAGAAAACATGGAAGTCAGATTTTGTTTAGTAACTTGTGTGCTATAAATTAGAAGAAAGTAAAAGTACACAGCATGTCCCAGGGCAAGCATTGTCTGTAAATGAATTTGATTACCCTCACTAGTGTCATGCATGAAAACCAGGTTCACATGTGAAGGTTCAGTTTAACTGATATTTTGCTAAAAACGTATGCACAGGATTCTTCTCAACTAAGAATCAGCACCTGATTAGAACTAGATAAGGTTCAAAGGGGGTTGGACTTAGCTTGTTTGTGACTACATAATGACTCTAAACTATTTTTTTTGGCTCTGCCAATCCTCCTTCTACTTTGGTCACATAAAATAATGCTAATTTGTTGTCCACAGAATGTTTCTGGTAACTTCATCACACACACACACACACACACACACACACAGATATACATACATACATACATACATACATACATACATACATACATACATACATTTTTTGTACAGAACCTGGAGGATGGTAGGGGTTTATATGAAACAGGGTAGAAAAGATGTTTGTAATTCAGTGTATTTGGTAGACAGTACACATAATGCATGTGACAATTACAGCAATATTTTCCATCTTTCCAGACAGTTCAAATATTCTTTTTTTTTCTTTTAGTATGTCACCTCTTTGGTTAGATAGCTTAAAAAGCAATGGGCAGAATCTTTTTTGTTCTCTCTTGCCTCACATCCATGAGTGCAAAATTATGAAGTTGCATGTTAGTAAAAGGATGATGTATTACTGAGGGCTGCTAAAAAACAATCCTATGTGGCTGGTTAATAAAGCAGATCAAGATAAAGTCTCCTTCAAGCTGACAAATAAGAACTATTATAGTTGAGTAATTCCGGTACTGTGAGCACGGGACTAGTTATCAGCAGGCTTCCGGCTACAAATCAAAGACCTGCATTTGCCCTGATAAACGCACCAAATGATTTAGCTCATGGTAGTGGTCTGCACCCTGTGGAACAGCCTTCCCAGTTGTTCCTGTTGGCAACAATTTTGGTGGTATTTTAGAAAGCAGCGTGCTTTTATTGTTGTAAGCTCCAGGAGTCTTTCTGAGCTTAGTGATGTGATACAGGACTGAGATGAATAGTCAAACTCACTCCTGATTTCCATCTGGATATGCTATGTCTTTTGACAAATAAGACAAAAGTGATTTACTATTCATGGCCTTCTGGTTTTGTTTTGTTTGAAAATATAATAAAACATTATTCTGCTGTACCGTAGAAAGTAAAACTATGTCAGAGTAGTCATCATTTTATGAATATATTTATTATAGAATGTATTTATATTTTCCCTCTTCATAATGGATTGCTACAGGAAATTTAGAAGAACTAAGAACATCTAGATATATCATCTGAAACTTTGGAGACATCTTGCCTTGTTAAATGTGTGCTGGTGGTTGAACAGGGGTCCCGGTGTTCTTGAGTTGTTTTTAATCATAGATTTTCCCATGTGTGCTTTTGGTTTGTAGTGGGAGGACTGCAGAGTTCCTGGAGTGGTGAATACAGAGAACCTAGATGCCTGCAGTCAACACAGAAAGCTATTCTCGCAGAACTACTATTATCCATACCTGAACTCCCGGATAGCCAAAAGGTGTTGTCTAGAAGCCCTAGACCTCCGTTGCCATGTCAGGATCTGACTGAGAGAAAGCAGTTAATTAACCCAGACATGTGCAAGGAATTACTGCCACCATGTGACTCCCTTCTACCATCCTTCCTGGTACCAGCCAGTACTAGGAAATACAACATGACAGAGTGGAGGACTCCCAGCATTGACCACGACCTTCAGCAGCTGGAGTTTGGTAATCATGGATCAGGATTGATTGATTGATTGATTGATTGATTGATTGATTGATTGATTCATTCATTCATTCATTCATTCATTTCCTTTATTGTTTTAATAAATAACTCAAGGCAGCAAACATATCTAATACTCCTTCCTCCTCCTATTTCCCCAAAATAGGAGAAGGAAGGAGAGAGAGAGAGACAATGAGAGACAGTGACCAGCCCAAGCTGGCTTTCATGGCTTGTAGGACTAGAACTCACAATCTCCTGTTTTCTAGCCTGATGCTTTAATCAACAGACCAAACTGGCTCTCTTATCATTAAAGCTGCTTTTGTGTTTGCCATTTATTTTCTTGACCTCTCTTTTTTCCAAGCTTTTTGTACAGCTATCCACATCATAGAAGTTTTTTCTGAATGGTACTGTATACTGTAAATAGCATTTCTACCTGTTTGTTATTAATTTAGTTGAAGAAGCCAGTCATGTAATATTTGTGAGTTTAAAAGAAGGAAAGGGTTATGACGGTAGCAGAATAAAAGGAACCTGCAAATACCCAGGCATCCATGAAGGAAATGGAGTATGTTGGAGTGTGAAAGTAGCAAGGGGCTTCAGATGGTATGCATTTTATAGAGTGCATACCATCTCTATTACATATAATAGAGTAATATTTAAATTTAAGAGTAGAATCAGGAAATAAAAGGATCATTTGAAAACCTTGGGTTAGATTCTTAGTTTAAAAAATGTTAGCGCAAGCAAAATGTTCTTTAGAGGAGTCAATAAACTTGGTAATCCATTTTCACTCCTTTATTTAAGTTGTGAAAGGGATTCATTATTAAGGTAGTTCAGTGTTTCAAAAATTATTTGGAAGAAGTGTTTCACACTTAGCTTTGGCCTATTACCTTCTTACTTTTCATTAAAACATGTCTTTTATTTTTAAGTTTCAGTGTGGCTGCTTTAATAAACAGTAGAAAGGTGCTGTACTTATGCTTGTATGAAATCCAAAGCCATTCTTCCAAATCATTTTGAAGCACCTAAAGTTCTTAGTTATCTCATAATATCTTCAACAACTTGTTCTAGCAGGATTCAGAAGAACCAGATTTTACTCTAGTATATGCCAATGGGCAAAATGCTATATCCATTGTTCAATTTTTTCAGAGTTACAAATATTCTGTTTACAAATAAACTAAATTAAAATTTAAATAATCCTTTATTGGCAGATTACTGTATATTGCAAACGCAAAAGACAAAATAAATAGTTAAGCTTTAACTGAGTTGAACTTTTGAGGAAAGAAAGCTGTGTTTTAGAGAAGGAGAAATTAAAATAGTAAGAATGAAAAATATATATCAATATGTTTAAAACTGCCAAGCATGAATTAGTATAAATATAATATACATTTATAAAAAAGAGCAGATCCATTTAATTTATTATCGGAAGCAAAATCAAAACTATAATCGTATTTTGAAATGTTAATGATGAGATAATGGAGTCCTTGTCTGTTTTAATAATGAATCCAGAATGGGATTATGGTTTTAGGATAATCATGGATGCCGACAGTGGACAGTCTCCAACGTCTTCATTTTAGTCCATTCTCGTTTCCATAGATCTGATTCTGAACAGCCTCTCTCAACCCTTTTCACTGGAAGAACAGGAACAAATGTTATCATGCTTCAGCTTGGATAGCTTCCTCGCATCAGATGCTAGTGAAAAGGTAATTTACATGAAGATGGACAGTTGCTGTTTTGAAATTGTAGCAGATTGTCCAAGTCAGAATACTCCAAGAAGGATTGTAAAGAATTCCTATTCAGAACAATTTGAGCATATTTGAATGCCTTGTACATTCATATCTTTCACTGTGTGTTCCTGCTTCAAGTTTGTGTCCTGTCTATGCTATGAAGGAAAACTGTTTTTTTTTTTTAATAGAACTCCAATCTAGATTCTATTGAGGAAAGCATATTTATTTCCTCCACCCAATAATAGAAGATAAATAATAAAATGAATGACTGATCTAATATACTCAGTTGCTCACCCAATCTTCTGGGTCAGAGAAAGGACAAGTAGTCCTTGACTTGACAACCACAATTGGGACTGGAATTTCTGTCACCAAGCAATGTAGTTGTAAAGTGAGGTGTCATGTGACTGCATTACTTAGCACTGGCAGTCCTGGCGGCCATCATAATTCCAAATACCGGGGGGGAGGTGGGGTGTCATTAAGCAGGAAGTGGAGAGAATCCCAAATAAACACATATCCCCTGATCACATCAATCGGACGAAGGGTATGAATTTCACCTGTCAAGGTCCAGGAAGGGAACCTTCTCTGCCATTGCCTCAGCCCTCTGGAATTTTCTTCTTACAAAGAGGTGGCAAACACCCCCTCTCCACGTCTTTTGGAAGGATATGAAGACCTGGCTGTACCAATTCATGTGGAATACAAACCTGGAGATTGTTATTGCTTTGAATGTTCCCTGTCCCCCTTCTAACTTTTAATTTACCATATTTTTTGGAGTATAAGATGCTCTGGACTATAAGACGCACCTACCTTTTTTGGTGAGGAAAACAAGAAAAAGAAATCTGCCTCTGCCTCCCAGCAATTTTGCCTCATTGCAGCAAACAGCAACTAGCCTGCTTTACTTTCATTTTCGTTTTCAGCATAGCTTGATTAGCACAAGAAAAAAAAAACTACTCCCAGCAACTACTCCCAACTACTCCTTGCAGCAAGCAGCAGAAGCCCGCGCAAAACAGCTGAGAGCAACACAGCTGAGAGTCAGGAGGCCGATCCAATGGACAATCAACTTGTGCTAATTAGGCTGTACTGAAGCTGAAACGAGCTGTTTCTTCTTGCTGCTTGCTGCAAGGAGCTAAACTGCTGGGAGGCAGAGGCCAAAGGGTGTGGAACAGTGGATGGGCAGAGCTACATTCGGTGTATAAGACACACCTAAATTTTCACCCCCTATTAGGGGGGGAAAGGTGCATCTTATACTCCAAAAAATATGGTATTTCATCTTTGCTTTTTACTTGGTGCCCATTTTACTGATGTATTTTTATGTGATTTTTATACCTTTAGCTGTAAGTGCAGAATCACTCTGAGAGTGTGATTGATAGCATGGGGGCAATGCAGGGGGATTGGGTAGGCCCAGGGAGGCCTGATGCACATTGTACAAAACTTGGTGAGGATGCTAGAATACAGTGTGACAGGAAGGAGGAGAGAGAAATAATACAGTGTAGCTCAGGGTTTTCTTGGCATGCAGTATATCTGGGGCTGTAAGAACTTGCTCAGTGGAAGCACAAAGCATCTGTCTCAGGAATCCCCAGCAGCAAGGTGGAAAGCCGTAGCTCAGCAGTATGGTGTAGTATACTTCAGCCCAGCCGCCCTTGCTGCCTTGCGTCTCACCATCCTACTGACCATCACTGATTTCTTGCTCCTGCTGTTGCTGAGGCTTGGCTGCCTTGGACCTTCACAAGACAACTACTACCCATGCCAGGCCTTCTTTCCAAGGTTGCTTGCTCCATTCTCCAAATTGTGTGTTCCACTCTCCAAATAGTGCATCCTGTTGTCTCAATGCTTCAGAAAGCGTTCAGAAACCTTTTTCTAAGGTCTTCACCAGATCTTTGAGAACGAGCAACCTATTTGCAGAATGGCAAACACCCAGCTCTTGCAATGCTTTGGAAGACCTCAGAAAATTTCCAAAAGCTTTCTGAAGCTTTACAAGCACTGGGAACACGATTTGGAGAACATTAGAAGTGACCTTGGGAAGAAGGCCCGGTGCAGCCAGCAACTGCTTTGTAAAGGGTTAGGCAGGGCATGCCTTGTGAATAGCGGGAGGAAGATGGCAAAGGTCAGCTGGGTGTGGCAGGCCCTGGTGGGTGGAGGCCAGTGAAAAGCCATTAGTTCCTTGTGTCCTTATGTCCAAGACCCTGTGGTCTTGGGGTAGCTAGTTGAGATTTATGGCTTGAGGGAGCATTTCTCAAGGGCAGCTGCATCCCTGTGACTGCAATAAAGGCCTAGAGGATAATAGATAATAGGCTAGCTGAAAGCCCCGAGCCTCTACTTCAGCCCCTGCTTTGATGTTTCTGCCAAGTGCTATGCAGGGTGGCCAAAAGGATAGATGGGCAAGAGATAAGCAGGAGGGGGAAGTCGAAGGTTGTAAGTGTGGGCAGGCTGCCAAGAATCCAAATTCTGATCACATGACCATGGGATACTGCAGTGGCCGTAACTTCAGGGAACAGTCATAAGTCCATTTTTTTCAGTAGTGTTGTAACTTCAAATGAGCACTGAATGAATAATCATAAACTTCTGCATTTCTTTCCAGTCTCTTTCCCATTCACTTCAGATCATTCCCAGGACTTTGTGCTTTTCTGGAAAATACAAGCTCTGCTCACTGCAATTTAATTGCATCAGTACAGTGTAGTTTTATGTTGTTGGATTGGGAAAGGGAGATCGGGTTCAAACCCTCACTCAACTGTGGAATCAACCTGATTGATTTTGGCTAGTTACTCACTCTCAGCCAAAATGTAAAGATCTGCCATAATCAGTGGAATCTAAATATAACTAAATATAGTAAATAGTATCCTATAATAAAACGGGATAGATATTCCTAGGAAATGTTCACATTTTTCTTTCATATCACATCACCCCTGAATCTTTGAGCTGTTACCCCAGAATCTTACAAACAAGCTGAGCTATTCCTCTCTGTATGTCCCCCTTCTCTGCCTATGAAAAAATGTTGGCTGGTGCATCTTTAGAATGTTTCAGTAGTGAGGCATGGCACTTCAACTTCATGAACATTAACAGAATAGAAAATCCTCTTATAGGAACATGAACATTCTAGGTTGAATCTCTCCTTGGTCAGTTTCCATCCATTATTCCTTGTCTGGCCTTCAGGTGCTTTGGAAAACAGCTTGACCCCCTCTTCTCTGTGACAGCCCCTCAAATATTGGAACACTGGTATCATGTCTCCCCTGGTCCTTCTCTTCACTAGACTAGCCATGCCCAGTTTATGTAACCGTTCTTCATATGTTTTAGTCTCAAGTCCCCTAATCATCCTGGTCGCTCTCCTCTGTACTTTTTCTAGAGTCTCAGTATCTTTTTTATAGTATGGTGACCAAAACTGGATGCAGTACTCTAGGTATGGTCTTACTAGGGCTTTAGTACCTCACCTGATCTTGATTGTATCCCTCTATTAATGCAATTTAGGATTGCATTGGCTTTTTTTAGCTGCCGCTGCACACTGCTGGCTCATATTTAGCTGATTGTCCACTAAGATTCCGAGATATCTCTCACAGTCACTGCTTATTAAGCCTGGTTTCCCCTAATTTATATGTGTGCTTTTGGTTTTTCTTACCTAAGTGGAGGACTTTACTTTTCTCTACATTGAATTTCATTTTGTTAGATAGGGCCCAGTGTTCAAGTCTGTCAAGATCCATCTATCTTCTAGAGTGTTAGCTATTCCTGCCAGCTTAGTATCATCTGCAAATTTGGTGAGTTTCCCTTCTATTCCCTCATCTAAGTCATTTATGAAGATATTGAAGAGTACTGGGCCTAAGACGGAACCTTGTGGCACTCTACTGCTTACTTCTCTCCATGTAGACTTGGACCCATTAAGGACTACTCATTGAGTACGGTTTGTCAGCCAGTTGCGAATCCATATGGTGGTGAAACTATCCCACTTTTTTCTAGCTTACAAAGAAGTAGGTTGTGGTCTACTTTGTCGAATGCCTTGCTGAAATCTAAGTATATTATGTTGACAGTATTTTGCTGGTCTACTAATTTAGTCACTATGTTGAAGAAATAAAATAAGATTGGTTTGGCATGATCTGTTTTTAACAAACCCATGCTGACTGCTAGTTATTACTTTACTCGTTTCTAGGCATATCTGTTTTTTTATTATCTTTTCCAGTATCTTCCCGGATATTGATGTTAGGCTGATTGGTCTGTAGTTTCCTGGGTCTAGTTTTTTTCCTTTTTTGAAGATGGGAACCACATCAGCTCTTTTTGGATACAGTTGGTTAGACGTTCCATTAGCCATAACCATTCCAAAACAAACATGCATACTGAAATAAAATTGTCTACTTCTCTCTGTGTGTCTCTCACATATAGTTTTTCTTCAGCAATGTTAGCATGCTTCTCATGCTTGAAAGTATTCACATTTACTTTTTTCTCCATATACTAGGTATCAAATTTAAGCCCATGTACAGATTTCTATTCTCTAGCATTTTTTGAGAAGTTTGTGTGTGTGTTTGAAGTTACGGCAAGGGAGAGGGGAATACAGATTGAAGAAAGGAATGCAAAAACGAATATAACAAAAAGATACATCTGGCAGCCAAGCCCCCCAAAAAATGCAGTTGCTCCTCCTTTTTGATTCTTTAGGGTTCATTGAAAATGTCCCACAGTCTGAAGGACACCATGAGTTCAGGTGTACATTCCTGGAACAGCCAAGCAGATGGCCAGAGCAGCAGCTGGAACAGCTGGCTGAATCGTAGCAGGAATACAGATATGCCCACTTATGTTAACGGTAAGACATGGTTATAGGACGATAGCCACAAATTATTTTTTAACGGTGTTTGTCAAATATGATTTTTTAAAAATCAAGATTAGTTACTACTTGAGTTATGGATTTATGAGCGAGAATATCTATGTATGCACAATTATTGGGCAACTATTAGTGTGCAGAATTATGCAACTAAATGAAAACAATTATTGGGCAACTATTAGTGTGCAGAATTATGCAACTAAATGAAAATTTGCCCATCTCACTTATTTATTTGCATCTGTTAAAGTGAGAATAATAAACAAACAACTCAAAATGTACAAATAAACATTTCTGACATAAAAGTTCATAAAAATAGTGATCAATATAGCCACCCTTCTTTTCAGTAACAGTCATAAGCCTTCCATTCATGGAGTCTGTCAGTTTCTTGATCTGTTGACGATCAACTTTTTGTGCTGCAGCAACCACAGCCTCCCAGACACTGTTCAGAGAGGTGTACTGTTTTCCTTCACTGTAAGTTTCCCGTTTAAGAAGGGCCCACAAGTTCTCAATAGGGTGTAGGTCAGGTGAGGAAGGGGGGGGGGCATGTCATTATTTTTTCATCTTTAAGGCCTTTACTCTTTAGCTGCTCAGTGGAGTAGTTGGATGCATGCGATGGAACATTGCATAAAAATCATGGTCTTCTTGAAAGATGCAGGCTTTTTCCTGTACCACTGCTTGAAGAAAGTGTATTCTAAAAACTGGCAGTAGGTTTGGGAGTTGATTTTGAGTCCATCTTCAACCTGAAAAGATCTAACTAGCTCATCTTTCATAATACCAGCCCATACCAGTGCCCCACTTCTACCTTGCTGGCATCTGAGTTGAAATGGAGCTCTGTGCCTGTTACTGATCCAGTCATGGGCCCATCCATCTGGTCTGTCGAGTCACTCTCATCAGTCTTTAAAACCTTTGAAAAATCTGTCTTAGCCCAGTCTTGCCATTTCATTTTGTGTTTTGTTCAGTGGTGGTCGGGTTTCAGCCTTCCTTACCATGGCCATGTCCCTGAGCATTGAATACCTTGTACTTCTGGGCACTCACGGTAGGTTGCAGTTTTGGAATATGACAACACTGGAGGATAATGGATTCCTGGTAGCTTCACATACGATTCTTCTCCAATTTTTGGCAGTTAATCTGGATCTTTTTTTCTCAACATGTTTCTTGCAACCCTGTTGACTATTTGCAACAAAATGTTTGATAGTTCTGTGATCATGCCCCAATATCTTAGCAATTTCAAGAGTGCTGCATCCCTCTGAAATACTTTTTACAATTTTTGACTTTTCAGAGTCAATTAAATCTCTTTCGGCTATTTTGCCGGAGGAAAAGAAGCTGCCTAATAATTATGTACACTTTGATATAGGGTATTAATCTCCTTATGCCACACCCTCCCTCATTACACAAAAACACATCACCTGATATGCTTATATCCACTAAGCATTTTAGTTTATGCAGCTTGGAGGTGGAAAATATGCATAAAAATGATGATATGGTCAAAATAATCACTTGCCTAATAATTGTGCACACAATATATTTTCAAAATGATTGTAAAATATGTATGTTCCGCTGAATTTAAAAAATGGCAACAACAAAAGTTAATGAAATGAAATGAAAATATATTTGTGGCTTTTGAACTCCTTTAGATCCTGATGCTTTCATTTGGATTCTTACGCTAACCAGGGTTTGGACCTGGTGATCTGAATCAGGTGTGCCCAATCCATGATCTGCATGCAGCCCTGGACAGCTAATAATGCAGCCCCACAAGATAATAAAAAAATAAAGGAATTTTGTTGTTTATATACATTAACCATATTATATATTTTATGTGTGGCCTAAAAATTCATCTTCACTAAGTACAGCTCGGAGAAACCAAAAGGTTGGAGAACCGTAGTCTAAATCCATATTTCTCAGTCTTAAATATGTTTGGAGTTCAAGTTCCAGGATTTCCCAGTCATCATGCTGTGATTTGAAATCCACATATCTTAAAGCCACCAGTGTTGGAAATACTTGCCTAATTATCTCTTTTTGCACTAGTATTCTCTGGGCTGAGGAGCATCTTATATTTGATGAAGGGAGTTTAGTCCAAGGATGGGTAGAAGGATAATTGAGAGCTATTAATCTCTACAGAATAAGGTTCTTTGCAATAAAATCTGAAGAAAAAGTTCTTTTCTCTCTCTTTTTTATTTTCTCTCAGGAGTGAAAATTGAGATCTGCTTGCTTAGTGGGGAAAGCCTCCACATCAGAGAATTCCGTGGAACTAAGGTGGGAGATGTTGCCACTGGAATCAGCAGCCAGGTAGGTGTTGCACTGAAGAGCTGGTCTTTTTTTTGGCTATGTATTAAAACAGAGCTTTTGGTGAAGGAAATCTAAATTTTGCAAGGCAAGCAGCTTTTCTATGGCAGAGGGTGCACAGTAATATTTTTTTAAATCTCTTAGATATTGTTGAAGTGGGTGGGACTACAGTTTCCAGTCCAATCTGAGGATTTGGGATGCCATAACCCTGCCACCCCCCCAACTGAGGAAATTAGTGTAGTTTGGGGAGGGGCAGGATGCCTCTGAAAGATTTAAAATGTCAATTTATTCATATTTTTACTATTTTACTATTTACTACTATATTTAAAAATAGTACATGATTTATTTCATCCTTAAACCCATTCCGGGCCAAGATTTGTAATAGTCCAGAGGTGTTACATGGGTAACAAAACAGGGATCTGGTGGGTTCACAGCAGTGGTGGATTGCTCCCAGTTTTGTCCGGTTCTTTAGAATTGATAGTAAAAACGGCAGGAGGCTTTGCCCAGCCACCCACCCAGATGTCATAATTGACTATCTGCGCAGAAGCGCAAGTGAAGCGAGCGTGCGTGTGCCCTCCCATTCCGAACTGGTAATAAAGGTAAGTAGAACCCACCCGTGGTTCACAGGGTGATTTGGCAGATTTATGCAGGCATTAATTAGGATTGCCAATAATATATACCTATAGTAGAGTGGGTTTCGTTTACCTGCTTTTTATTTTGTTTTTTTTTATAAGATACCAGCCCCTGCATTCAGCTTCTTCACAAAAGAAGGCGATCCTGTTCATTGTGACATGGCGGTCCCTGATTCAGGCATTGAACTTCAGTGCACTTTGGCTCCTGATTGCAGTTCTGGCTGGAAGTGGAGGGTCAAACATGGTCAATTAGAGAAGCGGCTGTAAGGTCTTTTTCCTCCTCACATTTTATATTGAAGCAAATGTGACTCTGCAAAAAATCAGTGCAGGAATTCGTTGGTGACAGCTGCCTATCAAAGGAGATTATAGGTTTCTTATCTGCTTCTTTGCCACATCCAGTGCCTATGGAAGGTGTTGTGGGTTGAACTTCTATGCAGAATTGAACAGTTGGGCTGAATTTAACAAAATCAACCTCAGAAGCTTGGAAACATCCTTCCTTAATTCCACTATCCAGGACTATCCCAATAGTGCTTTTTTGGGGGGGGGGAGGGGGTGTCATCTTTTAAACTGCCTTGTTTCAGTCTGAGCACTGAATACGGCTTTTTAATTCCTTGGAGGAATGTATGACCTCCAGATATAATAGTCAGTGTGTCATGAGTGCATAACCAACATATCTCTGCAGAAGCAGTAACTTCATCACTCACACAGAAACTCTTTTATTATATGTTATTTCATTTTCTTCCTGTACAATTTACAGCAGGCATGTTCAACTTGCAGTCCATGATTATTTCCATTCAGTGTGGCCCAGGCAAGCAAAAAAAAAAAATGGCACACCTGTTTTACAGAGTTAAACTTACATGCTTATCAGGAGAATTTTTAACTACGAGTCTGAATGCAAATAGTTTTTTTAAGATTAAACAGATCATACTTTTCAAGACAGCATTAATTTTTATTTTTTAAAATCCTAAATCAGAGAAAACCACATCTATCTATTACTGTTTATGATATAGAAGTAAGCCCTTTTGAATGCACCAAGACTTACTCCAGTCTAAATGCTCATTAGTTTCCACTTATGCCAAGGATAGTTTGAAGCAAAAATCTAAACTTGAGATAGTTTAAGCAAGTCCTTATAGTCTTGTTTTTAGTTGACCAGATTGATTTTATTTGCTTTGGCAGATTTTGTGTGAAGAACTCTGGTCATGTAAATGAATATCATTGGACTAGGGTATAAGAGAAATAAAATAGATGATATATAGTCATCTTTTTCTCTTGATAGGTGCAAAGATACCTCATTCACAAAACCTCAACTGGCACGTTCTGAGCTACATCTGGAGTATGTTCACTCGTAATTGTTTTTGGCTGAACTTTGAAATTATATAGAAAAGATAAATCCAATTGAAAAAATTGGGGGGGGGGGTTAAAAACATGTCTGTTATCCTTCTCTATCAAAGAAAATAATTTAGTTGCCTAAATTCCAATTAAATTTTCAAGATTTTCTACTTCCTCTTCCAAACATGCATACTTCTTTACCAAGGCAATGAACAGCATCTTTTCAATCCATCTTTTCAAATGTAATTCCTAGGCAGCTGGAGTGAATGTGCAAATTACAAGAATTTGGCTATATAGCAACTCTAAACTCTATGTTTCTCCTTGTAAACGTCTCATTTCACATTAAAGTTAAATGTCTTCATTTCTGACTTGACTTCACTATTGGATAATAAAATTTGTCTATTGCTACTTTTACTGGATTCTAAATCTACTGTAATTCTAAACAAATAGATTATTTTTTAGAAGCTTGAAGTTGTGCCTTAATAATTGGTTGTTTCTTAATTGGCAAGAGGCTTTTGTAGTCTGGTCTATTAGAAGTTGTACTGCTGCATTTAAAATGGATCCAATTGCTTGGATGTCCTGCTAATTTGATTGTAGTTGTGCTCTAAGAGGCAATATCTTCCCAGTTGGTACAACAAAAAGCTGAAATAGGCCACTGAGTTTTTATGATTGTATGTAATTTCAGTTGTCTGAAGTTCATGTTGTGGTCCCTATTTAATTTTGCGTAAAATTAAATGCTATTCAGAATTGGAATGATTATTCTTGCAATTCAGTAACCTAATGAACTTATCGAGTTTGGTGGTTTACAAAATTGCCACAAGTATTGGGAGACACTATATCTCCTCAGGACCATGATGGCTGATGAAAATGGCAAGCAGCCTCTAATTTTGCCATTGAAAACTTAAATTTATAAGTACTGTTGTTTGGGATTGCAATCTGTAAAATCATTTTGTACTGTATTCTCTCAGTAGCTGGTAGAGTTCATGTGAAAGAAAGAGGGTTTTTTTTTTTTTTGAAATGCAATGCTTCATTATAGAAAATAAGTATAAGAAACTTACTTGACATGACTTCATTGTGGGCAGCAGCATTGTGGGTGCAAGCGGCAGGAAAGAGTTGACACGATGTTCTGGGGAACGTCCAAGGCATCCGGCTCCATTGTTCCTTCAGGAACCTGGTTGCTTTTATCCAACTTGAATCAGATGATTTGGAGAAATGCCATGTCTTTCAAAATGTCTTTCTCCTGGTTGTTTTTATCCAGCCTGAACAGACTAATTTGGAGAAACACCATGGAATCATCACTTAACAAATCTGACTTGCTTTTCGGTTTGACTGCAGGAGGCTCAACTAAAGCGTTCTCTGAAGGGCACCTGGGTAGGTTTCTCAACAGTATATTTGTCTTGGCAATAACATTGGAGCTGAACAGCATTTTTTGTGACTGATGATCAGTCTGAGCCAGATTCTGAGCTAGGGCCTCCTTGAGAGCAAGGGCTTGGTTGAGTTCTGTAAGCTCCTTTGACGGCTGAGCTAGCTGGAGGGCATGCTGAGCAGTGTAGTTGTCTGAAAACAGAGGAGCCTCCAGTTTTACTGTGGACGTTGAATTGATTTTCTCCAGCATCTCTGGAGAATGACTGGCTGCTTCATTTTTCTCGAGAACTGAGTGGTCTTTTTCCATCAGAGAATGATTTTCTATCGGCTCACCCCAAAGCCTCCAGGCGCAGCTCAAAAAGGACCCTGAAAGGGAAACCATGGCGGATCTGCCCTTGTTTAGTTGTTCTATCTATCTATATAGCTGGAGAGATTGGGTAAATTCTATTTTTTACTGTCACCTAGTTTCAGGTTGGAACTCAAGAAATGATTTTTAAAAATTATAGAGAAGAAACTGGCTGTAGAGCCAATCACAGCTGTCAATTTATTCCTAACTGTGGATAACATATTTTTAAAAAAGTACAAATTGCCCTCTATAGATTGTACAGCTTGGGGAGCTTATCCATTCTGTTTGTGGAAAGGAAAAAACAGCTCCTAGTTACCAATACATTTCTCTAAATGTTCCTAAAAACATCATTTGTGGAAATCTTGACTCTTTCAAGCACTTTTCTTAATTTGCAAGAATAGCTGACTTATGATCCAGTCAAGAGAAAAGAAATGTAGCAAAATGAAGTATCTATATGCAACGGGAGTAAACTGACACATTTAGAAAAATCTGAAAGTTTATCATGATATCTTAGGTATCTGCGGCTGTAATCCAGGGGTCTTTCCTCTCCAGTTCTTAAAACATTAATCTGCTTGCAGCATATTGATTCCTGCAAATGAAGTAGCAGACCCTAAATCAAGAAATAGGGATCTAGATTAATGTACAGAAAAGCACATTATTTTTTCTTCTTCATGCATTTACTTCATGCATACTTTTCTCTTTTTGTTTTGTTTTTTGGTATAAAGAAAGAAGTTATTTTGTCAGATTTGCATTGTGATAATGTAATGATAGCGAGCTCATAGATCATGTTATGTCTCTGCAGGTGTATGTTCTTTTTTACTGTGATATATAAATCAACTTTGTGTAGCATCAAGCCAAACCACAATGGCATATTGAACAAATGATGAAACTCATTTGGTCATAGTATTTAGGGGCACTATATGAACCAAGCCATTTTTTTAAAACTCTAGAGAATTTAGGCTAAAATATTAGCTTTCTGTGTGAGCTTTCTGTGTGAAGAATTTATTAACTTCCTTGCTTCCAGTGTTTAAACTGTTAAATAACCAATTTCCTTGCAAAAATGAGCTTAGAAGTTTGTCTATTTTTCCAATGTTAAAATTATATTGGTTTTGAAAAAGCCAAGAGATGGAATGCTAGAAAGCCTCAGCCTTACAGCCTGTTGTCTTAGATACTTTCCCCTCCAGTCCAGCTTCAGAAATGCCACAAAGCTTTTTAAAATGAATAGAATGAAATAATTATTTGGAACAGCTCTTTAGACTGGAGTTGCTTTTGCCAAAACCAGGGTAGTAACCAGAGTGGCCTAAAGATCCTTCTAAACTGTGTTCTTAATACTTCAATTAAAAGTGTTCATTTTGTTGTTTTCAACTTAAAATATATATTTTAATGGAGGGGGGAAAGAGGGAAAAGTAAGAACGTACAGATAGATTTTAAATGAAAATCACTGATTATGTTCATGTGATGCACTGAACCACAAACTTGCCAGCTATAGTTAGTCTGGTGTGTTCTGAAAAGACCTGTGCTATGTTAGTTTAGGGTTCAATGTGCGGTTTCAGTCCAGAAAAGTAAATTTTATTAATTGTGGATAATCATGTTATACAAGCACAATATATATTGTCTGTGATTCTGTGAAGATTAAGAATGACTGATGTTATTTTTAACTGTCAATGAAGTTGTAACCCAAATGAAGCCTAAATGTACCTTTTTCAATCAAGGAAATTAAATCACAGTGCCTTTAGCTCATATTTTGGTGGTGTCTATTTATTTGGCTAGATGTTTTTCTACTGTTTCTCTTTTCTTCAGAACTTTGGCTAAGGGTGGGTGAATATCTAAAAATGTTGTGGTTACTCATTAATGACCAAGTGCAGTTTACGATTTTGCAACAGATGTATACAACTTCTGTGATTTTGGTGCAGATGTGAGTTTCATCATGTACCAAAGCCAGCATACTGTCTCCCCACAGTGATTTCTGTGGGAAAACCATAAACTAGCTCATGCTGGTGTCGGGCTGTCTGCTGTCCTTTATAGTAGGGATTGCTTCATAAAAAAATTATTGCCCACCATTGATAAGTGTTTGTCTTTTGAAGAATTTTCCACATCTTAAATTGTAATTCATACAGTTTAAAATTGATTTGTATTTGGGAATAAAAATTTGAGAATAAAATTTTAAATAAATTGCCAATTATGGGGAAAGCTGGGGAAGAGCCATTATCAGGAGGGCTGCTGCAAGATTTGGCCTTGTGAATTGAAAAGTAAGCCTTTCTTTTGCCAAGACAATGCTAGAAAGATTACCTTTACCCATGTGCAACTGAAAATCTCAACTCAAAGTGCTGGCATTTCTTAATTCCCTTGCACGGTGCATTTTATCCAATTTGAGGTCTATTGTGTTGTCTGGATCCGAAACAATTATTATTGAAGCTTAGTAACTTGGCCTTGTCATAAAGTGCAAGACTGAATTTTGTAAAACCAAAATAGTCACCATTTTGGATCTTTGTAGATTTTGTAGGTTTCAACCTTTGATTCAAATCCTACAATGCAATAACAGGAAAGGCTTTAAACTATTGTGGGAATGACTGGTCTTAAATAAAGTTCCAAGTTCATTCATGGACACTTGAATACGTGCTATGGATACTTAAGTGGTATCTTTAGGTCAGCCATTTGTTGTCAGCCCAGCCCAATGTGGCTGTTGGGATAAAATGGAGATCCCATGAAAGTCGCTTTATGTCTCGAACAAACAAGGGTTTATAAATTTAAAAAAATGGTGGGATGTTCATGTATATTAAAAAAAAATCGGCTTAGTGTGGTAGAAACCCAATCTTAAAATTTAGAGTACTGTACAGATTTTAATCACAATAGTAGAGTAATCTGAGACTAGTTATATACAGTAAGCAAAACTGTAGTATCACAGCAAAGGTTAGTCTCTCAAATATTTAATTTCTGAAAGTGATCAGATCAATTTATCTATGCGACATGTAATACTCGGAGGGAAATCATTCTGAATCTATTATCATCATGGATTAACAACTATCAGATATGTTTGCAGTAAAAAAATGTTTCTATTTCCTTGGCTGAACTGGGAAGTTGAAAACACATTCTGAAAGGCAAACTATATCTGCTGAGAAAAAGCTCATGGATATAGCCACCTGCATTTGAACTAAGTTGCAACACCTTTTACATGCCACCTAAACTGATGGTTTTATTCTTTTGGGGGGTGGGGTAGGAGTAGGAGGAGAAACAGCCTGTGAACTCAACGTGACAATGAATGAGGAGGCAATTTTTGCTGTTAGTGGTAAAATAGGTACTTGTTATACTATTCACTTGGGTAGTTTTCCTCTACCATATCATCTAGAGGGTATGAAGCTTGAGAAGACTATGAAGAGTCATTATTTAAAAACCAGACAGAAAGATGATTTGTAGGGCAAGTGTACCAAGTTGTGTAGTCTCTAAGCACTTTTGCTTATCCTACATCTTGAACAGAATTCTGAGCTGCCATGAGTTTATGATCATAGGATGTATCTGTGGACACCTTGATATTATTGCAAATTGTATTAATTCCTCTTTGACGGATTTTTTGTAGTGCAATTTTGAATTTTTCCTGTCTTTAAAATCTGAGCCCAGTGTACTTCCCAACACCAAGAACATAATTTTCATTGTTACAATACATGTATTATATTCTCTCATTTGTTAACTTGCTTTGGATTAAATGCAATTTACACACCATATATAAAAATAATGTATACAAAGTAACAAGTCATGTAGAGCATTGTGGCTCATCTACAGGATTCAAGGCATTTTAAGAAAACAATTAAGTTCCACATTCAGTTGTTTTACTAACCCTCCCTCCCCACACCTTTCCCCTTGCTCCCAGACATGGCATAAAGAATTGTGCTATTCTGAGCATTTGCTGCAATAATTTTAATTTTTCTTAAATTATAGGGAAAGCAATGGTAGCCTAAAACTGGGCTTCTAAGCATATCTAGTCTACAGCAAGTTTGGGATGGACAGTAGGGACATGGCCGTAGTATTGCTAAAGGTGGTTGAGGATTTTGTTTCATCCAAGTTGAGACTGAACAAATTTGTCCATGCATATCTAATCTCTCCTGAAATAGGTAGTTATTGCTGTGAAGCTTGCATGCTGGAGTTTGAGAGGGAAAGCAAAAGTGCAACTTTGCATAAGTGTCCCTGCAGGCATAAAGTGCTCCAGATGGAGTCAGATTATACAGAATGATGGTACTGTAACCCATGCCTTCCGCATACCCACCCACCCAAAAAAGAGGGGCATGAAGATGTTGCTCTTCCCCTCTACATATTTTAGGAGATATAATTAGTTCTCCTTCAGCAAATGAAGGGAAAGCTAGGATCCATAAAAATTTGGGTTGATTTGAGAGGGGGAGTAAGATATATTGTTGCCTGTGCAGTGGAACCAGCAAAAAAAGGTGGGGGAAAGGAAAGGGGAGGAAAAAACCATTTTTCATGAGTTAACCCTTTTCCCCAGGCTTCCAGAAAGTGGGGAAACATGCATTTGGATTAGGATGTGGTATCCTTCAGATGAACTAACAGTTGTATATCTCAGTATAGAATTAGAACTATGCATTGCAATGATGGATTAAATCTTTATTAAAGATCTCCTGAGTTACCTAATTACTGTCACCTCCACTCTATATTTTTTTGTCTCTTGTAGTAAAGCTCATAAGAGTATGACATCTGTACATCTAAAGATTGGAGATGAGGAGATAATATATTATATATAATATGTAATATATACTGCCAGCAACCTGGAAGAAAAAATTGTTAAAGCCCACAGAAGAATGACACCATGTGGCAAGGAAAAGAACAGCAATTCCCATAACCAGTGTGATTGTCACCAACACTCAGAATGAGTAGTTTTTGAAAGTGCCAAACTTTTGCTAAATCCTGAGATGCTGTTCAACTGATCAGATTAACTCCCTAGATTGATTGTTGTGCTAGAAAAGGATGCTGAATTCATTAAATATTCTAGAAGAATATATAATCATGGGAAACTTTGCTAGAGAGGGAGAAGAGCAACATTGTTTTCAATGGGTTTCTAATTACATTGGATGCAACTGTGATCATGCAGTTACAGTTGACATGTAGTTGAATGTGAAATATAGGCCACAACAAGGGGCAGACCTGGACTGTATGGAAATGTATAAAGAGGACCAAAAAAAAAAAAAAAACCCTCCTATGATTCCTGTTCTTTCCTCATTTCTTTTCACAATTCTAAGAACTTGCCTTATTATTCATAATTCTAAGGAAGCAACAGGACGATGTGGCCAGAAGCAATTATGAAATTTTGTGAAAGAAAAAGCTACAGGCCACTGAAGCCAACTCATTCTATATCAGAAAGCTGAAATGCTGAATATGGTTTTGATTCTAAAGTGATGAAATTAATGCAGCACCTTTACAAAAAATTTTTAAAAATGCTGGAACAGGATGCTTTTGTATACAGGGTGTTTGCTCCACTCAGAAACAGCTTGGATTTACTAATTAATTAGCCCTGTTTTGCTATGTTATAATGGCTTAAATGATCCTGAGGTTACACTTTCCCAGGAAGTAATCATTCTACATCAGTACTTAGACAAACATAATTTTTTGTCACACTTGAAAGAAAACAGACAATCCTCTCCCACCTTGTCTCTAGGATAGAAGAGGAATTGAAAAACTAAAATAGAGTGAATGCCCTAGATAAAGAAACCAGAATAGGTTGGATAGAAAAGAAAGCAGAGAGAAAGAATCTGGATCAAATTGCTTTCTTCTTCTTTAGAGGCAGCAGCTGCCACAAAGATTTTTGGAGGTGGAAGATGTTTCTTATTGATTTGGTGGTGGAGGTTTCTAGCACCATTGGCTGTCCCTGTATTAGAGACTTGAGCCTCCCCATCCTGCCCACTGCTGCCATGGTAGGTCAGTCAAATGTGGCCAAGATTATAGTTGCTTATTAGATGAAGAAATATTGTTGATCCAGTGGGCAACATAGCCAGCAGGATTTACATGTGCAAAGGTTATAAGTAAGTGTGTATGTGGGGAAGGGGAGAGGACAGTCATCCTGGCCTGAGTCCCTTTATTCCTTGGTGGGAAAAGTCTTTGGTCCAGGCCTCTTGGTCTGAGTTCTTGCTTCACTCAGCAAACCAAGGCTTATTTAGCTTGTTCTCATTCAAATCTGTCACAGTGAGATCTCGGAGGTCGCCTGAAGAGTCTGCCCAGTGGTTCGTTTTTTGCCACTGTGCCGACCAGTATCCCCCCGCCGGTATGGCTGGATACGTAGACCTGCCAAAAAAGAAAACAAAACTCAATTATGGCTTTTTAAGATACATATTCTCTACCCGACAATTTTTTTTATAATTCAGAACATTTTAATATATAGGAAAGAAATTATTTTACCTGCTTCTCAGTATTCAGTATGTTTGAAAAAAATCTGGGATTCCAGCCTTGAGATAGACTTTTGTTAAGTGTATTTAAAATTTGGCAGTTGCCAAGAAAACTAAATCTTTGCATCAGACACTAAAATTCCAGTACATATTAAAAATAAGCATGCAGCATAAAAGTACTTGTTCTTTGCTCTTTACTTGGGAAATATATAACTATGTATCTATGTATAAGCAAGATGGATATAATGGGGAGACAAGATTAAATCTCCAGTCACGATGCTCATCGAGAGAGTGTAATTTTCCTGTCGGATGGGAATTTGAGGATAAAAAGAGGGTCCCATTCTGCCAGATTCAATGAGGATAGGAGCTCCAAATACATTCAGAGAATCTTCTCACTGTTGGAAAGAGTTAATCTGCCATGCTAATTGCTAACTGCCGTATTCCTTCCCCCAAATAAATTCTGCTGCTGACCAATGTTACCTAAAGCCACAAGCTACAGTGGGCTTTCTTCATTGAAGCTGGCATCGCAGAAGAGGCGAGATGAGCGTTTCCCCGTCCGAGCAGTAAAAGGAATAGTTTTCAAAGCTAAAAAAGGACAGTTCAGGGAAGAAAGAAAGGAATCAAAGAAAGGAAAAGAGAAAGGAAAAGCAGTAGGCAAGTGACAGAATGGATTGTTCAAAGAAATATACCTTGATAGTACAGCTGTATTACTGTACTTTCCTAAAAAGGTTATCTAGGGAATAGCTTACCTGCTCTCCCTTAGAGGCTCTCCAGAGCCATCAACCCCCCCCCCCAACTCCCCATGTCAGATTCAAGGTCAAGATGCCGTTGAGTGAGCTATTGGCTGAGTCTGTGCAGTTTCCTTAATAATATCTAAGTGATTACCCAATTATTTCCTCCTTCCAGGTTTCTCAGTTTAGCAACAACCTCATGTTACCAGGTGTTCCCCATCCAATACTAACAGATTGTTGCTGTGGAGAAAACTAGGAGGCAGGAGCATTATGGATACCGTCCTGAGTTCCTGAACGAGGTGGAATGGAAACCAAATAGACAAACAAACTAAGGCTGAGCTCCTCAGTTTCTGAAATTAGCACGGTTGGCTAGATGCTGAGGCCATGATACAATATTAATCCCCAAATTCTCTGTTTGTGAGATGGATGTATTCTTTGAGAATCCAAGGCAGAGAAAGATAGGGGTATATCTAAATTGAGTGTGGTATTTTGCAGGGGTTAGTAAAAGCAAATGAACGTGACTTCCAAAAGAAGTGATAAGGCTTAAGAAGGGCAAAAGGGAAGCAAGTCAAAAAGTCAGAAGTAAATGAACAGCTAGTGTCAGAAACATCCTTTAAAGTCCCATAGAGCTTCAAGATCATGTGCCCATGTATAGCTAGCTTCTACCAATCTGTACAAAATTTGCCAGGGAAGATTTAAACAAACTGGTTTGGATTCAGATTTGGGCATGAATTAGGGTTACAGAAGTAGAGGTACTTATTATCCCCCCCACCCCTGAAACCTTTCTGGGTTTCTGAAAAGGCTACATGAAGTATCATAGAAGACACAAGGAGATGAGGGGAAGGAGGGGGGAGAACCAGGAGCAAAGGTGCCTTCCATGATCAAAGCTCTGCTCATACATTTTAATTTCCTATGACTTTCAGGAGTTTCCCATTTTCACTGTACTACAGCTTGTTTTCTTTTACAAAGTTTCAATCCCTTGCATACTGAAGTATTTTTCAGTGCTGGAAGGGGAAATTTGCCTTCATCAATCCAGTTGTATATCTAAATCTAAACTAATCTTACTCATGGTGTATATTATTTGTACATTTGTACATACTTTCCTGGATTGTATTTTCTATTTCTATTGATGGGTTTAAATAGTTTGATATTTTGATAGTGCTTTGAGCATTTTACCCCCCCCCCAAAAAGAAGCAGGATAAAACTGTGAGAAAAAATAACAGTTTACATCTGCAATAAGGAAAGTTAAGTGTGCAGCTTCAATGGACCTTAGAAATGTGCTACATAATGATACCTTCTCAACGAATGTGGCAGGGACCCAAAGAAGTAAAAACCACATGCCAGCTTCTTGCTACCCAGAGATATGCAGGAAGAACCTCAATAATATCCATGCAATGAAAAATATTGCTATACCTCATTTGCTTTCCCATCTAGAACTGGGTATCTAAAGAGAAACAGTAATTCAGGACAAATTATTTGTAGGTTACAAAGGATCACTTTTTCCTGTCAATAGGATTCTGAGCAGTTCTCACTTCATCTTTGGGCCTCTAGGGAGGATCTGCAGAGATTTCAGAATTTTTTGATCAAGCTGCCAATTTCCCTTCTCACCTGAAATGATGTCTTCAATGGCACCATCTTTTTCTTCATAAATGAGAGGCTCTTTCACCATCTGCTTTTTCTTCAGCTCAGTTATGAGGTCCATCTGTTGTCGCTTGGCTTTATGGGTGGGAGATTGCTAAGGAAGAGAAACCGTTGCTATGGTTACCCATGTATCGTGATGAAACTGAAGGTGTCTATAAAGCAAGCTCACCCAACAATGGTGTATAGGAAGTAAGTGCACTTATGGAGCAGGATATGTTGTGGATTTTGGAACACAAGGAAAGGATGAGAAAATCTTAACCCATACCTTGGGTACTGCCTGTTCCTCTTTGTCAGGGGAAACTGACTCCTCTTTGGCAGCTGCTTCTTGCTTCTTCCATACTTTGATATCTTCCTCTGCTTTCTTTATATTAGTGGAATGAGGAAAGAAGCAATAATCCCATTAAGCAAACATGTATATCTCATCTAGACCACTGTTTTTCAACCTTAGTAACTTTGCTGGTAAGGAATTCTGGGCATTGAAGTTCACTCATTTTAAAATTGCCATGGTTGAGAAACACTGATTTATTATACAATAAGATGTTTTCCTTTCAATAAAGATTATGGCCCATTTCTCCTTTGCAAGTTCTGCTTTTCTTTCTTTGAAATAATCCCATATATTATGGAAATGAGCTTTTAAGATCACAGCATATACAGTATTCTCTTATCCCTAATTCCCATTTTCAAGAAACTGCACCTTCTTAGAAGCACAAAATAAAGTAATACATTATTATTCTCTATTTTTCTGAACTGGTATAGTATTCCCTCACACTTGGCCATCAATATTATTGTAATTCTTCTCACTGTTCATTGCATGAAAATGCATATGTATAAATTACATGAAAGCCACAAAAACAAAAAAATCAAAATTGTAAGGGTGGCATTAATCAATCCCAACAAGCTAAAGCTACAATTAAAAAAATACCCCAGTACTTTACATCAGGTGAAAGAAAAAACAGTTTTTAATATTCTTTTTTAATACTAGAAGGAATTAAGATATAAGAATGAGCTGATATTATTGGAAGAAACTATTGTAACACCCTTGCTTATGAACTACAATTACATTCATGCAATTTTCTGTGAACATCATCAATAGTCCTTTACCACAAGGTTGTTTTGTATCCCTGCAGTAATAACTGCCATGAAAACAATAGAAATTAGGAGCAAATATCATCTACAAAATGATATTTCAAAATGAGACAGTAAAATGGGAGAATTTCCATGATGAAAATAGCTTAATAGTTGCAGTCAACTAAACAATTTGGGAGAGAATTGATGAACTCAGTCAACCTCCCCACTACTCCCCCGAATAGATCAACTGAGACCTGAACAATTTTCATAATTATTTAATTAATTTCTACAACACATTTATTGTATCAACTTTACATTGATTTAGTGCAGTCCTGTCCTATGTGATACCCTCCAGGTATAATGGAATTACACATTTCATAATACTCAGCCCAGATGACCAATGAGGTTTTAGGTTAAAGAAAAACTGATTTACTATATTTCAATAATTTAAGATTCCTTATATCCATCTTCTGACCAAGCTTTACAAAACTTCAGTAGAGGAAACTACTTCAATACTCTTCATATTGCAAAAGTGACACAGGAAAACAGAAGAGAACAGCCATCTTGAGGATTCATGATTCAGACAAGAGATGAACCCAAATAGTCTCCTTGGGTCATTAGGCTAAAACATTAGGCTACAACGTATTGGAAACAGATTTTTTTTACCTGGTATGCTTTAATAAAGCGTACAAATGTAGGGAAGAACATAGTTGGGGGAGTAGTCTTGGGATTCTCCCCAAAGTACTCCACTGTTGATTCATATGCCTCCTATGGAGCAAGCAAAAACAGTAACCGACTCACACTTACGGTTATAAGAGCCATTCTGTCAATCACAAACTATTATCTATCTATCTATCTATCTATCTATCTATCTATCTATCTATCTATCATTATATTTTTATGCTTCCTATTCCCCCTAAAAGGTGATTCTAGGTGACTTAAAGTTATGGAAACAAGTAAAAAGAGCTCAAAGATTAAAACAAACCAACATTAAAATATTATTACAAACTGCACTAAAACCATGCCTACAAGAGTCAAGAGCAGACAGGACAAGGATGAAATCTTCTTATCTTGTCAGCCACCTCCAGTGGTGAGCAGCCTTCTCAGGGCTCCAGGACAATCAGCAAAGCCATGCTTTTACTCTTCCAGATGATGAAAAGGAAGGGGCAGTTCTGACCTCCAATGAAAGAATGTTTCACAGGGATAGGACCACAGCGGAAAAGGCTCTTCTCCTTGATCCTGCCTAAATTTCCTAGCAGATAGTATCTGTAGCAGGCCTTTTTTGCTGGCACAAAAGTGATGGGGCAGGCTTGTCCCATCAGGGAGAGACGGCTCCTCAAATATCTTGGACCCATGCCGTGTAGGGCATTAAAAGCAACAACCAACATCTTGAATTCGGTCTGGAAGCAAACTGGCAGCCAATGCAACTTGCACACTTATAAGTGGAGCTTTAGGAGCTCCTAGGACTGTGCACCATTGCATTTTGCACTAACTGCAGTTTTTGAATACTTTTCAAGGGTAGCTCAATATAGAATGCACTGCAGTAATCTAGTCAAGAGATAAGTAGGGCATGAGTGACCATGGACTGTGGGCAGGGCCTCATGATCCAGGTAAGGGCACAACTGGTGCACAACTCAAAGTTGCACAAAGGCCCTCCCAGCCATCCAGAATTAATGATGATAAACTATCAGATCCTTTTCCACCCACAGCATCGTGCTTGGGTTCTGTTGAAGTCTGTGTCCCCCATCCAGATCCAGGCAGTCACAACATCGCTTGGATTTTAAGTCCATGGATGTATAAGGGTATACAACATCCATTTAAAATATGATTTATGGTATGAGAGTTCATAAATGGATTGTGGAAAAAGAAATACAGTTCTGATTTCCCAACATGTGGATGAACTCTCTTCCAAGCTACTAGACATTTGCTGTGATACCTCTTTTAAATAAAGAGATATTGCAGCTTTCTGCTTATTGTCTCCTTACCTGCGCAGTTTTACTGTCTGCCTGAAGCTTTTCCATCATTTCTATGTTTGTCTTTAGGAAATCTTTGAGTATGATACTGTCATCCTGGCGCATGAATTCTTTGCGTGCTAGCTCCATGCCCCGCTGTAGGCTTCTCACATCTTGAAGCACGCTGTCCAGTGACACTACAAAGGTGGGAAGGAAAGAGAAAAGGCATGGATAGGTGAAGCAAGAACAGCCAGTCTGGATTACTTCCATCTCACTTACTTTCACTTTTAGAGTTATTATTTTTATAGGGCAGACAATCTTCTACCGATTGCCATCCTATAGTTTTCATAAGCAAAGAGGAAAAGCAGCACTCTATTTTTCACTAGGAAAGTGACCCACTGTTCTATTCTTGCCCATAATCTACCACTCCATACCTGTCCCTGCTTTGTCCAGAAAATGCAGCTCACTGGAAAAGTTCAGGAACTCAGGATATTTTTCTTGGATCACCCGCACTATATAATGAAGTAGTGTCTGTTTCCGGTCTGTTGATTTCATGTCCAGAAGCTACAGAGAAAAACAGCAGTTAGGTTAGGAAAAAACTAAGATATCAAGCCATTACAGAACACCTGCCTTTTTTGCTGCTGCAATTTTCTTCCCACCTCTTCTTAATTTCCATGGGTTTGGGTGATGTATTTTATAAACATACCTCTGATATTGTGAAGACATGTTCTTGGAGTACAGTACTATCATTCCTGATAACTTGAACATCATCAGGGAATCCAAGGTAAGGGAATGCTGAATGGCTCATACTATAGTAACTTGGGAAAGATTACTGGAAAGCACAATCTACTGCTATTATGGAAGTCTGTTTGAAATGCTCAAGGACACATATTGGGTGGTGTGCATTTTTCACCTGTGGCTGATGCATAATTGGAGCTCTGTATCTTGCACATTACTCTCAGCCTTAGCTCGTTCCTGGTTTGAGGCCACAACCAACTTTCAAGTTCACACCCTATTGTTTGGCCATGTTTTCCTTTTAGATGCAAGTCCTAAGGATTATATGCCTTCACCCCACCTACCGCATCAAGGCTCTGCAACCGGAATCCATAAGCCGCTCCCCGTTTGCTGCTGTTCAAATAATTCCCAAATGCCAGGACAATCTATGGAGAGGCAGACAGGCAATTAAAATGAGTCATATTTGACTGGAATCTCTTAGCTGAATCTAAAAGCATTGATAGGCCAAAATAGGGGGAAGAAGACAAGAGGAGATCATTTTATTTTATCTCATAAGAATGGCCAGCTACTGGGGCGGGGGAGATGGGGGATACATCAATGATGGCTTTGAAAGATTATACATATTCATGAAAAAGCATATGAATGGTTATTAATCATAATAATTATAATAGTGATTTTACTATGTCTTTTATTCCCAGTTATCCTGGGAAAGAGTGGATGAAAACCTCAAGTTCCACTTATAGGCTTGGGAAATATATGTCTACAATGGCTCTGATGTCTTTATAGCATATTTCCAGACATGCATAATAGAGCAGAATTCTGTTATGACAAATAATTGGTTTTGTCACATAATCCAATAAATTCATGAATCAAAGGGACCCACATAGCAGATTCTGTCTGCTGTCAAGCTCCAAGAATCAATCTTCCTTCCTTCCTTCCTTCCTTCCTTCCTTCCTTCCTTCCTTTCCTTCTTTCCTTCCTTCCTTCCTTCCTTCCTACCTTTCTTTCTTTCCTCCCTTTTTCTTCCTTCCTTCCTTCCTTCCTTCCTTCCTACCTACCTCCTTTCCTTCCTTCCTTCCTTCCTTCCTTCCTTCCTTCCTTCCTTCCTTCCTTCCTCACTCACTCACTCACTCCTTCCATCCCCCCCTCCACCCATCCCCACACCACAAATTCACAAATAAGTGAACTGGGTAGACTTCTGTTGCTTAATGTTATTAAAAATTCATGCCAGTGTGGCATACTAAATAACTTTTCAGTCTCATGGGATTGTTGTGTATGTGTGTGGGGGGGGGGGGGTTTAGAATACAATGCATGCCACTGACTTCCTGGAGGAAATGTGGTATACACATTTAACAAATAAATAAAACATGAAAGTATTCTGATGTTTAAGAATATGTAGACAACAGTGTACAACTCAGTTGTCAAAATTTTGGGAGCCAACTTAATTATTACTACCCAAGACCAAAGAAAAATTGTCCTTCAACTTAAATGATTGTGGAGACCTTATCTTTAAGGAACCTCACCTCTAAAATCTGACGCAGTTTGGTAGATGACTTGACTGACATTGAAGCAACAATCAGAAAATTTAGTTGCTGCAAATGAAATGTGAGAATGACATAATCAGATTTCCTACTTGGTTTGACAACTTCTGACTCTAATTTCCTACCTACCTTAATTGATATTACTTATTGGAACTAAATGTAAATGTGGACATTTTAAACTCAGTTATCAAACCTCCAAAATTTATGTTTTCCTGTTTTGTGACTTCATTCCAGAAACATTTCTTAACATTTTTGATTTTTTTTTAAATCATGAAATTAGGAATGAATATTTTGAATACAACCAGAACAGGAAAAAAACAATAATTTTTTAAACACCATTTTAGCTGCCAGCACTGCTAGATGCTGCATCAGATACTTAATAATCCTAGCTTATCATGCAAAGTGTACACCTGGATCTTTTCAGATAATTGCGATCTTTTCCCTGAGGTAATTTAACATGGCTTGGGAATTCAATGACAAACCCTGATAATGCCATAGTGGATAATTCCACATAAAGGCTTGGCAAGGGTTTGAATTACTTCCACAATCAGCACAAGTTGGTAGAAGAGAAAAATAGTTGGTAGAATAAAAAATAAGTAAAAAACGTAAAAAGGATTTGCTGCCTGCTGCTATTTGATGTCTTAAGTGCCAGATTTGTTGCTCTCTCTCCCCCAACAATATTGGATACTTGAAAATGCTTCGCTACATTTAGCCCCGATCTACTTCCTATGCAAAGTTGCAATTTACATTCTGCTGCTCTTATTAAGCCATTCAGCAAATCATGCCCTTTTTTCTGCCACCTGGAATAAATAAGAAGACTGAAAAAGAAGAAAAATACTATTTTAGAAGAATCATCAGTCAAGATACTGTATCAACTTTTATAACCATTTTCAGACTCTTTCAACTGATATTAACCCAAGATACTATTGACTGACACCACTTCTTGGTTATAATCAGTTGCCTGCTTTGTTCCTTACTGGCAGAAGGAGTTGTACAGTATCTGCAAAACTGCCTAAGAATGTCATGATGTTCATGCGTTCTGCTAGGCGGGGAATTTTGCTGAATTTGATCATGAATTGGTCTTCATCCGAAAGTTCATCCAGTGGACGTTGCTCTTTTTCATATTTGCGGATTAGTATCATCTCATATTCCGTTGGGATGAAGCGCATCAGTAACTCCAGAAAATCCAGATTGAGGGTCTGTAAATCATATCTAAACAAGAATAAAGTAGGCTGGGAGTAACTGGTTCGGTAGGAGAGGCCTAAAGGGTTTTTCTAGATGACAGGACTATATATGTTATTACAGTAAGTAGCTTTCCATCACAAAATTAAACATTTTGCATATCTAATGTGGATATCATGAGGATATGCATACGTGTTCAATTCAATCTTCCCTTTTGAATGGCAGGTGAAATTGACGAGAAAATTTGGACATACTTACGTCTGAATGGCTTTGCAAATGTTGTCAATACTGAGCCCCCCTTTACGGAGGGTGATGGCCAGGTTCTTGGCCCGGTTGCATTCAATCAGTGAAACCTTAGTGGGAGCTTTCTGTAAAGTCTTTGCCTTTATGGAACTGAATTCTTTGCCTGGACCCTGAGCTTTGGTTTTGAATTGTTCTTCAAAGTCACTCATGTCAAGCTCCTGCACCAAGGAGAAGCCAAAATAAACAAAGTGATATGTATTGGGTGGGCAAGGAAGAGAAAAAGTAAAGAGGCACCCACCTGAAGGACTTTTTCATCATTGAGTTCATTGAAGATGGTCCCATTGATCTGGTTAGGCTTCAGAGCAACCCAATTGAAGACAGGCATACGGAATTTGGTCTGTATAGGCTTCTTGATCTTGACAGCTTCCAACGAATAAGAAAGTTTGTAAGTGCTCTACCATCTCAGACATTTGTCTCTTCCCAATTTTATTTTTCAGCAAGGGCCTTCTTACAGATTGGCCATAAAATGAAAGAGAAACTCTCATCTGTGATAAACTTGATATAGTTAAATCTTTCTAAACTAGTAGAAACATTGAGCAATCATTGATAAAATATTGGATTGAGAAGACCTAGGTTCCATTTTTTAATATGTATGTAATTTCATGAGTTCTAAAGAGTGAAGCTGGCTGATTCCCACAACATATTAAGCCATAAGGTTGCTTATTTATTTAGAGATATGCTTCACAACAGGGACTTTTGGCATAACACAAAAATTAAAATCCACCACTTAAAACAATAACCCATGGCATCCTGGCTAAATTACATTTTCCAGTCATAAAACTGCATCAGCAACAAAGCTAACCTAATCTCCAGACCTGAACAGCTGGGGGGAAAGCCCAGTCTTCAGAGCCCTACAAAAGGCCACTGTTCAAGAACTCACTGTTACACAAATCTGATTTTATCTTACCAATATAAAATTAAAATATATGAAGTATAGTTTATGACTTAGTAGTAATGTATGATCTCAGCCATGTGTGGGCCATGCAATAAACCATGGTTTTAAAAAAATCACTGTTTAGCACAATATTTGGACCCGATCATTGTCTTTCAGCATCATTCTTTTTTTTTTTTTTAATGAATGCCATTATAAGCAAAAGCAAGAAATAAATGCAGTAACTAAATAGAGGTAAACCAATTCTCAGCATGGAATATAAATTCTATTCACTTCCTAATTTCTAGCCTTGAGTATTCTTCAGACTAGTAGCTAGAATTTGGAGATGAAAGATCTCAATTTTAATTTCTTTAAAAGGCTGCTGTTTCTGTTATTGAGGAAATGGTAATGGTATATGATCATATAATATGATCATACAATATTTTAAGAAAGAGCAATTGAAAAAAGTAGATGTCTGGCAAGTAATATTGCCTCTTTTCCCAGAGTCATAGTTCCTGGTATCCCCTTTACATTTAGCAGTAAATACCACCAAACCTCTGTCATCCTCAAGAAAATCATATAACATTGTTAGGAATGTACCATGTAACCTGTTAGGCTGAAAATTTGTTAGGTTCAGTGATTTTTACTGAGCTCATCAGGGTTCTGAGTAGATTCTAAATGTTCAGTTTAGAATTGCCCTGTTAATTAATTAAATACATGAACATAAACTATAAATGATGCTTTAGATTAATTTTAAAAATCCATTTCTTCATAATTACATATTATGATTTAAATGGAAATTTTTATAAAAGTGAAGAATGAAAGCACCAGCTCGGAGGAAGTATCCCAACTCTAAAGTACCTGAATATATCATTTATATATAGTTATTTTACATATTTAGATTATAACTTTCTGCTATATACAATAAGATACTCAAGGAACCATATGCATCAATATTTTTAAATTCAAAGAATGCTTTTCTTGCACTAGGAACTGAACAATGCAGACTATTGTATGAGATTTCTAGTTTTATTTCCGTGCGGATTCACTGATTTATTGACATGAAAAATTTATGTTGGAAATGTGGGTCAGCCAGGGGTACATTTTACCACCAATGGTGGACATGTCTACAAGCCCAAAACTATTGGAGTAAGATAAAAGTTTGGCTCATGGAGATTACAGGAGTCAGTTTTCAACTGAGACCAGAGGTCTACTTGCTAGGAATAAACCCTGGGGGCATAAGGAAAGCAGACTGGTACCTTTTCATACACATTACCACTGTGGCTAGAATTGCATATGCGCAACTTTGGAAAGGGAAGGAAGTACCATCGGATCAGATGATTATCAACAAAAAATTTTGGTGTGCAGAATGTGATAGATTAACATATATACTTAAAGATAGACAAGAATCAATTTTCAATCAAATCTGGGATAAATGGTACCAATGGATAGAAGTAAAAATGTCATGAGGTAGATGTTAGGGAAGCATGTAGCATAGATATGTAAATAGCAAGCTAAATATAAATAAGGGAATATTAGATATAAGAAGATTAACAAATGCAAAAAGATTAACAAATGCAGTATGATAAACCAAATTGAAGCTGTAGTATAATGATATGTAATGTTATTTAGAAACTATATATATATGGGGGTTGAATCAATCTCAGTCGTATGTATGTGATTGTGTTTCATTATAGTCTTTATTCTGTTTTTTGTTTCTAATTTATAATAAAATTTTATTTAAAAAAATTATGTCATTAAATTCACAATTCTTTTGTGACCTTCTGATCTCAAGAGAGAAGTAAATAAATATATATCTTACCATGCAAATAAAGTGGCTGTTTACGAAAGATCTACAATAATATATACAATTTACCTGCAGTAGCTGTACTTGCTGGCAAAGTTGCTCCATCAATCATGGGAGGAGGTGGTGGTGGAGGAGGAGCAGCTGGGCCACCAAATGTTAAGAGGGGTGGTGGTGGTGGTGGAGGAGGCGGCATTGGTGGAGCTTGAGGTATCGTTACAACCTCAGGCAGGGGTGGGGCAGGTGGAGGCTCATTGATCCCTGATAAGGGAGGTGGTGGTGGTGGTTGAAGAGGAATTGGAATAGGTGACAGCTCCTCCTCTTGAGAAGAATGGAAAGCCACAAAATCACTGTCTTTCATAGAAGGTAGAGGTGGTGCCGGTGGTATTTCTGGAGCATGACTGGGGACAGGAGATGTAGATAGGGAGGGATAATCTGAAAGAAAACAGAACATGATATGAGGAATGCCTTCCTGTCCTGCCCATTGGAAGATTATCCTCCCTAAATCTCCTGGGAAAGAGAAAGTATATGAGCCAACCAGATTAAAATACCTGTTCCTGTATCATAGGTCAGGGGTGGGCAAATGTGGCTCTTTTACAACCTGTGGACTTCAACTCCCAGAATTCCTGAGACAGCTTGGCTGTCTCAGGAATTCTGGGAGTTGAAGTCCACAGCTTGGCTGTCTCAGGAATTCTGGGAGTTGAAGTCCACAGCTTGGCTGTCTCAGGAATTCTGGGAGTTGAAGTCCACAGGTTGTAAAAGAGCCACATTTGCCCACCCCTGTCATAGGTGATGATTTCTTAGCTGCTGCATATCATGGAGTAGTCTCCAGGAAATAGGCCACCTAAGAGACCATATAGTACAAATGTTGATGGGTTGGAGCAATTCAAATGGGAGTGTTTCCTACCTGAATTGCCTTTCGTTAAGACAAAATGATGCAAAACAAACAAATCCTCTGTTACATATATTAACTGAGGATAAAAAGTTCTAAACCATTCTTGTCCTTGATCTACTAGCTGCATGTGGGGATGTATTCATATAGGACAGGGTTTCCCAAACTATGAATGGTGAACTATCAGGGGCACATTGGCAACCTGAGGATTATAATTTTTAATGTATTTAATAGATGGGGACTTTAATACAATTTAAATGGTGAAAAATCTATTTGGTGCACAGTGTAACTGACACCTGTCTATTTTTTATTATGGTTGCCCACTAGAGTGGTGGCTAAAAAAAAGAACTTGTAAAAAATATCCAACTATTATTAGACATTTACAATCAATTGATAAAGACTATGGATAACCATGTTTGGCTTTTTTCAGAAATACTTATTTCCCTCTGGAATTTCTGCCAGCAGAATAGCAAATTCAAATTCTTTGGAGTGACTAGCGAAATATATGTATAAATAAAATTCAGTATTTTATCTTCTTTGTATATAAAGTTATAAGATTCTTTAACTCATTTGCTTCACATGTAGATTTAACATTTAATTTGTAGAACTAAGCAGTATATTTCTTGCCCAATGTAATATTTTATTTTATTCAATGAGAGGTCAGACCAAAAATTACTATATTGGGGTTACCACAGAATCGCCACATTAAACAACATCCAACAGCAAAAACATATAATTTATTTATTTATTTTATTTTATTAGATTTTTATACCGCCCTTCTCCCACTGGACTCAGGGCAGTGAACAGCCAAGAATAAAAACATCACATACAAAATTTAAATTTTTTTAAAAAAAGAATTAAACAAATTTTGGTCCAATAAATTTAAAACACCCCAACTAAAATCAATTAACAATTAAAAATATCTAAGGGTGGGTGGGTTAAGCCAGCCTGGCTTGATGAAATAAAAAAGTTTGAAGGGCACAGCAAAAAGCATGGAGATCTGGGATCCTACGTATCTCCGGGGGCAGGTCGTTCCAGAGGACAGGTGGTGCCACAGAGAAGGCCCTCCCCCTGGGGGTCGCCAGCCGACATTGTCTGGCTGGCGGCACCCTGAGGAATCCCTCTCTGTGGGAGCATACTGGCCAGTGGGAGGCTATCGGTGGCAGAAGGCGGTCCCATAAGTAATTCTTCATTTATATTGCAAAATGCTTTAAGTAAGGCTTCACCTTGCTTGTCCCATGAGGATGTACCTGTGCTAGTTGATGAAGATGCTTCAATAGTAACAAGAGGGATGACCTCAATGCCAATGATGCTATCACTGTCAGGCCTCCGCTTAATCCGGATAAAACCTCTGTCTTCTAGTTCTTCCAGGTTCTCTTCCAAGACAGAGTATAGTGGAGTTCTTTTTGGCTCTTGTGGAAGCTGCATTGGGAGCCAAGAAGGGCTTTCTGACTTATTAACTTTGCTAATTTGATCTAGCTTCTCCTGAAAGAAAAAGTTTAGAGAGTTTTGAATAGAAAACCTAGCGAATTTATTGTTATTCTGAATTTGAGCAAGATCTTATTTTTTAAGATCTTGAGTATGCTGCTATGGTATGGACTTGACACTTATTTTCCTATTTTTAAAGAAAAATATTCTGGGTTTATTAGAATTTTTTTTAAAAAAAAAACATTTTATACAGCTCACTAGCTCATATCAGTTTTGGGGGGGAAACATAGAAGGACAGATACTCCTAAGAGAAAGTAGTCCATGTCAATGTGACAGGTTCTGAATTGTAAATATCCCTATTTTCATGATTGATCATGACACATGGAAGATAGATGTGTTGGGCAAACAATATAACCCAGCTAACCAATCCACTCAGGTAATCATGAGAGATTTAATTTTTGATCTAAAAGAAATTTGGGACTAAATTAACTTTCTTTTGTTCAAATGGGTTTAATGTCTTCTATAAAAATTAAGCCTTTCTATTCACTTTTCCTCTACTGTTTTTCCTTTACCCTTTTTCTTCCTGGGGGATGAAATACAGCAAAAAGAAAAAAGAAAAAGAAAAAAGTGAAGAGTGAGGAAACCAGCCCCGTAACTGGCTTTTGCAGAGCTGATCCTAGTGGCACCACATTTTTTTAACCTTTAGGAAATAAAACAACCAAGCAAATAAATACATTTAGAAGCCAGGAATTGAGGAGGTGAAAGGACACAAATTTCTAACTAATTTTTGTGACAGCTAGGAGGACTAAACTGGGATGACTAATCAGTTGACTAATCAGTCAATTACTGACTACCCATCTTCAGACTGTATGTTGTGGAGAAGAAAAGATGAGGGAAAGAGTGGATGATCAGGTCAGCCCTTTCATGCCTACATGGCAATTAATATTCTTCCACTATTATAACACCTTTTCCTCATCTGTTATCTCCAATTAATTCTACATATCTGCCGGCCATATGCAGCTTGTGAGCTTTGTGGAGGAGCAACTATGTTAGATGGATACTTGACCTGATGCAGCAGATCTTCTAATTACATATGCAATTTGTTTAAAAGATTCTGATCTTACCAGGATTTTGGAACCTGGTAAGATTAGCTGCACAGCTGGAACCTGGTTTTAACTGCACAGCTGGAATGTAAGGTTGAGATGAATTTGAATTTTTCTTGTAGGATCAGACTTTCTAAAGTTGGAAGGAGATGTTTCGGATCCAAAATATTTTACCTTGAAATGTTTTGCATTTCTTTTCCACTTCCAATGAGATGGTGATGCAGGAGGCTGCATGTACATGAGATCCATAAAATGCTCATTTTATATATTTTAAAATTTATGCAATAAACAGATTTTTTAAAAAAAATTGAAACACACACCGTCAATATCAAATGAGGTTTGAGTGCAACGACCTGAGTTTACTGCAGAAGTGTGCTTTGCTAATAACAAAGAATGTAACTTCTTTTCCTAATCTTATTTTGAAATCCGTTCTGATCAACAGCTCTCCTAACACTTTTCTGTTTGCTTCCATACCGTCTCATCACTTGATCTTGCTCTCAGGATCTCCAGCTCATTGTGTGACTGATACAGCTGTTTCTCTAGCTCAGCAATTTTGGCCTCAGATTCATTTTCTGCATCCTGGAGTTTCTCTGTGAGCTGTGAAAAGAATCAATGTTTGAGAATATGTTTTGGGAGGGCCAAACTATAAAGCAGAGTCAACAAATATCCTATGTACTCAAACAAGGATGAACTTTGTGCATATGAACTTCAGGTGTAGGGATGGAATACATTCTCCCGGTGACCTGGTGGTCACCAACCACCCCATTTTCCTCAATTGCTGCTTCTTGACCATCTTCAGATGTACATTGTCCATAGCATTTGTTTAGTCAGCCCCCCTACCTGTCCAACTTCCTCTTGCAAATCTTCTATGTGCTCCAGAATGGCATTTTTTGTTTCGGTATCTTCCAGCAAGGCACCAACATCAAAGATGTTATCCAGGTAGGCTTGGATCTGCACTTGCAGTTTATCACTTTCTGTACAACGCAGCTTCTGTTAAATCACAGGAAGGAAACTTTTATTTAAAAATTCGGCCAGAATTATCATTCTTTACAGTATAAACTTTTGGAATTATAAATGTCAGTACATGGTCCATCTGTATATGTTTCTTTTTCTTTTTTTTTTCCTTCTTTTTAATAAAATGTTTGTAGGCATTGTTGTTGTCGTTGTTTATGACACAAAGCCCAAATAAACTTGCTAAAAGAACCAGGGCAGAAAATTTTCCCAGAACATTTTTGGAAAATGCTCTTCTCACCTCCAAATCTATTGCAAATATTTTATTCCTTCAAAACCTATGTATTATATTATAGATTAATGCTTCAGTTTTAAAATGAATGTTTACTTAGATTGAAATGTGCTGTTTATAAGGAAAGTAAATAAAAAAGGGAAATACAGCTATAAGCAACTTAATTCTAATTTCTATCAGTATATAGAGAACAATTTCCAAAAGTAATAAAACAGCCTCAGCAAATTAGGTAGAGAAGCACACAAATATTCCATCGTTATCTCTTATTTAATAAAACATCTTTACTGTGTTAACTAATGACTATTGCTTGTTTCCAACAATGGTACACATTTCAGAATTGCAAAGCACTTTTCAAATGAAGAAAAATTAAGGTGAAATTAAGAGCCATTAAAAATAACCACCCACCTGTAGGTACTCATCGAGTCCCAACTGTGTGAACTCATATTGTAAGAAGGCACGGAAGTTCATGTTCTCCACAGAATGAACCACAATATTGATGAACTGCATACAAGCCACCTAGATGTTTGGGAATGGAGAAGAAAAAAATGTGTTCTCTACAGGATTTACAATTTTGAAGGGCTGGAATTTTGGTGGTTAAGACTCTCTTGGCATGTGGACTTTCCTTACTTGGTTTTCATACGTTTTGCTTATTACATCTCTACACACATATGTGCATTAACCATTACATTAAACTGGTTGTCCCAAAGTTAATATCTGATTATTTTAAAAATATAACTCATGTATATTTTTTAAATAATCAGACATTAACTTTGGGACAACCAGTTTAATGTAGTGGTTAATGTACCAGGCTAAAAAGTGAGAGATAGTGAGTTCCAGTGCCACTTTAAGTACAAAATCAGCTTGATGTTTGTGGGACAGTCACTCTTTCTCTGCCCTAGGAAGAAAGCAATGGCAAACTACTTCCAAAAGTCTTCCACGAAAACTGCAGAGAGGGAGGGAGGGGGGAGGGAGGGAGAGAGAGAGAGAGTGGGGAGGAGGAGAGGGAGAGGGAGAGAGATTGTGACTTCTATTCCTACAATAGGCATAAAGCCACCTTTATGCCAATCACTCTCCCTCAGCTTTAGGAAACAGGCAATGGCAAGCCACTTCCAAACCTTGTGAAGAAAACTGCAGGACTTGCCTGAGCAGTCATAAGGAGTCAACATGGACTTGAAGGCACACACAAAAAAGAATAACTTTGGGCTTTTTTGAAAATTAGAAAAAATGTTTACTAACATTGAGAGTTTCAATGACTTTTTTTAAAAAAATTATGGGGAATATCATTATATAGTTCCGTGATGGTGAACCTATGGCACGCGTGCCACAGGTGGCACACATAGCCATATCAGTGGGTACCCCAACTCAGCTCTGGCGCACATGTGCGCGCCAGCCAGATAATTTTCGGGCCTTCTGGGCCCACCAGAAGTAGAGAAACAGGCTGTTTCCTGCCTCCAGAGGGCCTGGGAGTGTGTGGGGAAGGCCTGTTTTTCTTTCTCACCTGGCTCCAGATCCTTTCTATGCATCTGGGGTGGGTGAAAACAGCCTTCCCCACCCCTCAGAGGCCTTCTGGAGGTCTGAAATGGCCCATTTCCCAACTCCGGGTTGGACAGGAAGTGACTTTTTTGCTGTTCCCAGCCTCCTAGAGAGGGGGTGGGGAAGGCTGTTTTCGCCTTCCCCAGATGCATAGAGAGGATCTGGAGCCAAATGAGAAAGAAAAATGGGCCTACCGGGCCATTGCGTGCCAGGAGCGGTGCGGGGGGGGTTGCACATGCAGGGCAGGGCGCATAGAAAATATACGCAAGTGCGAACCTCCCCCACCCCCCCTCTCCTGGCACATGATGGCAAAAAGGTTAGCCATCACTGATATAGTTGGTTTAGTTTTTAAGCGCCTTATTTATAATTGTAATGATGCCTTATTGAGCTCTTACTGAGTATGCCTCGAAAATGATTCAGAAGGCATGCTAAAGATTTTACCCAAGCCCAAAACAGCTAGACATTGTTCGTCAGTTTCTACAACATTTTGCCAACCTGTGCTTCCGTAAGGGCTGAAGCATGAATTACTGCATAAATTTAAAACAGGTAACTATTCTTTGTTAATTAGGGATAGGAAACATGGCATGAACAGCAGCTAATCTCCTGGCAGACTGTGCCTGTTGGAGAACAGTATTAGAGGAAATCTTATGGATGACCAAGCAACCATCCCCTCTGCTGCATTTTGTTACCATGAAATCTATGTTGCTGTCTTCATTTCGGAAATACTCCATCAGCTTCTCAAAACGGTTCTTCTCACCACAAACCTTTAAGGAGAGAAAGGGGAGGAATACTGTTTGATGAACACTGCAGACATGCAATGGCAATAAAGAGTTTAAACTGTTTATATACATATTAGTAGCTTCTAGCAATCAGACTCAAGTATTTTATTCTCTGTGTGTTCATGGCAGTCAACAAAAATGGAACCACTCACTGCTTAAAACACTTTTGTTCTGGACAGCTAACATCAAAAACGTCATCAAAAAAGCACAACAAAGAATGTTCTTTTTGCACCAACTCAGAAAGCTCAAACTGCCCAAGGAGCTGCTGATACAGTTCTACAGAGGAATTATTGAGTCTGTCATCTGAACCTCTATAACTGTCTGGTTTGGCTCTGCAACCCAGCAAGACAGACATAGACTTCGGAGGATAATTAGAACTGCAGAAAAAACAATGGCTACCAACCTGCCTTCCATTGAGGACCTGTATACTGCACAAGTCAAAAAGAGAGCTGTGAAAATATTTACAGACCCCTCACATCCTGGACATAAACTGTTTCAACTCCTACCCTCAAAACGACACTATAGAGCACTGCACACCAGAACAACTAGACACAAGAACAGTTTTTTCCTGAATGCCATCACTCTGCTAAACAAATAATTCCCTCAACACAGTCAAACTATTCACTAAGTCTACACTACTATTAATCTTCTCATCGTTCCCACCATCCATCTCCTTCCACTTATGATTGTATGACTGTAATTTTGTTGCTTGTATCCTTATGATTTACATTGATATTGATTGTTTCCTGATTGCTTATTTGTACCATATGACTATCATTAAATGTTGTACCTTATGATTCTTGATGAGCGTATCTTTTCTTTTATGTACACTGAGAGCATATGAACCAAGAAAAATTCCTTGTGTGTCCAATCACACTTGGCCAATAAAACATTCTATTCTATTCTATTCTATTCTATTCTATTCTATTCTATTCTATTCTATTCTATTCTATTCTATTCTATTCTATTCTTTATTAAATGACAGGTCCAATGGATTTTAGCAAGCCCTTTGTGAGAGCAATAATGGTTTAGCCTTTGTTGCATGTTGTTAATGACATTCCAAAAAATTAGTTTGAAAGTTTGAAAGTTTATTAGATTTCTATACCGCCCTTCTCCCGAAGGACTCAGGGCGGTGTACAGTCATATTAAAACATATAGATTTATAAAATTTAAAACCAATTAACATCAAATATAAAATTTGGCCCGCAAATTAAAACACACATACACCCATTTTAAAAATTCATACTAGGCCAGTCCGGCTTGCTGGAACAGAAGGGTCTTAAGGGCGCAGGGAAAAGTACGCAGGTCGGGGCTAAGACGAAGCTCTAGGGGCAGCTCATTCCAGAGGGCTGGTGCCCCCACAGAGAAGGCTCTCCCCCTGGGTGTCACCAGTTGGCATTGTTTGGCCCATGGCACCATGAGGAGTCCCTCTCTGTGGGAGCGTATTGGCGGTGAGAGGTTGTTGATGGCAGAAGGCGGTCTCGTATATACCCCAGTCCTAAGCCATGGAGCGCTTTAAAGGTGGTAACCAACACCTTGAATCGCACCCAGAAGACCACCGGAAGCCAGTGCAGCTCACGCAGGAGGGGTGTTATGTGGGTGCACCGAGTCGCACCCATAACCATCCGTGCGGCCGCATTCTGGACCAGTTGGAGCCTCCGAGTGCTCTTCAAGGGGAGCCCCATGTAGAGAACATTGCAGTAGTCCAGACGAGATCAGGAGTGAGATCAGGATAAAATAGGTGGTGCCAGGACCCTTTCCCCCCTTCAAAAAAGAGAGAGAGATAGTGTATAGCTTAATATTTGTTTTTTGCCCCTTTTGTCATTTTGAAATTATAGTTTGGCAGACAGCTCTTCTAAGAGAAGCTTGGAGGTCACATGGCTTTGAGTCACAGTTTGTACACACCGCTAGAAAGCCTCTGGCTCCATCCTGATTAGTAAGCTTCAGCAACTATAGTACTGTTACTTGAGTCTGTGTTTCATTGCTTACCAGCTGGCTGGCCCAAGACTTGACATCTCACATGTCTCCTATCTTCTCTCACTTACTTTACTCTTTCAGGCCGCCAGTCCTAGTTCCTATGTCCTGAAAATGACTTCTGTGAGGAAATAATAGAATACCCCTTTCCTCTTTTCCCTAGCTCTGGTTCCCTTAGAATGGAAGCTATGGCAGTTTTGGACAGGAAATCATAACAATTTTAGGACAATTCTAAAATGAGATGTTTGTAACAGCACTACCATTTTATTTGTCTTACTAAAAGTATCAATAGACTGGTTATCTAGTGTATATCGTATTATTCCTCCCAGTGGTGGGTTTCAAATTTTTTTACTACCGGTTCTGTGGGTGTGGCTTGGTGGGCGTGGTTTGGTGGGCGTGGCAGGGGAAGGATATTGTAAAATCTCCATTCCCTCCCTACTCCAGGGGAAGGATATTATAAAATCTCCATTCCCACCCCACTCCAGGGGAAGGTTACTGCAAAATTCCCCTTTCCTCCTGATCAGCTAGGACTTGGGATGCAAAGAATAGATGGGGGCAGAGCCAGTCAGAATTTTTACTACTGGTTCTCCGAACTACTCAAAATTTCCGCTACCAGTTCTCCAGAATTGGTCAGAACCTGCTAAACCCACCTCTGACTCCTCCAAGTATTACTGATGCAGCCAGCTCCTCTGCCTATGACTGAAGTTGATTTAGGGCCATGATGGTGAACCTATGGCATGCACACAGAGCCCTCTCTGTCTGCATGCACGCTGTCACCATCTGTTCTTCCAGGTTCTGTCACACACATGCATGCCAGCCTGCTGGTCTGGTGCACATGTGCACTGGCCAGTTGTTCTCTTCTGGGTTCCATCACATGCATGCATACCAGCCAACTGGTCTTCATGCGAAGACCACCTGGCCAGTGCGAATGCACATGCCGGAACCCAAAAGAGAGCAGCTGGCCACCATGCACATGCACACTGGACTGGCATGCATGCGCATGATGGAACCCGGAGGGGGAGATGGCCACCATGCACTTGCGCACCAAAGCTACTCTCTTCTGGGTTCTGATGCTCTGGCGTGTGCTCCAGTTTCGGCACTCAGTGCCAAAAAGGTTACCCATAACTGATTTAGGGGGTAGTGGCTGATAAGAGAAGGGGGAAAAGAGATTGCTTCCAGGAGGGGCTGTTGCCTCTCTTTTGCCCAGTTGCCAGTTATAATGTAGACAAGCTACCAGATCTGATTGAAAAAATCTAGATGATTATTAGAGAGCAGCAGAGTGTTATATTTTTCTATTGGTCACCCAGATTTTTCCAGCCCTAGTCTTGTAATTTAGGATGTTTGAAATGCTCAGATGCACTGCTTTCCATCTCTAAATGGAGAAACGTTATTCAGAAAGTATTTTGAACCCATAAAAGAGTCAAATACCCTTACATAGACCCAGTCCATTTCAGGTGGCTGTAAAAGTAAAACTGTAATGGCACGTGGGAAAAACCTTGGGAGTTGAGGCAAAGATGCTGCCTAGGGAATAACCAGATAAGAGACAGCATAGCCTGCAACTGGATAATGGACAGGGCAAGAAGTTTAGAAGGGACCCATGTCTAGTTTCTGAGGCTGTAAAGGAGATGGTGAGAGAAGTGTACTTTTAGATTTTCAAGATTCTGTTAGTGTAGCTTTACAATAATGTAAAATTAACTCATTTGTTGCGTTTTCTATCAGGTCTACCCGATAGGACTGACAAAAGCTCTCAATGGTCACCAAGCTCTCAGTGGTGATAAATGTTTCATAATTACTTATTTATAAGAATTTGCTTCTAGAACAACAGAATCCTTGGCAGCCTGATCAGGAAGATTACGGTATTTAATATTCATTCCAGTAAGCTCAGTGACATAAACAGATTCTGAGTTAGTGCAGTTGCTCTCTCTCTAAGGATGGTCATTATTTTAATATCTACTGAATTAACTGGTATTCTGAGTTTGTCTTGTTTTTAAGCCTGATTTGTGGGCCAACTGCAGATTGTTCAGCCATATCGGGAACAGGATCAGTTTGCATCTTTCTGTTCAGTAACTAGAATTCCCCCCACCTAGAAAGCCTTTAGTACAAACCACCTTTTTGTACTGCTTACTATTCTGGGTAATTTAAGTAGTCTCTTGTCAGATATCCATGGGTCAGTTTACAGAGAGCAGTATGAAAACCCAACTTTCAGTTCTATTTCTATTTATTTATTTGTTTGTTTGTTTAGTGTATTCCATTTCCAGAAGCTTCTGCAACATCTCCAGGGACTCCCAAAGAGTATTTTAAAAACCAAGTTAAACAAAAATGGGTGATTTCCTCCTGATGCAATCACAAGCTTGAAATGAAAAAAAATACTTTTTTCTGGATGGCAGCACAGAAAGACTTGCTGTGATCTCATTAATTCCCACTCTGCCTCCCAAGTGATCCAATTTGCATTTTAAAAGGAACAGTGCTAAACAGAAAATTATTTTTAAATCATGTATATGTATACTACATTCAATTTCACTATTCATATGTACATACAACATTATAGTGGGAGGACATATCCCCTTCTATCGCTTCTGCTTTCATTTTTAAAAGCCATTGAAAAAATAATTTCAACAAAAATGTGGAAGCTTTTAAAATCTCTGCTTTCATTCTTCAGCTCTTAGCACTTCAGTTTATTTGGGCAAGGGCTGAATAATGTTCAGGCAGTCACAGTAAAGGGATCCAGAATAGAATATATGGAGCTAGTTTCTATGGTTGTGGCCTCATATTTATCCCATTTCACAGCCTCTGCACATCACCTTCTGTTCACACTGATTTAAATCTGAAAGTATGTTACACTCTTACAGCTGAAAAGTTTCTTTCGAAAAACAAATAATTATTGATCTGCTTCTACAGAAGTTCAGGATCTGTTATCCCACATAGCAACTGTCCTGGGAATGCTTTCTCTGTGGGTGGACTATCCGGTTGCAACTTTGCATGAGGTAGCAATGAAACAAACGTACCAATCAAATTTCAAACAAATTCATAGCAAAACTGAATAATTTTCACTGGAGAATTTTCGGATAGATAAAAGGGTCTGAACATTAAGCAATGCAGCCAATTAAAACATGATTTTCTAGAACATCTAAAGTCCTGATCGATATTTTGAGAAGGAGTCCACTCAATAGAAAAAAAAGTGGAAAAATAGCAAGACCGATTTACTGCATTTTGAAGAAAATAAATATATTCACTGCCATCTAGGAGAGGTTTTTGTAAGACCATTATATCTAGAGTTTAATATTTAAGTTTAGCCAGTTGTACACCTAGAACCTTTTTTCAAATATATAATTATTTTATATTAAAGCCCTAAATTTGATGAACATCATTTTAACTAAGCACCAGTGACAAAACAAAAAGGTAGAGCTCACAAACCTCTTTGAAGTTGTCAAAGGCAGCCAGAATAATATCGTGCCCTCCTCGGACCAAGCAAACAGCAGCCAACAGCTCAAGGACAAGAGCTTTAGTTCTGCAATATGGAAGACAATGAGAGCAAAGATTTTACATTTTTCCAAAGAAACTGGAGTCTAAGAATGGAACAGGTAGACTTGGAAGAGAGTGAGGCCAACAGGTAGGTAGGTAGGTAGGTAGGTACCATGTTTCTCTGAATATAAGACCCTGCCTTATATTTTTTTGGACCCTGAAATAAGTGCTTGGCCTTATTGCCATGTGCTCAAAAGCCCGATTGGGCTTATTATCAGGGGATGTCTCATTTTGGGGGAAACAGGGTGGGTGGGTGGATGGATGGAGATAGATAGATAGATAGATAGATAGATAGATAGATAGATAGATAGATAGATAGATTTGCATAACACATTAGGACAAAGATAGCCAATCTACATTACAATTTTATGCAATGTGTGAATCTCTCTGTTGAACGGAGGTGTATTCCATGGAGGTGTATTCCACATTACCACTAGTATACCAATATTGTATTATTTGTCCTAATATGAACTCAGATAATTGTTATTATTAGTCGCAATACTATGAGATTTAAGTAACTCACCAAGTTCTAATAACTCACTCCATAAAACTAAATGAATGAATACTAAGAACAACTCAGGATGCTTGTGGATTTTGTTTGGTTTGTATTGCAATCAGCACTGTGAAGTGAAGCAACCTGCTCCATGCCTCTCAAACATCTCTGCCAAATGAAGTCCTTTAGATGTGACACTTCCATTCTCAGCTCAAAACACATGCCAAAGAGCACACAGAGTGCACTTTTTAAAGAAAATATATTGAAAAGTAATGTATTCTAGAAAATGCTCATTTTATATCATATTTTAAAATAAAAGTAGTGTTTAATGCAGAAATTATATATGAATTCATCTCTGAAACTGACCTGGATAGCAATTGGCTAACACAACCATTCAGACTGAGAAGGATAACCATAAAGGAGGATAGAATTCCTACCTGGCATTCTTATTGTTGAGGCTGAGTGTGATCTCATTTACACAGGCAGGGTGGTTCATCACAAGGCTGAATCCAGACTAAGGGAGAAGTGAGAAAGTTAGCAGCCCAAATTAGCAGTTGAAGTGAATCTAGATGACTGAAAGTAGAAACACACACAAGCATGGCTCTTTGGTTACACAGAGATTCAAAGAGTATATTTTTTTTAGCAAGCTAACGCCATATGGACATGATTGATTGTGGCAAGCCAAACTGCTGGTTACCCGTTTTCAAGTGATAGTTATGAACCTAACATTTCTTTGCATAGAGAGCTTTAAACATGCACGCGGACGCAGTCATATTTTAACCAAATTTTGTGTGATGTCATTTAACAATAACATATAAAAGTTTAGAAAGCCAAACTACTCCTTAACACACCTGAGCCACCCCAAACATTTATTATTGCTCAACTATTGGGATATATAAACTCACAGAATTCCACCGATTCCCACAGCCATGTCTGATGGGAATAACACTAGTGGGCAACATCTTCCTTTCAAAAATAATAGTGCAAAGTATCATGTAAAATGGCTTCATAGGCATACCTATCTATCTATCAGAAGTCATTGCAGGCAGGTTGTGCAAATCTGCCTGTACTGTAAGGAAAACTCCAGTGTTTAAATTTATAATATGTTTGCTTTTAATAATTTTAATATGGTGTTTATGTTGTTTTAGGGACTTGGTGGCTCAGCAGCTAAGACGCTGAGCTTGTTGATCGAAAGGTCGGCAGTTCAATGGTTTGAATCCCTAGTGCCGTGTAACGGGGTGAGCTCCCATTACTTGTCCCCACTTCTGCCAACCTAGCTGTTCGTAAGCATGTTCTAAAGCAGTTCAAAAGCACTTCCTTTGGTGGGAAGGTAGTAGCGTTCTGTGCATCTTTGGCATTTAGTCATGCCGGCCACATGACCATGGAGATGTCTTTGGGCAGTGCTGGCTCTTCGGCTTTGAAACTGAGATGAGCATCACCCCCTAGAGTCGGGAACAACTAGCACATATGTGCAAGGGGAACCTTTATCTTTTATGTTATTTTGATTGTGAGCTACACAGTAAGATGAGCACTTGCATAAATATTTTAAACAAACAAATAAATAAAATGGTGGTTCATCAAATCTAACATTGGTTTGCAACAAGCACCACTGACTACTTTAAGGGCTACTGAATTCTCTCTTCTCAATTTGTCTACTGTGGCCAACAGCCAAATGCCTGTTATATGTCAATGACTAAAAGCTCTATGCAAACAGGTCATTTCCTAATAACGAGATTGCTTCTTCTGTATTTTATACCTCATGATCTCAGAGAACTACAAAACAATGAAACCCTGAATTCTAACATTAAAATATTAGGATTTCTCTGAGAATGCTTATAGCCACATTACTCCTGATTTATGGGTCACTTGAGATGACATATTAGAAAACTGTCCAATTTTAGATATTGGTTTATTCAGGCTAGCTCTTCAAATGAGAATCTTTCCAGCTGTACCTGGAAATATTGGGGATGGTTTTCTCGTATGGTACAGGTTTCCTGGTTTTTTCCCTCCTTGCCTCTCCCTGATACCATGAATATATGTCTCTTCACACATCAATTCTGAAATCTAGGCAAATTTCAAAATCCCTTCCCAGTGTTATGTATGTGTTTCCCAAGCTGTCTATTTCCCCCACATGGAAACGTTCACCTTTCTTATCCTCTCCTTCAATTACCTGATAATTCATAATTGCACGGAGACACATGATGCACACATGAACATCATCCTTCTGGCTGACGATGCGCGAGTTCCGTAAGGCCTTCCTGCTGTGTGCCGGATTGAGTCTGGGGTAAAAATAAATTTAAAGTGGGGGAGGGGGAGGGGGGAAAATAGCTCAATAACAGTGGATGCCAATCTCATTCAACAGTCCAAAAGTATAAAGAATAGCACATGAGAAGAATTTGAAGGAGAGCAGCAGGAGTCAGCATTAGTAGCAGGTTAGTAGTTAGAAATTTTCCTTTCCTTCTAAGTTTCCAGTACAAATAGCATCCAGGAATAACCTTATCCAATCTGTTGTCCTGCAGCTGTGTTGCACTTTAGTCCCTATAATCTCTAGCTGTGACTGACTGGACATTATAGAAGTTAAAGTCCAACATATCTGGAAGGCAACAAGGTGGGAAATTCTGGCCTAGAGGATGTTGTCACCTGTGAAGACTTCCAGTCCAGCTTCCAGGGCATTGCTGCTTCCATATGATTAAGCCTGGAAAAGAAGCTCAAGAATGGAGCTGACAGTCTATAGAAAAGCCTTTCACATGGATATGGTTGAAGGACAATACAGAGGATGGATGCTGGTATCAGTTCTTCAGATTCTGAAAAACTGATGGCTTTTTTGTCAGACTTACAAAAGGTTTCTAGATGTCATGATTGAAGACAAGCCAGATGAAACTTTACATTATTTTTGTGAAACTTAAGGCTCATTTGATTGCTCAACGTTCCCTTTCCACAACCTCTGTACATCTCAGCGAATTCCCTAAGCTTCATGATAGTAGCATTAAAAAAAAAACTAAAGCCAAAACAAACAAACCAAAACTCCTTGGGATGACTATGAAAACAATGAAAATCTAAGCATGCAAATATCCCAGATTTCCAAGTGACTGAACTTTTAGGGATGGATTGCCTTATTTGGGATATTTAAAATAGCAAGCTTCCAGCCCTCAAGGCACCCAATATTCAGTATCTGGAGTGCCTGTGCATGAACACAAAAGTGAAAGAAGGACGAGTGTGCCCTTGCCAAGCCACTCCTACACTCTCTGGCTGCATTTGTGGGGGAGAGGGTTCTCATCTCATGAAGTCTGGGAGAGGCTCACCGGGGTGAGTAAGAGTTGACAGGTGGCCTGGGCTTACAGTCCTGCTCGGTGCCAGGGGCGCTGGAAGAGGGGATGCTGGGGTGGACTTGTTGAAAGAATGTTTGGATCTGCTGGTTCAAATGGCAACACCTGAAGGAGGTGGAAGAAAGCAACCCTGCAGGACAGGAGGGAAAAATAGGATGCTTCAGGTGGACGCCTCCCTGTCCCTCCCCCTCTCCAAGCATGGGGAAAAAGTGACAGTTTTTGGAATTACAGGGAGGGACAATTTACTGTCACTTGAAAAGCAATCTTGATATCCCTTTAGAAATTTTTTGGTAAATCCAGCAAAAGGAGCCCATTATTACCCATTTTTCCAATGCAAGCCTACTTCTACATTTTGAGATTTTTCTCTATGGTACAGCCAAGAATGTTTTCTTAATTGGGTGGCCCTGTATATTCCAAGTTTAGGGGTGGGAGGAAATTTGCCGGCAGGACTGGGAATCCCCCTTGTGTCAGTTAAGTCAGTTGTTCTCCAAGGTCAACACCATCCTATCCAGGATCAGGACCTTATGTAACAAAAAGGCTGAACAGTTATAGCATTTAGCCCATTGAATCACAAGGCCCAGCACCTCCAGTCTTGAAGGAAGGTCTTGTATTGGTTTTCACTTCACTTCTGAAATGTAAGTAGAGAGAAAGGCTTCTAATGCTGCATAGGAAACCACATTAACAAAGCATGGAAGGGGTCTTTGGTGCACTCCTGAGAGATGCCAGGCCACCTTAATGCCTCAATGTATGATTTTGCCTCTCAAAAATGAAAGCAAAAGAGAAAAGGCATACATATTTTTCATACACCGTGATCCAATGGATCTCAATGTTGAATCTCTCCGGAACTGATGGCCCAAACTACACATGTACTAAATCCCATCAACTATTTTTCCCCTATCCAGGAAGACAATATCTGGGTACCTACCATGAGGCATTTCCCCAATGGAAGCATGCAAAAGAAGTGTGAGGTTAGAATAAGAAAAGGAGTTAGGACAGAGATGAGAGAAAGAAGAGAAAAAGAGAAACTGATTTTGCAAGTTTGTTGGAAAGTTAGCAATTAACATGAACAGGCATCCATCTTCTCAGATTTGTCATTTAATGCACTACTTTTGAGGTGATCATAGACGTGAAAAGTTTAGAAACTAGATTATGAGTGACTCCTTACTGTTATTTTAGGTTGGTTTACTTAATATAGTAACCATAGCTGTTCTGAGGAAAAAACAGTACATACTGTGTTCTTTGCACGGCCAGAGAAGTAGACTTTTAATTTCAAAACTAGAAATTGAAAAACGAGTAATCTCTTGAAAAGTTTTTTTATATATATTAAGAAATCTGATAGGATCAGAGCTTTCAGTTTGAGTATTAAGATAGTCTACAGAAGTAAAAAAAAAAAAAAAAACCAGAAAAAAATCTGTGTGGAGCACTTCTTCATACTGCTCCCTAGTGAGCTCATTTTAATAAGCAATTAATCTCATTGTTCCATTTAAACTCAGAGCTACCTTAAATCCAGAATATTTCTGATCGTTTTAGATGAAGGTTCTGAGAGTCACCCTATACATATACACCTAATCAGCCTGCCATCCCCTGTCACTCAATTCTTTCATTTGGCATCATTCTGGCATGATCTAAAAAGTAAGAATTTGGCTTATACTAACTGAAATGGCCTCTGATTTCCATAGTGCTTATATTATAGTAAATGATCCTTTATAGCAAAGGCTTTTTAACATGTGCCAAACCCTAAGACAGGGGTCCCCCAACCCTTGGTCCATGGACTGGCACCAGTCCACAGCATGGCAGTAACCAGGCCGCACAAACAAGTGAAGCCCCATACATGGTATGCAGGCAACGCACGAAACCACACCCTCTCCGGTCTGCGGAAAAACCTCTCCACGGAGCCCAAAAGGTTGTGGGCCACTGCCTAAGATTTAATTTGCTGGCTTTTATATAATTTTTGTTATTTTATTTTTTAGAGCAGTTTGTTGTGCAGGGAGAATATAAAATGGGACTGCCTCTCTTCCTGTCCCATATGCTTCATCTCAGCCGTGGGAAAGTTGTTTAAGAAAACCTACCCGAGTTTCATTTGGTTACCTGACAGTCAAGTGCCTCGTTTTGATGGAACCCTGTGTGGGAGAGCAATTGCTTCTGCTGAGGTCCTCTACAGATCTGTCCAGGGGCTTTCCCTTGTCCGACCCAGGGCTCCCATTGTCAGTGCTGTCCATATCATACCTGGAGCCACACAGACAAACAATAATGTGCGTCAACAGGTGGGTGAGTGGGGTTTATTGAGGCTCTGGCAGTGAAATAGAAGGAGAAAGGAGAACTGTTTTTCAGGGCATGACCATTGTAAACACTTCAATAAATTCTCCTCCCTGTATAGATTCACAACTCAGTGCTGAAATAAACATGGCTTAGGCTCCATGTTTTGCTTTGGCAGCCTCAAGAGCTGGGCCGCTATCCAAGGTGCTGAGCAAACTGTCTTCGTGTCTTTTACTTTGGTGTGTACAGACTTCCAGCTTCCAGGATTGTCTTTCCCTTTTTAACTGGGTTCCTGAGGTCCACTAGCTGGATTCAGGCACAATGTTATAGGTGGAATAAGTGGAACAAGATGGAAAATAGGTGGCTTAGGAGATGGAGTCATTATATACTTTACATCAGGGGTGTCAAACTCAATTTCATTGAGGGCCGCATCAGGGTTGTGTTTGACCTCGGGGGGCCGGGGTGAGCGTGGCCAGGGTGGCCGTGGCCAGCTTGATGTCACTCATATCAAGTGGTACCTCTGCCAGAGAAAACGGGCTCCCAAGCTCCATTTTTGGCTGGGATGGCCTGCTGCAACCCTCTGCCGGTGAAAACGGAGCTCGGGAAAGCTGCCAAGTGTCTGATTTTTTATCACAGGGATACTGCAATAGTCATAAGTGTGAAAAACAGTCATAAGTCACTTTTTTCAGTGCCATTGTAACTTCGAAGAGTCACTAAATGAATAGTTGTAAGTCGAGGACTACCTGTAAACAACAATATCTCGTCTAGGTGAATATGAGTTAGATCCAAATCAAGGATAGATAATTGATCTCTTGCAGTACAGATATTCCTTGATTTATGACCACAATTGGAACTAGAATTTCTGTCATAAATTGGGAAGGTCATAAAGCGAGTCATCGCTTTATCGGGGGCAATAAGCTGACTTTGTATAAAAAAGAACACCGCTTAGGGGGGGGCGAAAGCCCTACTAAACAGGTATGAAGGCTATTGCTTAACGCATTGTAAGCCGCCCTGAGTCTCCGGAGAAGGGTGGCATATAAATCGAACCAATAAATAAATACATGAGCAACCTAATTTTACAACCATTTACATCACAATTGTTAAATGAATCACATCATTAAGTTAACTAACTTAACAATTGCATTTATTCACTTAACAAAAGTGGCAAGAAAGGTCATAAAATGGGGCAAAACTCGCTTAACAAATGTCTCACTTAGCAACAGAAATGTTGGGTTCAATTGTGGTCATAAGTCAAGGACTATCTATACTTTTCCTACAATATACATTGATGTTTGTTTTTAGGTTTGGGCCTAAAAAAATCCAGGTGGCTAATTATTTGCCTGTAATGGCAGAAGCAGAAGAAAATTATGCTAAATGAGCCTAAATAATTGTTTCATTTGTAAACAATGCTTCCTTTATAATTCCTACCAAAGCTGGGCACATGAGATCAATTGGGAGGGTGGCTTCTGTACCAGCCTCCCTACTGGATAGCAACTTCCTTGCTTGAGCTGCTGGAAGCCATCTCAGGGCTGCCCGTGGAGTTTCCCAGGTTTGTGGTCCTGGAGGGCTTCAATCTGCCATCCTTTTAATCTGTCTCAGAGGCAGGTCAGAGTTCATGGCTGCCGTGGCAGATCATCCAAGGCCCGCCTCAGGATAGCAGTCCCACTCCAGATGCGATTTTCTTGCTGGAGCAGTGGCAATGTGATCTGGTGGGGGATTTGCCATTATTCCTCTGTCAGGGTCAGACCACACCTGGTAGCTGTGAGATTTTCCAATTCTCCCTGCGATGCAGGGAGGCAGGACCTATTTGAATGGTCTGCCCTCAGTGCTTAATGGACCCACATGGGTTTCAGAAGGACCTGGGGGATATTCTGGGGGTTCTGCTGCATGGCCCAGTAGAGGCTTTGGCTGCAACCTGGAATCAGAAAGTGGCCAAGGCCCTGGACAGGATTATGCCCATGTGCATAATGGCCCAACAGTCCCAAAACTTCCCGTGGTTTATGGAGGAGCTGAGGGTGCTGAAAAGAGACAAAAGACAGCTAGAGCACTGCTGGATGAAAACTAAAAATAAAGCTGACTGGACACAGATCAGAGCCACAATTAAGGCCTGCCTCATGGCAGTAAGAATGGTGAAATATCGCTATTTCTCCAGTCTTACTGCATTTGCAAAGAGTTGCCCTCCTTGAGAAGAGGGGCTTCGATAATCATTTACAGGACCATGCAGAGGAATTTGTTGAAGATGTAATGAACAAAATCACTGAGATCCTTTCTCAGTTTGAATCCAAGTGTGGAGCATGTCCATTGGAGATTCCAAATTGCCAGATTATCTGGAATGGTTTGGCCCTATTGGACCTGAGGAAGTGGACAGGATCTTTGGGGCTGTTAAGGCAACTACTCGCTTATTAGATCCTTATCCCTCCTGCTTGGTGAAAACCTCCAGGATGGTGACCTGCAAATGGGTCCAAGCGGGATTAACATATCAGTGCAAGGGAAAGTGTTTCCAGCACCATTAATGGAGGCCTTGATGTGGCACCTCCTCAAGGACGCTCATTGAACCCAAGTTCTTTGGACAACTTTCATCCAGTTTCCCACCTTCCCTAGAAAGGGAAAAGTGGTTGCCTTGCAGCTCTAAAGGGTCCTGGATGAAATGGTTTACCTGGATCCTTTTCAGTCAGATTTCAGGTTGGGTTATGGGATGGAAATGGTATTGGTCACATTTATGGATGCTCTCAGGTGAGAGCAGAATGGGAGATGGTCGTTCTGCAGATTTCAGTACCATTAACCACATTATCTTTTTGGCCAGCTCTGGGCTTTGGGGCTGATTGGCACTGTATTGCACTGGTTCAGCTCCTTCATCCAAGACCAGTCCCAATAGATGTTAATAGTGAGCAAGAAGTACTTAGTACTTTCTTCACTCCTTTTTAACATCTACATGAAACCACTGGGTAAGATCATCTGACCCCAAGGGATGAAATATCATCAGTATGCTTAACGCTACTGTTATTGCTTAACGCATTGTAAGCCGCCCTGAGTCTCTGGAGAAGGGCGGCATATAAATCAAATTAAAAAAAAAAAAAAAAGTATACGCATCTCCATGATACACAGTTTTACATACTCCGTCCACTGGTAATCCAAATGATGCTGTGGCCATCCTTTCTCAGTGCCTGGAGGCTCTAGAGGCTTCAGTTTAAGCCAGTCAAGACGGAATGGCTGTGGGTTCAAGGGACTTCAGAATCCAATTGTTTATCATTGTTAACTCTGGATAGGATTGCACTACCCTAGACAGGTCTGGTGGGCAATTTAGAACTCCTCCTGTACTCATGACTCCTGCACAAAGAGCAGGTGACAGTTGGGCTAGGAGGGCCTCGTGTCATGTCCCAATAGCACCCTTACCTGGATTGTTTGGCACTGAGCATGGTTACTCATGCCATAATCATCTTTCGGATGGATTACTTCAACAGATTCTACATGGGGCTGTCTTTGAAGAATATTTGGAAACTACAGCTGGTACAGAATGCAGTGGTGCACAGAGTCCTGGGAATCCCAGGACTGCACATATAACACCACTACTGTGGGAGCTGCACTGATTACCAGTTTGCTTCCAAGTCCAATTCAAGGTGTTGATTGTTACCTTTAAAGCCCTACATGGCTTGGGTCCAGGGCATCTGAGGAGCCATCTTTCCCTGATGGGACAAGCTTGGCCCCATGCTTGAAAACTGCTCCCACTTTTTTGGCTTTGCTAGTTGGCCTGGGGCTCTCATTGCTGGAGGTGGTTGAGAGGGTAAGAGAGGGTAGAAGGGTCTATCTCTTCGTTCTGGTTTTAACATACCTTCTGTAATTTTAATCTTTGTAGTTTTAATGTTTTAATGTTTTAATTATTTTTCTATTCTTTTATAACTTGTAAGCTGCCCAGAGTCACCTTATAGGGAAATGGGTGGCATTAAAAAATGTAATAAATAATAATAGTACTTGGCCTTGAGGAAATGAACTGATGATAAGCTTGTGTTAGACTGACAGTCATTGTTGGAGAAGCAACCACTCATATCACTATGGCTTAAATCTTTTCATGTTATTGAGGAATTACTCCTCAGTAGTATGTGATTAAAATATATTTAAAAGAAAATGGTTTTTTTCTACAAAGTATTATGTTTCTTTTAAAATAATTTACAGAGGGCTCATTTTAATAAGACCAATGCTAGTCTATTAGCAGAATCTCACACTTCCTTTTTCTCATTGGCTTCCTTAATATAAAAAAAATAGCTTTTTCAGAACTGATATCTTTCAGACTTCTCCTGAAATTAAGTAGAAGTTTGTAAAATCAGGCAAAGAATTACAAGTTTGCCACCTCTAGTTTCCTGTACCAGGAAGTAGGAGGGGGGAACTCTTATGGCTCCTATATGACTCATCCATCCTTAGTCAGGAGCACAATTTCAGCAAAAACAGCAAACACTCTTATTAGTGTAACTTTATATTTCTCTTGCCGATTCTTTCTTGACACAGTTGGAACTGACTGATATTAACCTACATTGAAAATGTTTTTTTTTCAAATGTTGCTTTGCATTTCCAATGTTAAAACTAGAAGAAATCTATGTGATGGGAAATCTTGCTTTCCTATCTCAAATGTGATCAACAAGTTTACAAGATATTTTCTTTGAGGTTTAATATATATTGCAATTATTTTGGATCAACTGATTCATTGGAAAGTTCATTCCTGACTTAGGTTAGGTATCCTCGAGTTATTTCACAGAGATAAGACAAGAGTTGAATGAATATATAATCTTAGATAGGTTTCACTAAGTAGAACTCCCTTCTAAAAGGATTATCTGATACCCAAGTTCATGCATATGTATATACAGACAAAATATAATGTATGTCCAATTCTCAAAAGGGCATGGAAATTATTTCTGTGAGGTCAAGGGGCCTTTAGACTCTTTCCCTATTAAACAGGATAGCAGGCTTCTCCTGAACATAACCTCAAAATTCCTTTGGCAATGTTTCAAGCATTATAATTAAATAAGGAAATAAAATAAATAAAATAAGGAAATAAATAATTCCTTATAATTAAATAAGGAATTTAATTAATTTAATTCTCTCTAACCAATATCAAACCTACCTAGAGAGTGACGCTACTGAGATAAAGCAGCTACTGGCATCCTTATATCATTGGCTGCCCAGGCTTGAGTTCCCTGCACAACTGGATCAAGCAACTCCTGATTTTAAAGCTATGTTTATGACAGAAGCTTCATCACAATTCTACTTTGTTCCTTATTATTGCTTTTAGTTAACAACAGTGAACTTACGTGACAGAGCACTGAGCAAAAGCGAGATAATCCACCAACACATCAAGACCTCTATTCTCTTCATTTAGGAAGTCCTGGACCCAACTGTGGAGAGGAGAAAACACACATGAATTTACTCTCCCTTGAAAGATGCTTCTCTCTCAGCCTGGAACTTCTCCAGAACACTTGCTTCCAATAGAAGAGGATACATGAAGCTCAGGGCTGAACTATGGAGTCCCTGGTGCTGTTGAGTTTGTTTATTTTCTTGCAAATGTTTTGGCTAGGTAACAGCTTCAGTGCTAAAAAGGATTTGTTCTCTGTTTACTTACAGTAACTTGGTAGAAGCACTGTTTTGTTCTTGATAGTTCTTTGATTAGGCTGTTGCTTACTGCTTGATTGTTTCTCTAAGTTGGTAGTTCCTTGATTAGGATACTTACGATTTGTTTATCTAGTGTAAATCCCTGCTTATCTGGGGACTGGTGAAAGAGGTGTTCTGGTCTTTTTGAAAATAACTCCTTAATTTCCCTATACATGGACAGACTTAATCATAGTTTCAATTGGAAAACTAAGCATACTAAACCAGGATAAATCCAAAACTACTAGAGACTTTTTGGAAGCTTGGCACTTAGACAACTCAGACATCAACAGGCACATAGAGATAAACATTTACATCAGGGGTGAAATCCAGCAGGTTCTGACAGGTTCTGGAGAACCGGTAGCGGAAATTTTGAGCAATTCAGAGAACTGGTAGCGGAAATTTTGAGTAGTTCGGAAAACAAGCAAATACCACCTTTGGCTGGCCCCAGAGTGGGGTGGGAATGGAGATTTTGCAATATCCTTCCCCTGTCACGCCCACCAAGCAATGCCCACAGAAGCAGTAGTAAAAAAAATTGGATTTCACTACTGATTTACATGCCATTCAAAAGAGGCAATTAAAAAAAGTTAAAAAGGAAACAAAAACACCATAACATCAATCCTCACCAATCAACACTCCAGAATCAAACAAACTTAACTGAAGGTTCTTCTGCATTGATATGTATAGGATACGTCCAAAAGCAATTATCCTAGATGGTATCACTTTAGGTTAAACATGGAAGAATCAGATATTCTGTAATCTCCTATATGCTCTACGAGAGATTACATCCATGTCATAGAAAAACTAGATATCTTTCCTTGATATTCTAGATGTGAAGCTGCATACAGTAGAACATCAGATATATTGGCATATTTTTAGCTTGTAATTAGCCATTTAATCACCTGCCTGGGAAGAACTAAATTGCCTTTAAGATTTTTTTTAATATATATAATTCAGAAGCAAACTTGAAACATTTCACCATTTTAAACTGGCAATGTTCTACAAGAAAAATTCTTATTTAAGGACATATGAACAAATAAATTAGTAAAAACTATGGTAGATAGAAACTTGTATTGAGTTATTTGCAAGGATTCCTAACTTCTCTTTATAAATATCTGATCCAGCACTAAGAAAGATGATCAATGAACTCTTAAAAAGAGGATAGATTTTGAAATTCAATTTCCAAGTTTACATGTTATCCATTTCACCAACATTTTCAAGGATGAACTAAAATTTGCATTCACATAAATCACTAAAATTCTGGAACAATCACTCAGGCAAGCAATGTCCATTCCCAGAAAATCAAGTATTGGGAGGGACACATTCAATGATGCTGGCATGCCTTCTTTCCTGCCTATCCCCATCCTACTCGCAGATCACCCTCATTTTCTGTGGTGCTTGGTGTTACACAAAATACTTTCCTCCATGAAAAGTATTTATTTATGTTTTCAAATTTGGCAATTTTAAGATAAGTTCCTTAGCCAACATGGGGAATTAAAGTCCATTCGGTTGCCAAGTTTGAAAAACACTGATTTATACTGTGAACATTAAGACTGAAAGGATGAATTTCTCCTTTCCACAGAAAAAAAAAAGGTGGGGGACTAAAATATGTTTCAGTGCCTAAAATTCTAAAATGAAGGAACTTGAGATTTTGCACCGATGTCCATCTCCATCCAAAAATTCTGCCTACTTAACTCTTACAATGTTTTTATAATCCAAACTTTTGTATTATGCAGTTTCTTTTCAGGGTGTGTTTTTAAATTAGTAGTAACTAACTAATAAAACTAAATATGGCACTATTCATACAATTAACTATTGTGTGGATGGCTTCTTGAAATGCAAAAGCAGAGTGGTACCCTACTGTGACAGATGGAAGTCATTAATAGCTTGTCTGCCATTAAGATCTTACTTCTTATCCTGGATTTCACACACACACACACACACCCCAAATGAGCTTTCCATGCAGAAAATGGGAGCTATTTTTCACAGTGCAGACACAAGGGGGATCTAAACTGAGATGGTGCATAGCAAAGTATTAAAGGATAGCTTGCCATTCCAATGAAGTGTATGCAAGTATGTATATGTGATTAAATCCTACTTTTGTACAGATATCTATGCAATTCTAATTATATAGAGTTTTTTCTTTATTAGTCTTTTCTAATCTGGTCCAAGGTAGTACAAATTAGCATTATACATCACTTTGGAATCAAAGGGGGAAAGGTACTCAGTGCAGTCATGTAGCACCTGGTTAATGTAGGTAATGCGCAACAAATTACAAATATGATGCAAATGCAGGAGGAGGAGGAGAAGAAGGAGGAGGAGGAGGAGGAAGAGAAGGAGAAGGAGAAGGATTCTTTATTGGCCAAGTGTGATTGGACATGCAAGAAATTTGTCTCCAGCGCATAAACTCTCAGTGTACATACTGTGAATTCCACTAGGTCATGAGAAAATTATTTGGTACCATTTCTGCTAGGCTGAATTGCCTCTCCTGGTGCCCAGGTCCTATATCTTATTCTACTGTGTAATTTGTTTTGTCTTTTACACTGTCTTGGGCTTGACAATATCTTTGATCACAAAATGCTGACAAAACTTGGGCTTGTTGGCTTCCCTTTTATCTCTTCACTGCTTGGCAGGCAGTTGGTCCAGAGAGATAAATGCTTTCTCGTTCAAGCTGTTAATTAGCCTGCATACATCACTGTCCTTAATGGTGTTGGCTGCTGCCTCCAACATGCTGGGGTCACCTTCTCTACAGAGGGCCAAGGCCTTTGCTGCAAACCTCAAAGGACTCATAGAAACAGGGGAAAGAGTGGGGTGGAGTTCTTAGCTTAGCTCCCGGCAAAAGAAATTAGTCAGTTAACCAGATTAACCTCCATTGCGGCTGATATTCATTTTAAGAATTAAAATGTAACATCACCCAAACAATCCTTAACACATTTTTCATTCCTCTAGTGCTTCAGCAGAAGGCAAAACTTTGTCTTGGTTTCTTTTCTTCACAGTCATTAGTTTATTCATTCCAAAAATAAGACACTAAAGGAGAAATAAGTTGGTATAGAATTACTAGTTGAAGCACTGGAAAAGAAAATGCAAGACTGAACCATAAGACAAGGAACTGGAATCAATGAATTCAGTTTAGCTTCCCTCTTAAGTTCCCAGCTTGGCCCTGATTCAGTAGATCCTATTGATATTATGTACTGTGTTTACCTTCTTCCCATTCAATAAAGTCACAAGCAAAGAAATCACCACTCTATCCTACTTTAAGCCAGACCAATAGTTTTAGCACACACCTCCCCTCATTATACCTAATTGTTAATTCCAAACACAGGTAGATAATTCCTAGGCATTCTTGTCTACTTCAAGGCTGGGAAAGAGAGGATCAAGCCTGAATTTATCTCCTTTCAAGGGTCACTTCCCCACTTCAAAGGCACTTTCCAGGTCAAAACAGATTGTATGAAATAGTTCTTACAAAAGCCAGAGATAAGAATTTAATGAGCTTGAGGTTTAATGCATATGAAGTCAGCAGCAGCAACACCAAGGAGACATTATCTATCATAAATTATATCAAGCTATAGTTTCTTGATTAAGTCACAAATAACACTGAACCCCTAGTGATGCGTTCACAAACTGCATTCTAACTGGAAACCAGCAAAGGCTCATTATGTGTAATATGTGCATTCCAGCAGTGTTATAATCAGTTATTTCATTTAGTTCAGCATTTCAGATATACTACAAAGGAAACTTTATTTAATCATTCCTTAGATTGGTATGCTCCTCTGCCCCAGAGGATCTCAATGGCTAACAGCCAGAAACTTCGTTTTAAAAAGTCTTCAATAAAAATGATACCCCCCCCTCGCTAGAAATCTCAACAGCATCATAAAGGATTAAAAATAGATATGCAAAGTCATGTATACGCATTCTGACATTCAAAGCATTTCTTCCTTCTGATCTAAATGGAAAGGCCAGCTCTTAACTTCTCAGCTACAATTCAGGAAGGAATCTCCATATGGAGAGAATTCCATAAGCTGGGGCAGTGACTGGAACTGCGTCTTTCCTAGATCCCATCAGATGATAGATAGGCTGGATCTGAAGTTGACCCTGTTTGATCTGATTTGACAGACAAATAAATATTGGATATGTACAACCAAGTTATCTAGTTATTCAAACTATTTATAATATGAGGATTGGGCCATTTACTGGTACTTTAAAGTTAATCTTAACAGAAAATAGAAAAATAATTATTTTGTTTTACTTTTAAAAAATTATTTGATGTCGAGAATCACTTGGTGAGAGGGTGGCTATACAAAATGAACAAATTAAAAAAATTACTGGTCTTGCATCATTTAAAGCTTCATTTTATTATTTACTGATTATATTTGTATGCTGCCTGACTCCCAACAACTCAGGGAGGTTAACAGGTAAAACATAGAAAACAAACAAAAAGGCATAGTAGAAACAGGGAACAAATCAGCACCAAAGCCTTCAAATTGCAAGCAATGCAATTGACTCAACAAGTAAAGCAAAAAGTCCAAAATGGCCAGTATCAACATTAATCACTCAGTCTGGAAGCTGCCATACATCATTTAAAAAGCCAGGGGTCTCAGAACATATACTTTATCGATGAGCTATGGGCAGTTTTCAAAAGACATTATTAGAACTCATAATTTCATTTGGACCCTACAATGTCTCTGCTGCATAAGTAAGGTCAGAACACCATTAATGCCACTGTTTGCAAAACTAAAAACAGACCTTCCATGTAAGCCCTGGGGATACCCCCTTGATTAATCAATTTGCCTGTCAAACCTGGAGAACAAATGACATAAAATGCCATTTTTCTGACTGTTCTACAACTATGGGATTTTCTTCCTATCCAGAAACTCATCAGCAATTTGAGTGTTTCAAGAAAAGGTTATAAATAGCTATTTAACAAACAAGGGCCTTGTCTCATGGCTTTGAACTGTTGACATATTGTATATTACAGACTGTAGTTGCAATTCCAATTTATATTTAAATATGTGCTATACATCAATTCAAGCTGTCATTCTTATTGAGCCCTAAGGAAAGAGCAGGCCAAAAATGGAATGAAGGAAAGAAGAATTAAAAACAATCACACAGATTCTAAATAATCTCCACCCTCCCAGCTGTATCTGCAGTTGATAAATTCTCTGGAAGAACATCCAATCTACTTCTGGCCAAGGGGCATTATCTTCTGTCGCACATCTTTGGTTACCCTGGACTGGTCCATCAGGAAGGTGTGATCTGTTGGATCAGTTTGTCCAGGAGCCGAAAGGATCCTATTGCTTTACAAGAGAATGGTTGGGGAGTTTCCTGAGATTGTGGTGGGCTGTTAAACTGGAATTTTAATCAATAATTGGAATGAATGGAGGATGACAGCCCTTCATTGGATTGCTCTTAAGTAGCATCACTTTGTCTATCAATCCTAAATGCCTCTTGGTTTACTGAGAAGCTCTAGGACAGTGATGGCTAACATTTTGCCGTCACGTGCCAAAAGCAGGGGGGTCGAGCGCGCATGTGCCCACACCCATAATTCACTGTGCCCCACCCCCCTGTGCATGCACGTGCAACCCCTCTGCACTCCCCCCACTTTTGGCACGTGATGGCATGATGGGCCCGGTAGGCCTGTTTTTTGCCCTCCCCAGGCTCCAGAGGCTTTTTAAGAACCTAGGGAGGGCGAAAATGGCCTCCCTCCCCCGGAAGCCAGAATGGCCCGTTTCCCGATTTCTGGTGGGCCCAAAAGACCCGAAAATCAGCTGGCTGGCGTACATATGCATGCTGGAGCTGAGCTAGAGCAACACTTGCATGCCCACAGATATGGCTCCGCGTGCCACCTGTGCCCATAGGTTCGTCATCACGGCTCTAGGAAATGAAGCAACAGGAGAAACATCTATGACATTGTTGGTGAAAAACTGGGAGTCACTCTTATTAGACATGTAAAAGACTTTGGATTAAGGAATATCTTATGGCAGTAAGAACAATAAAACATGATTTTCTCCCCACTCTTAGCATATGTGCCACCCAAGTGATCATATTCAGGGTAAGCTGTATTTTTTTAGAAAGGGAATGCCTTGATGAACATTTTAAAGGAATGTTAGGTTTCTGATATATAATCACTCAGATTATTATTTCTGACTAGGTGAATTCTACTGAAGTGGGTTGAGCTCTATTATCTGGGAGGAATTTGAGCCTACTAGTCTTGAGGAATTGCATTGAGTTTTCTGAGCTGTGAGTGAAAGTCATTCCAAATCAGTCATTAAAAGTAGGTAAGATCAAGAAATAGAAACAGCAAGGATTCCAATAATGTATTTTATTGCTATAGGGTAGAAGAATAGAATCCTGAAGCCTGTCAGAGTTTCTCTCTGCTCTTTCTCTTTCCAAACAAGATAAAGGCAGGAATATTTTGAGTTTCTTTCCACATTTTTAGCACTGAGTTATCTTTCGTTTTTCAGTCAGTGATTCATTGTTCCTTTTCTCTCTTTGAAGGCCAAATCCATGTCCCTTCTGACTAATCAAAGCCACCTGGGAGATTACACACGGTTAGGTCCAGGTGGCAATGAATTTATCTTTGAAAGAGGCAGTGATATGCCCCTTCCTTTTCACTGGACCCAATTACACTAGATAATTTTTCTCCAAACTTCCTTGGGGAGGGAATCAAACAGAATGGACTGCAGTTCCAGGGAACCTTGGGGTAAGGAGATTGTGGAATATTGTGGAATAAGGTTTCAGACTGGAGTATAGCACTGAAATAACTTGGTGGATGATCTCTGCTGGGACTGGGGGTGATGTAATTCTCCTGCTCATCCTTGATCTTGATAGCTCAGTGGCTTTTGATACCATTTATCATAGTAACACATGGACTAACTTTGGGAGTAGGGGGCACTATTTTATAGTAGTTCTTGATAATCTAACCAATTGAAATCTTGATAAATTGATATTTTAATAAGATAGAAAAATGTGGATTAGACAGCATCACCACCAGATGGATTCATAATGGGCTAACCAATCATACTCAACATTACTCCTTAATGGAACTGCATCTACATGGAAGTATGCAGTGGGCTATTTCAAGGCTCTGTCTTAGGCCCAGTACTCTTCAATATCTTCATAAATTATTTAAATGAGGTGATAGAAGGGAAGGGAACTCATCAAATTTGCAAATAAGCTGGCAGGAATAGCCAATACTCCAGAAAATAGGCTCAAGATACAGATGGATCTTGACAGACTTGAACACTGGGTTGTATCTAACAAAATGAAATTCAATGATGAGAAAAGTAAAGGTATACACTTAGGCAAGAAAAACCAAATGCACAGATTCAGAATAGATGGTATCTGGCTCAATAGTAGTAACTATGAGAGGGATCTTGGGAATCCAATGAACAATTACTTAAAGATGAGCCAGCAATGTATGGCAGCCATAAAAAAAGCTAACACAGTCCTAGACTGCATTAACAGTGGAGATAGACTCAAGATCACATGAAGTGTCTGTAGTACTTTATAATGCCTTGGTAAGACCACACTTGGAATGTTGCATCCAGTTTTGCTCACCACAATATAAAAAAAGATGTTGAGATTCTAGAAAGAGTACAGTGAAAAGCAATAGAGATAATTAGGAAACTGGAGGCTAAAACATATGACGAACTGTTGCAGGAATTGGGAATATCTAGTTCAATGAAAAGAAGAACTAAGGGTAACAAGATAACTGTGTTCCAATATTTGAGGGGCTGCCACAAAAAAAGGGGGGGGAGTGAACCTGTTCTCCAAAGCACCTGAAGGCAGGATAAGAAGCAATGGATGGAAACTAATCAAGGAGAGAACCAACCTAGAAATAAGGAGAAATTTCCTGATAGAACAATTAATCAGTGTAATTGCTTGCCTTCAGCAGTTGTGGATGCTCCATCACTGGAGGTTTTTAAGAAGAGATTGGACAATCATTTGTCTGAAATGGTGTAGGGCAGTGGCCCCCAACCTTTTGGGCACCAGGGACCGGTTCTGTGGAGAGTGTTTTTTCCGCAGACCAGAGGGGTTGTGTGTGTGTGTGGTTCTGTGTACTGCCTGCATCCCATGAATGGGGCTTCGCTTATTTGTACAGCCAGGTTTCTTGCATGCCATGGACTGGTGCTGGCTGAGCAGGCGGTTGGATTAGAAGATCTCAAACGTCCCTTCCAACTCTGTTATTCTGCTTTATTTGGGGTAATTCCACTGTAGTTCCACTTTGGGACTAATTCTACCTTTCCTTGAAGAAAGGGAGAGGGGAATTTTAGGTTCATGGTTTGGATCTCTTAATACTATTTAATCTATTTAACCTATTCTTATTTAACATCTACCAGAAATTATTGGGGGAGGTTATCCAATGGCATGGAGTCAGGTATTATCAATATGCTGATTTGTACATTTGTATATTTTGTACATCTTGATCCCAGGCCATCCAAGCAATGCTATCAATGTTCTATCCCAGTACTTGGAGATTGTTAGGATATAGGAGGGGAGTTAACAAATTTAGGTTTAACCCTACCCAGGCCACTTTGATTTTCACTGAGCACAATCAGAAATGTTCTGTATTCTTGCCCAAACATACTTTCTTCTATCTCCAATAGGCACAGGATTCTTTGGGACATTTATTTTAAAAAGTATTATTTCTAACTTGAGAAAGCAAACAGAGTATATTTTATGTAATATATAAACTATTTTGAGAATTCATTCATTTATTCATTCGTTGATTCATTCATTCAATTTCTACAGCTGCTCACTTCAGTCAAATGACTCTGAATGAGTCAATGAATTACCAAAGTGCTGAAAGATAATCTCTGAAGTGGCCATGATGTTTCAGGTTTCTCAAATAATATTCAATAATATTCAAATAATGAATAAATTATAATTTCTAATAATGAATAAATTATAATTGATCATGACTAGGAATAGCAAGTTGGAGAGTGCACAACAAATAAGTGAATAACCAATGAATTTGTTTTCCACTGATACTCACCCAATGTGGTTTGTCCTCAGGGATATCTCTAATTCCCGAAGAACCTGTGTAGATTCTTGAACTCGTCTCTTAAACTGAATAAAGAAAAGGAATTCAAATTAAAAATCCCATAGAAATTACAAACCTGGCATATATTTATCTACCTGTGACTTATGCATTATATAATGATCCTGGGTTTGAAAAAGTATCTATACATCAATGGGAAATAATATAGACAGCACTAGGAATTTCAGACTGTGAGTATGCCTTGCAATCAATAGTGAATTACAAAACAGTTCTTTTGCTGGTTGCATTTTCATATTGATTGCAGGAAGACTATGGTTATGAGCAAAGAAAAATCATCCACCCAGAGAGCAAATGATAAAAGTACCCTGTTCAAATAAAGCCTATGACTCCAATTTTAAATAACTAAGACTATAGGAACTGTGAGTTTCTGGCAGGCAGATCCAAGCATACAAGTCATTCAAAACTGATAAAATTTTATTACAAAAATGTGGATCTTTAAGAGTCAAGCTTTTTGATAGAAAATGCAGATGTGTAACAACAGTTAAGAGAGTGATACCAATCTATCTCCTCAACCTAAGGCTGTCTGGGCATTTCCTATTTTACTCTGGCCAGACCCTGAAAGAAATATTGTGCATGCCATTGCCAGTCTATCTTTTGTGTTAGATGCACAGGTGTGCATCTAACACAAAACATTTAGAAAATATAAATGTGCTCCCCTTCCCCCACCCCATCCCACACCCCTATCAGGCCTGTAGCATCACTTGCTCTGTGTACAGGATCCTGTGACTTCATTTCTTTTTCAATAATGCTCATTGTATTTTATCTACAATTGCTTTCATTGTTCATAAGCTAATGAAGGATTGTTACTTTGAAATACAAATAGCTGCAGTAAATAAATAAAATAATAAATTTGTAACTGTGTGCAGAATAGCGATTTCTACTCGTTCAGGAAATCAAAAGGCTACTTAAAAAAAAATCAGTGGTATTTGCCTGCTGAAGATTTTTGTTTGGTTGTTTTTTGCTCTGTTTTTCTTAAAACAGAAACACTGTTGGGGGGCACCGTGCTGTGGTGGTTCTCCTCCTTCCTCTCCGACTGTACACAGTTTGTGTTGGCAGGGGGGGCAGAGGTCGACCTTGAGGCGCCTTGTTTGTGGGGTGCCGCAAGGGTCAGTCCTCTTGCCCCTTCTGTTCAACATTTATGTGAAGCCGCTGGGTGAGATCATCTGTGGTTTCGGGGTGAAGTTCCACCAGTATGCTGATGACACTCAGCTGTACATCTCCACCCCAGACCACCCCAATGATGCCCTTGACGTGATGTCCCGGTGCCTGGAGGCCGTGCGGATCTGGATGGGGAGGAACAAGCTTAGACTCAACCCTTCCAAGACTGAGTGGCTGTGGTTTCCGGCGTCCTGGTATAGTCAGCTGGTTCCATCGCTGACTATTGGGGGCAAGATCTTGGCCCCCTCAGAGAGGGTTCGCAACTTGGGTGTTCTCCTGGATGGTCTTTGGAAAATCATATGACGGCCGTGGCCAGGGGAGCTTTTTGTCAGGTTCGCCTGATACACCAGTTGAGTCCCTTTCTGGACTGGGATGCCCTGCGCACAGTCACTCATGCCGTCGTCACGTCCCATCTGGACTACTGCAATGCTCTCTACATGGGGCTCCCCTTGAAGAGCGCTCGGAGGTTCCAACTGGTCCAGAATGCGGCCGCGCGGGTGATTATGGGGGCGACTCAGCGCACCCACATAACACCTCTCCTGCACGAGCTGCACTGGCTCCCAGTGGTCTTCCGGGTGTGTTTCAAGGTGTTGGTTACCATCTTTAAAGCGCTCCATGGCTTAGGGCCAGGGTACATATGAGACCGCCTTCTGCCACCAATAGCCTCCCACCAGCCAATACACTCCCACAGAGAGGGGCTCCTCAGCCAAACAATGCCAACTGGCGACACCCAGGAGGAGAGCCTTCTCTGTGGGGGCACCAACCCTCTGGAATGAGCTGCCCCTAGAGGTTCGTACGATCCCCGACCTGCGTACCTTTCACCATGCCCTGAAGACCCTTCTGTTCCAACAAGCCGGGCTGGCCTAATATGAATTTTATAATGGGTGTATGTTAGTTTTTAATTTGTGGGCCAAATTTTTATATATTGGATTTTAAATTGTTTTTAAACTTTGTAAATTTATATGTGTTTTAATATGGCTGTACACTGCCCTGAGTCCTTTGGGAGAAGGGGGCTATAGAAGTCCAATAAACATAAATATAAACAAAAGCAAAATTAGTCTTAGGGAAGAAAACTATGATAACCAGCTGCTAATGGTTTGTCAGCAAAAGGACATCTTTCTTACTTTTACTGTATGTAAAACTAGACAGCCTGTGTCTCATCAGGTCATCTTTTCAGAGATGTTTCCTTACTAGATTCCTCAACTGTGACAGAATGTCTAATTACTGCTTTTACTGGAAAAAGCTGGGATACATTCAGAGATGTATCTGCCTGGAAAATGGCCCATGTTGAATTGTATAGCACAGTCAAACATCAGCACAGAAAATGTTTTATGATATTTTGCATTATGCCACAAAACATTTTATGATTATTTTTACGTCATAAAATGTTTTATACAGTTTGCCACATTTGAAATCTACAGGAGTCATCGGTCCAAGATTTTGAACACATTCTGTAATTTAGTACACGAGGTAATCCAAAATTATTGCCCTATGATGCAACATTTTGCCTAGTTAAAGGTTATGGGAATGAGTATTTTAGACATATATAGATTTCCAACTGAGAATAGAAAGAACATGGAAGTAATTATGAGGAGGAGAGAATATGAAATGACCATATTAGCCACAAGTTACCTTTCCACTGAATCCACCTGTTTCTAGATAGCTCTTCAGTTTCTGGATATAGGCAGATGGTGGGTTTTTGACCTGGAATCGTTCCTACAGATAGGCACAGATGGGGTGGAAGAAAAGGAAAAAAAAAAACACGTTTTTTTTTTCATTAAAACTATGAGGAATAGAGAGGGTTCTGAAAATGCAAACATATTATGAGGCCTGGCAAGTTAGGCATAACTTTTTATCTCTTTTTGTAGAAGATGCTGAAGATACTGTTGTTAAACATAACCAAAATTACAAATATTGCAGGTGCTTCTGAGCCCAAGCACTAGCAGCCTTTAGCTGCCAGATGTAAATGTTTATGAATCATGCTAAACTGCAAAAGGATGAGCAGTAACACAAAGAGGAAAAAAGATATATCAATATTCAAGGCTGTTATGATATACTCAGCCTGTTAAAAGTTTAGGAAACTCCCAATTTTACAGCCCAGCCATTACAGGAGTCCTCAACTTATGAACACTGAGCCCAAAATTTTCATTGCTAAGCAACACAGTTATTAAGTGAGTTTTGTCATATTTTTCTACCTTTCTTGCCACAATTGTTAAGTGAATCACTGCTGTTGTTAAGTTAGTAACACAATTGTTAAGTAACTCTGGCTTCCCCATTGAATTTGCTTGTCAGATTATCACATGACCCCAGGACACTGCAGTCATCATAAATACGAGTCATTTGCCAAGTATCTGAATTTTGATTAGGTGACCATAAAGATGCTGCAACGGTTATAAATCTGAAAAATGGTCACAATTCACCTTTTCCAGTGCTGTTGAGACTTTGAACAGTCACTAAACAAACTGTTGTAAATTAAGGACCACCTGTTCCCCACCAGGGTTTCTATCACAACAATACCCATCTCTTAAAACACTTTAGCCTGCAAAGTGTACATTTTGGAATGTGCTTACAAAGTTCTATGGTTCCCACCCATCTCTGGTCATTGCAAGCTGTAAACTTTAAAGAATCAGTAGATCTGTAAAAAGAGGTTGCAGATAATCCTTTCCATACACACTGTTTAAACGTAGAACTCAGATCATTTAGTCCCTTGTAAATCATCCCTGCTTCTTTTTCCCATAATAACTGCATTGCATCACCCTGTGCCACAATATGACACAATGTTTCACAAGAGTGATTGTGTGCTGCCTCCTGTTTTTACTTTCTGAAGCACAAGTGCTGAAACATTTGCTTCAAAAGATTCTGCAATAATTAAAGAATACATTGTTAACATTGAACCAGTTTAAAACTTGGATGTGTGATTGAATGAAAGTGTCTAAAAGAAATAGAATAAGGCAGGAGTGTCCTCAGACTATGGTAAAAGCTTCTACTTTACTGTAGCAGTCACCATTTTGGGTTTATTTTTTTTTTACCACTCCCTGTAGACATCCCTGGAGCAGTTCACAAAAAAACGAGAGAATTGACAAGGTGATGTGTATGTGTACATACATGTAAAAAAAAAAAAGGATTGTTCTTGCAGATGGCTATGGGCTAACGCTTTCTTGGATGATGTGCTTAGCAAATAATTTTTAATTCTACATATATCTGATAGTTTTGCTAAAAGTTTGTCTAAAACATTGGCCTGCAAAAAATCTGAATGATCAAAAGCATTCATCTTGTCTTTGGTAGCCTGGGACCTGAGATCTAAGAGATATGAAAAATTCAAAAACTCAGCTGCTTCCATCTGTAAAAGTGGGGGTGCTGCTTTCAGCCTGCCTTTTGGATCCATAAAAGAACGCTTTCCCTTACAAGCAGATGACCCCGAGATGGCAATGGCAGGGCAGAAAATAATCTTATGATTGTGGTACATACAGGTAGTCTTCAACTTACAATCATTTGTTTAGCGACTGTTCAAAGTTACAGCAGCACTGAAAAAAGTGACTTATGACTATTTTTCACATTTACGACCATTGCTACATCCCCATGTGATCAAAATTCAGAGGCTTGACAACGTCCATGTATTCGTGGTAGTTGCAGTGTCCCGTTATCATTTTGCAACCTTTTGCAACCTTCTGACAAGCATAGTCAGTGGGGAGTCAGATTCAATTAACAACAGTGTTACTAACTTTACAACTGCAGTGATTCACTTAACAACTGTGGCCAGAAAGTTTGTAAAATTGGGCAAAGAGTAACAACCGTCTTGCTTAGCAATGGGAATTTTGGGCTCAATTGTGGTCATAAGTTGAGGATGATCTATAATTAGAAGTTGTTCATACATCTTGAACATGTTTTACATAACTATTATCTACTCCTTGATGTAAATGCTTTGACTCATGGCAGGGCTGCTGCCTCTTTGTATATTTGTTCCATTTTTCTGTGAGCTACACATTGCCATTTTTCATTAAGAATTTCATTTACAACACAGCATTATTAACAAGGTTGCCTGGTGGAGGTATGCATAGCACATTCGTTCAGTCACTAAGTTGTGCCCATGGACCATAGCACACCAGGCTCCTCTGTTCTCCACTGTTTGCCCCAATTCATGTTCATTTCATCAATGCATACCAGATCCTAAACTTAATTTGATTCAGAATGCAGGGGTTACTTATTTAATGGTTTAACTGATCTGTAAACTCACCCCTTAGTAATCCAGTTAGGAGTCAATATGTTTTCACTCAGCAACAAGTGAGTGAGTTAAATGCTCTGTGTGAAGACAGGCGCCATTTATGTCTTCCCAATTAAAGATCAACAGGAACATCTATACTACCCACACGGCCACTTCCTATATGATTCATGCTAAATGAAGGCCAAGCTTTTTTTGGTCCATCATTCACTCAGCTGTATTTGTTGTGAGCTAAAGCAGACAAGAATAAGTTCCACTTCACAAGGATCCTGTGACCTGATATCATTCAGAACAGCGAGTGAGATATTTTCTTGATTCCTAACTGCCTACCCAATGAACACCTTAAGATTACTCTCTGAAATAAAGGACATTAGGAAATCACCCTGTGCCAGAGCTGTTTTAGCAGATCTGTGAAGGGCTGGATCACAGAGAGACATTCGCATAGCCCAGAATGAGTCATTCTTCTCTTTTTCTATTCAGCATCATTCGCAAGCCTGTGCCTTTATTAAACTGAGGAATATATAGTTTCACAGCATGAACAGGTGCCATTTCCCCCATGTGTCTCTGCCAACAGCTTGTTTTCACAAGGGACCCTTAAGTAACCACCTTCCTTGTTTAACTCAGGATGGAGAAATATTGTTTCTCCACCACTACTAAACTCATGAAGGCAACTCAAAAGAAGGAACAGCTGTTTGTTATGACACAGCCCACTTTCATATGTACCCATTTAGCTTTGGCAGGATTTTGAAATGATTCAGCCAAGGTGATAGCAGATTTATTTATTTGGCCAGGTTCATATCATGGTGTGGCTTCTTTAGTTTTGGCTTAGCAGAAAGTGTGAACCTCACAAACAATGGTTTACACAAAAAAACCAGTTTAACATTAAATATGAGTCCAGTGAAAAATGCTTCTTTTGATGCCACTTTTGTTTCATCTGGGTAGGTACAAATAGACCTAAAAGCAAGAGTTATCCCTCCCCCCCCCAACACACACACAGTGGCCCAGTTTTTCCTACCATGTAATAAACCCTGGTTTAATGCTCTGAAAAACAGATGTACTTCCTTTTAACCCAAATGCAATGCAGTGAGATTTGACTGGGAGGCTGCAATCTGCCTAGCAGACCTCCTGAATTTACACTTTTGGCCTTATTCAAATAGCTAATGAAAGCATGGATTCAGGGATAAAATCATGCCTATTGCTTTTATCCAAAATAAATTTCTGTGAACACCTGAAGGACAAATTTGTATCCATAGAAAATTAAACGCTTGTGAAGAGCAAGATAGTGTACATGGTGAATGCAACCAGAACCTCATAAATTGGTCTTTTGATATACCGTATATTACATTTCTCAAAACCTAAGCTACTTGTATTAGGGCATCAACTCTGAACTTCTGGATGATGTCTGTGATCCTGTGACAGACCTACCTAAGGTATTTTCTTTTCCACTAACAGTTTCCTGTGGGAAAGTAAAGATAGAAATAGCCTTGTTTATCCAGACTTCTCAAGGACAAACCACACTAGACTTCTAATTATACTGAACTGCCACAGGTGTCCTATCAAGGATCCCTGACATTTATCATGCTAGGTCAGAGCTAAAAGAAGCATAATTATAATACTATCTACAAACACAAAATGCTTGTGGAATATCTTTCAGTGCTTATAATCTCTCTGCCCAAACCCATTATTTAAAAAAATAAATTAATAGGAAAGTATCAAGTTGCAAACCAAAGCTACAGACTTTCATATACCCTTTGATCGGAAACACATCTTAACCTATTAAAAAAACAGCACCCCGCAAAGGTAAAGAGGTTAGAGGGTGCCTAAAGGCTACTGCAAGAAACAAATTCACCACTTTTCTTTACAATAAATAGGCATTTTGCTATTGGTCTTTGCTGGCTGGGGAATTCTGGGAATTGAAGTCCTCCAGGCTTGTCATGGATTGCTTGCTTGTCATGGTCACCAGCCACAGAAACTACAAGTCCCAGAATTCTCAGACGTATGAGGAGCTTTGAAGATCAAACCATATTGGAAGCTATTTTAAACTATGATTCATATAGCTACTTTAAATAAAGCAGTCTAGTCTCTTACCTGGTCACATATTAATTCCCATTTCTTTTCATTATCATACTGTCCCAGAAGCTTCATTTTGTCTGGTGGCAGATTCATAGAATTCTAAAAAAAAAAAAAAAAAAGGGTGGGGGGGAGAAAGTGTTGTTTATACAGAATAATTACATAACAAGAATCATGATACGTTTAATCATGTAATGTTTTTCATGCAGGTCATCCTCTACTTACAACCGCAACTGAGCCCAAAATTTATGTTGCTAAGGGAAACATTTGTTAAGTGAGTTTTGCTCCATCTTACAAGCTTTTTTGCCACAGTTATTAAATGAATCACTACAGTTGTTAAGTTGGGGTTACTCTGGTTTCCCCATTAACTTTGTTTGTTGGAAGGTTGCAAAAGGCAGTCACATGATCCTGGGACATTTTAACTGTTGTAAATACGAGCCAGGTGCCAAGCATCTGGATTTTGATCATATGAACATAGGGATCTTGCAATGGTCGTAAATGTAAAAAATGGTCATAAGTCACTTTTTTCAGTGCCACTGTAACTTCGAACGGTCACTAAATGAATGGTTGTAAGTTGAGGACTACCTGTAATACCAGAGGAAAAAGCCAAAGCAACAAGAGAGCAATTTGAGGGTACACAGAGAAGGCTTCAGCTGTGCAATCACAACTTTCATCCTGACTTTTTTTGTCCCCCCACCCCCCCCATGGCTCTGCTTTGAGTTGTACAAGGGACTTATTTGACCCATTTGTAATGAGTTGCTCCCACAATCACTGTTTTTCTTCAGTGCTCTCACAACTTTTTCATCAAAGTTTTCTATGAAACTATACTTAATTCATTTTCTTTATTTTTACCAGGCAATCTTAATGCAGATACAGATATATTCCATGTTAGGAGATCTTCTGCAGAGATTCTTTGTTCTGTGTCAGCAGCATCTGATACTTGGGGGGTTGAGGTTGGGGGAATTCCCCTCCTTATGGTTATTTCCTCTAAGGATTTTTTTTTTTTACTTCTGAAAGTGTTAGAATTGGTATTTTCCTCTTCTATATGGATGATGCCATTTTGGGCTTATTATAAGAGGCTCATATCTAAACATCAACTATGGGGGGCGGGGAATCAGTTATGTTTAGAGCCAGCAACATATAGCAAGGGACTAGTTGATTGATGGGGAGAAAGGAATAATGTAAATGCAAAGGGTGGGGAATAATTTCCAGAGATCATTTTAAGAGCAATTTTAAAAAACTGGCTCCTCTAAATTGTATGATTTGAGTGTACATTTTTCCATTTTTATGTGAGCTTCCCAAAATCTATAATTGGGACTGCAGTTATATGCTGTGAAATAAATCCTATTTGACAAAGGTTCTAAGTTGTTGCACATTGATTGTCCCTTTGATTTACAACTAATACCATGTTTTCTCGAAAATAAGACCCTGTCTATATTTTTTTTGAACCCTGAAATAAGTGCTTCGCCTTATTGCCATGCGCTCAAAAGCCTGATTGGGCTTATTATCAGGGGATGTCTTATTTTGGGGGAAACAGGGTATAAAAAAAGGTTTCCTATATTCAGTTGGAGGTACATTTACAAGATGGTTAGAAACATCCCCAGTATAATTACATCAGTTCTCAACAAATAAAGTTCAGGAGCTTCTCCCACTTATTTCTACTCTCCACTTAGGGAAGGAGAATATTTGCACTGCAATACGGAAATTCTATTGAATGGAAATTAAACTTTCCTTGGGATGACCTGCTAAATCAAGTCTACTAATAATGCTCCTCAAAAGGCCTGGTTCATTGTACAAAAGCCTGGCTACCCAAATAATGCTCATATTCATGGACTGCTATGTTCCTCTTTTGCTTCAACATAAAGAACAATAACAAAAAAAGAAGTCTTTGGCTCCTTGTGATTATGCTTGAATGAAATCAGCATGTATTTAGAGGAGATTATCTCAGTGGCAGGAAGTTGCAAGCTGGCTGTGTGTTTGGTTCTTGCAACCATTCTTTCTCAACCCAACCTGTTCTCATTTCCCTTACAACTAGCTGATTGAAACATTCCACATAAGATGGAAAAATAAGGCCATTGGTCAAAACTAACTGGTGATGTGCTGGTTTTCTTAACTACAGAAAACACTAATAAAGGCGAATATTTGTAGCTCAGGGTTGAAATTAGGGGTTCTTGATGCTCTCTGAGCTTGTGCTAGTAACTGATTATGTTACCTAGTTAGGTTATTGAAACATCTGTAAGAAAGTAATCAGGCTCAGAGAGCACAGAAGATCGCCCCCCCCCACCTTGAAACACTAAATTAAATAAAACTTTCTTTGATCAATGAGTGACAACATCCATGTGAATAAGATTTTCTTGGCTTCCAATACAGATTTACCAAATCATCTACTTTGAGTTGTAATCATCTCAAATTATAATTAATTAAACCCCTAGTTTAACCCTTTACCTTAGTCCTTTTGTTTGATTTGAGATTGCCTGAATATTGGTCTGCCAATTTTAATTTGCCTAAATGAATATATGCTTCACTTAATGGTGATTTGCTTAACAATGGCAAAAAAAAAGGTCATAAAATCAGGCACAACTCACTTAACTACCTCACTTAGTAATAGAATTTCTGGTTCCAACAGTGGTTGTAAGTTGAGGACTACCTGTATATCATCTCATGAATGTGAAAAAAATAATGTGAGATCAATAGTAGTATAGAAAATGAAATTAGGTCAGAAGTGGCATAGTTTCCTAGACAGTTTTGCTGTTCCTGTCCAAAAAAGGTAAATATCTGTATATTATCTCATCTCTTATTAGTACTTTTCTTGGCAGAGATGGATAAGACTGGAGGGGGGAGAGAAATATTTTATCTTTCATTTATCTAGAGGACCAGCCGATCATAAACATTTAAAATTTTATGCAACTGTGACATGAACAAGTGGCATAAAATATGTATGTCATCAAAAATCCTCAACAGTTAATTCCAAGAGATCTCCTTCTTCTCTTTTCCCACTATAAGCTCTGTCCAATGATCAACTGTTTTTCTCCTTTTTCCATTCTCTCCCCAAGCACTAATGCCCCCAACATTATCATTTCTTGGAAATGGTAATCCAAACTGGGGAAAGGCATTGCTACCAATGGCCAATTCAGATGATTCATCCAGAAAGGTATTGTGATTGTTGGGATGGAATGCTGATGAGGTCTCCAAGAGTAGCATTCCATCTCCCTTGGCAAAAGTCATCCCGTTGAAGGACCGAAGTTCCTTTCATTTTGACCTGAAAACCAACCTAAAACCAGCAGAAATGAATATATATATAAAAAATAAATTTTTTTTAAAATGCTTAAAAATCAGTCAATATTCACTTGAGCATCTTGCCCAGATCTCCTCTTTACAGCAACATTTTTCAATCTCAGCAGCTTTAAGACATGTGAACTTCATCTAGGAGAACTACAGATATTCCTCAATTTATGGCCACAATGGAGCCCAAAATTTCCATTGCTAAGCAAGACCATTGTTAAGTGATGTGTGCTCTATTTTATGACCATTTTGCCACAGTTGTTAAGCGAGTCACTGTAGGTATTATTGAATCATTTCGTTGTTAAGTGAATCTGGCTTCCTCTATTGACTTTGCTTGCCAGAAGCCAGCTGGGAAGGTTACAATTGGTGATCACATGATCCAGGGACAGTGCAAGATTTTTTGATCACATGACCATGGAGATAATCATGTCTGAAAAACAGTCATAAGTCATTTTTTTCAGTGCCACTGCAACTTTGAACAGCCCTTAAACGAACGGTTGTAAGTTGAGGACCACCTCTACTGCTTTACAAAATGCTCTGTGTTGGACTCATTGTAAATCTAGATTCAATCCAATGAATGAAGAGCTGGACTCACATATTGCGCTAGGCCACAATATGGTTGGGTTGGTTTCGTTTTGGCTTAATGCAGTGTAAGATTCAAGCACCATAGTTTAAAAATCATGGTTTATGTTTAGGGTGGGAAGGCAGATCCTAGTCTTAATCTCATGTCTTGATCAGAGCAACTCAAAAACTGAAATACAGGAACAATTGGTACATTTTAGCAGTGTAAATTCAGAAGGGGGTTAAAATCATAACGAAACATTCCAAAGTAATGCATTCAGAAAGAAATCAAGATGGGAAATAAGCCCTAAATTATTGGGGAATGCTCCATAGTGGCCTCATAGATGAGTCTAGTACTCCTCTTTCTAATTTTCAAAATCTCTTGGATATTAGGAATATGTGATTTTGAGACTCTACGGGAATTTCCATCTTAGCTGCTATTAATAGAAGCTGCACTGAAAGAAGCTGCTGGCATTCAAATTACCAGGCAATCAAAAAAACTGTCATAATATAGAAATCAATAGGTCTCCTCTATCTGATATGAAAAGGAAGAATTCCAGCTCTTTTCAGAGGAAACTCATAGCAAGAAAACATATAATGCATCATCATCGTGTTGATGTTCATAGATCTCGTATAGCATTTTCTTATCTTCCAGCTGACTTGCAGTTCAGCTCTATGTTGGATGTCTGCTTCCATGGCATCATTGCGTGATTGCGGAGATACAAGGTTTCGCTGATGTAGGAGGCATGGAGGTTCAAATCTGGCTTGGGCTGCAATCCTAATCTAGTGACAGAACATCAGAATTGAGGGGAGCAAGCTATCTTTGGGAAAGTCACTTTCATGTTTGAAGAATATAGAGTCCTAACCAGACCCTCTTTAAATGACCTTATAGAATGAACAGAACAATTTTGCATAAGATTATCTCTAATTCAGTTTAGTACTGTGCCATGCATAAATTTGTAGGTCATAATCAGAACTCTGGATTGGATCAGAATCTCCTAGCATCCAATGGAGTGACTTCAGAACAAGTGCTACATTATGGACTGTTATAGCTTCCAAGTCGTCTTCAAAAATAGTTTAGTGCGCTGCAGTGGTGAAGACATATGATAAGGATGTGGATCACCGTAACTTATATGTGGTGTTGGTTACTGCAAACTATGTAGATAACTAAGCATTACAAACATAGCAACTTCTGCTTGGGAGCTAGTTTGTAGATCTGTTTATTATTTTGCTGTACTGCATCTTTTAAGACATGTCCA